ATTTTATTCATTGAGTTACTATAGAAGGTGGATAGATAAGGTAAGTTCAAAAACATTTCTGTCTTTTTCATATTTGTAAGTCAAAGTTTGTCATATATTTTTGGTGGATTGGAATATCATCTTCTGATAGTCTTAGATAAAGATATAATATTCATAAGGGTATATTTCTAGAACACACTTTCAAGGAAATTGTTTGAATTGTGTGTACATGACTATATCTCAAGGTAATAGTTATGTGCTTATATTCTAATTTTATCAATGCAAAGCCATTTCTTAAAGTTTAAACCAAACTTCTTCTAATCTTCAAGCAACATTTAGGGGTAGAGATCGCATTTGGGGGGTTTAATTTAGTCTTGAATATATGTAAATAGTCTTTAGAAGTACTGGAAATGTACGAAAATCACATAATTCCTCTGAAATAGTTCAAACTGTGAATTTTACTCACTATTTCTATATATGTCTTTTCTATATATCACAGAGTATCTTAAAGCGACGAGTCGTCATTAAAATTCGTGTGGATAATTCTGGACACAAATTGATTAAAAGGCTCAAATAGCGACGGTGAGCTGTGAACGCTATAACTGATTAGCTCAGCTAAAAAATTCCCATTTCTGAGACTAAAGTATAATTGGTCAAAAAAAATGACCTACCCATCCCTTCAGATAATGGTACACAATTTTATAGTATACTAGTCTAAACTAATGAGTAATATACCATTAAATTGTGTTCCATTATTTAGACTTTTTCTAAATTGTGTTCCATTATTTAGACTTTTTCTAAATTGTGTTCTATTATTTAGACTTTTTCTATGACTTTTCAAGTTGAGACAAAAACATGCTTCTACAAGATATGCAAAATTATATATGATATAACAAACAAGATGATAAAGAAAATACAGAGTTGATATATAACATTTGATTATATAATGATAATTATGTTGCCTACAGGGATCAAAATAGTGTGATGATAATAATATTGATAAAGTTAGGTAATTTATTAAGTAAACTACATTGTTATGAGATGTTAAGAAAACTATGCTATTATTATAACATCTGTATTATTTTTTCATTGGTTAAATTTTCATCTGAAAGATGCGCTGTTCTTTTTGACCAATCATACTTTAGTCTCAGAAAAGGGAATTTTTTAGCCAATCAGTGATAGTGTTCACAGCTCACCGTTGAAATTTAAACCTTTAAATCCATGTGTGTCCAGAATTATCTGCGTTTGAATGTTAAAATGAAAATTGGAATGGTGCAAATTGATGCTATCAAGTTTAGAAAACCTCTTTACAATCCCTTTAACTCTGGATTATATTCCAGCAGGGGTTTGACGATGTATTATAGTAAATTTACTGATGAATATTAGATTTTAATCAATATTCAATATAGGAAATGAAACAATATCCTGATGTTAAAAAGTGTAAATTACTTGTGGAGAATATATCCCATTAGTACTCATTCACTGATCGCGTAAAGTTCTAATCTGCTCCGACATAATCCACACGAAATGTAAAACTATGCTTGGTTAACTCCCAGTTAAAAGTTCCCACAAATTTTTCATAGCTTTAGAAAGTTCCCGGCATCAAAGTACCAAACTCTTTGATTGCGGTGTATAGCCACCATTTTTCTCGTAGTGATAAGGTTTTCTTGGAAAAGGCGTAGAGATATGTTTAGTTCAACCAATGAGAGGCGTGGGAATATGGGCCATCATCATGGTTGCGCATAATTGGGTCACGACTTCACAGACGGTAAATAAAACAGTCAATAAGTTGCTTGTTTCAATCTTGTTTTGAGTGGAAAGTTTGGTGATTTTACATGGATTATGGATATGAAATTGCTCTTTTGAGTTCAAATAAACATTAATATGCAGTTGTAACTGTATATTTGGAAAAAAAATTTCCTCATATCCAAGGTTATCTTCAAAGAAGCGTAAAGGACAGGGATAAACGCAGTCTAGCTTAGTATCTGATATAATCGAATGTTCCATGCCATAATTTTAATAGGCTATGTGAAAATCACTTAACGGTCTTCTATCAAATATGTAATTATAAGAAATCTTTATGATAAATGATAGACGAAATATAAAATTAATAAACAAGAGACAATAGACTAAAGAGTGGTTGTAGGCTTGGCCTAACTATAATCTAGGCCTACATAGGCCTACTTCTGTATATGAAAATTACAAAACATTTTTTTTTTTTCAAGCATATTCATTAATTAATAACAAGAAAGTTAAAAAAAATTTTATAAAATTAACAATACCATTCTATATTGACAAAATTGATAAAATTTCAACATATTTTTCAAGTTAGAGCCAATAGTATCATCAATAAGCTTATGTTTCATATGATTTATGATTTATATATACTCATATAAATTTTGAAATACATATATATGGCTATATAGCATGAATGTTACCAGTTTTTGCATGACACCTGCATGGAATGCAGTTTATAAAAAATGAATGAGCAGAATTTGTTGAAAAAAGAAATTGATATTGCATTGAAATTTATCCTTTCCAAATATACTAAAAGTGTATTCATGTAATGAAGAAACATCTTAGTACCTATAACATATGAAAAGGATTTCTTTTTTTTATAGAAATAAGTAAAATAAATCCGAACTTAATCAGTAAATAGGATGATTTATTTTCTTCTCAATAGATGATTTAATTCAAATAAAATGTTGCTTGATAGGAACTTTTTACATAAAATATTGTCCCTCCTCCTGGTCAAATTAAAACATTCTAAAAAAAATAAATAATAACACTTATATTTTAGACAATGGTTTTGTATTTATATCCTATAGAGTGGTTCAGTGAATAGATAATTAATGAAAGAATTGCTATAAATATATCAATATTTAAATGACTTAAATTGAAGTAAATTAAAAATAAATAAAAAAGGTTCCATTACACAACTATACAATATCAGCATTACAAGCCCATGATCTTTTACACCTATAGCAACAGTAAATCTGAAGTGAATCTACAAGGAGCCTATGGGTTACATTGGTTCAAAAAACTTGATAAGTTTTATAACAATCAGCTAGTTGGGTTGTAATTGAGTACTAGGTATTTTGATAAAACAGAACCATAAATTAGCCTTAACGTCAAGTAGTGAAATTAAAGATGGTGGATTGTTGGTGAATGACTTGATTTTGTTTTGAAAACACTTCACATGCCTTATATGTTATTGCTAGTTTTCTGACTCTCTATCTAGGCTAATGATTTTGTCCTGTTGCAGGACACAATCACAAAAACACAATCGATTCCAGCAGAGGTCGTCAAATTTGGATGAAAGCAGATTTTTTATCCTAAAAGAATCAGCAATATTTTCGTCAATTCTCTACAAATTCACACTTTCACTACTGACACCAGCATCCCGTCGACAGTTAAAGTACCTAAATTACACGAATGGCCCTGTTCTCTTCTTCGAAAAACATTCTAATTGTACAATATAAGTCTATAAATAATCCTCGTGGTCTTAAGACATTTTCTAACCTAAATGGCCACTTTACGACTGGAATGCGCCATATTTATTTACATTTATTGTGGGAGGGCTTCTGTTCATCCTGGATGTTACACATTAGGTTTGATTGACTGTGATCGATAATTGAACCGAATAATCGACGCGCGCAAATACAAATGTCCTTACGCACTACTGATTTACTATAAGTAAAATACAAGAAAGAACTATTATTTTTCGACGGGAACTTTTTGATTATGATATCCACAGTATGTACCCTGTTCTTCTAATATAATTTTGTTGGGGGGGCGTTTGATTTATAACGAAAACTTTCACTGTGAGAATAGGGCCTACATCTGTTGCAATAAAGTTATTGTGCTCTTGGTAATAAAAATAATTCAATTATCAGGTTCAATCAGACTTCATGAAAATATCAATGTAATTATTCATATTCATAAATATATTCAATATAATTTAATAAAATATTTCAACTTTAACTATAGTTAGTTATTTAAAAAAATGTAATTTCTATCAATAAAGGACTCCAATACTAGCAATAGTTGTTTATATAATCTTCAATATATCTTTTTTAATTCATTTACTTTGTCAATTATTTTATTTAATCAGCCTGTATGTTATAATAAGAATTATGTACCTCTTATTGTACCTGTTAATATTTAAATCAATTTATCTTTTGTGTGTTTTCTTTGTTTCTGTGGGGAGCGGCAGTGGCTCAGTAAGTTAAACGCTTGCTCGCTAACCTGAAGGTCCAGGGTTCAATCCTGGCATAGGTCGAGATAATACCTTCGGATTTTTCAACCCGGTTTCCCCCTGTCAGTGATGCAGGTAAACGGGGCTGACATGGAAAAAGTGTCTAGTCGTTCGGATAGGCTGTGCACGTTAAAGATCCCTCGACAGTTGGAAATCGAAAAAGAGCAGGCTAATGCCGCTGTTTGGGCAATATTACCCTCATTGCACACTGCATGGTGTTGCCTGTCTTCATTAACCCACATGGTGCAGAAAAGTAGGACGTAAAACTCCATTCATTTCATTTCTTTGTTTCTGCTTATAATTGATACATATCATATTACATATAAATTCTTATATTTTCAGGTAAGGCTGTAATAGCCTATACAAAAATAAAACTACTATGCAGCTGGTACCATAACAGACTTGTTATAGATGTAAACTATTGAGTTGTGTATTTTAGTTTAATCACTTCGTTTCATGATCTGCCATGATGCGTTTATATCCACGACGGATCTTACGATCGTTTTTGATGATCACTATGTTAGTGTTTGTGATGCTTAATTTACATATCTTATTAACGTCTCAACCTGATGGAATGGAAGTACTAAGTGTTTCTGGTTTCCATGCCTACAACAAAGGAGATAGTCATGTGCAATTTCATCAAGAAAGTATATCTTTTGATCCTAATCTACAACCCTTGACAAGAAAATTAGTAATCCCACCTGTTTCAGGATACAAACCAAATAAAAGTCAGTCAATCCACAACAACTTTGATACCAAAAATATGACTGTGCTCCTACAAGAGTTAAAACGTTTAAACAAATTACAACATATCCATAATTTACCAAAGTTCGGACTAAAACTGGATGCCAGTAGTACTGTGATAGTGGTTCAAGTTCACGACAGAGTGGAATACTTAAAAATTTTACTCAATTCTTTACGGAAAATGCGCAATATTGAGAACTGTTTATTAATTGTCAGTCATGATGTTTATTCTAAAGAATTAAATGATGTGGTTGAAATGGTAGATTTCTGTCCTGTAAGTACTAGTTTTTAATTTCATGTAAGACATTGGAAGTAAACCATGTTCACTCTTTTTGTAACACCTGATGGTACTACTCTTTGGAGGAGTCCACTACTATACATCTTTTGCTCTCAATTTTGAATGACAGTTTTGTGAATATATATTTTAATTGTCACAACTGAAATTGCTGGATTTATACTTTTGTTATCCCAATACAATCATCCAAACCCAAATTTGTACATTTGTTATCCCAATATAATTATCCAAACCCAAAATTTTGACACTTGTTGTCCCAATACAATTATCCAAGCCAGAATTTAGACATTTGTTATCCTAATATAATTATCCAAACCAGAATTTACAATTTGTCATCCAAATACAATTACCCAAGCCAGAATTTACAATTTGTTATCCAAATACAATTACCCAAGCCAGAATTTACAATTTGTTATCCCAATACAATTATCCAAGCCAGAATTTGGACAATTGTTATCTTAATTTAATTATCCAAACCAGAATTTACAATTTGTCATCTTAATACAATTATCCAAACCAGAATTTACAATTTGTTATCCAAATACAATTACCCAAGCCAGAATTTACAATTTGTTATCCCAATACAATTATCCAAGCCAGAATTTACAATTTGTCATCCTAATACAATTATCCAAACCAGAACATACAATTTGCTATCCAAATACAATTACCCAAGCCAGAATTTACATTTTGTTATCCCAATACAATTACCCAAGCCAGAATTTACAATTTGTTATCCCAATACAATTATCCAAGCCAGAATTTAAAATTTGTTATCCCAATACAATTATTATCTAAGCAAGCATTTACAATTTGTTATCCCAATACAATTATCCAAACCAGAATTTAGAATTTGTTATCCCATTACAATTATGCAAGCCAGAATTTACAATTTGTTATCCCAATACAATTGGCTAAGCCAGCATTTACAATTTGTTATCCCAATACAATTATCCAAGCCAGAATTTACAATTTGTTATCCCAGGCATTACAATTCTTCTAGCCAGTATTTGGACATTTGTTATCCAATAACAATTATCCAAGCCGAAATTTAGACATTTGGCATTCCAATACTATTATCCTAATTAAAACTTGGACATATTTATCAGTTCAATTTATTTATTTTCCAGGTCATGCAAATTTTCTTTCCTAATTCACAACAAATATTTAGTGATGTATTTCCTGGAACAGACCCAAAAGACTGTAAACGAGATATGAAAAAAGCAGAGTAAGTAAATGTGTACCTGATATAGAATTTATAAAAAAAACAACGATTATAAATGTTAGTGTTCATAGAAAATCATCAAGTAATTTTTAACAGGACAAAATATAACTATGATATATAAACTGTGTCTCCACTGAGTGAAAAAGCCGGCTTTAAGCTAGCTTCGGTGTGTTTCCACCAGGCAAATTACTTTTTATGGTAACAAGCAAATAACACTAAGATTTGATTCAGTGAAACTAACCAACTGAATCCCATAACTTTTGCACCATGCTCTGGAAAAAAACATTGTCATTTCACTGAAAAAAATATTCACTATTTGAGCAGGTTTAAAAGACAGACTCTGTGACACCTGTGACAATTACAAGCCATAAAAAAATAAGGATATTTTTGCAGTTTTCATATGCAGCTATGTGTCATATGTTCGTAGACTCTAAACCCAACCGGGGAGTGTGGGACTAGGGTGTCAGGGGTGTGGCCAACTGGTGTAGGAGAAAAATTGATTTTGAATTGAGAGAGCACCTCACGTCATCACATGCTGGAAATGTGGATGAAAAAAATTTTTAGGGGTGTAAAAGGTCCAGGTCATTGCTCAAAACTCAAAGTTCACTATTTAAGCAGGTTTAAGAGACAGAAACTGTGACAACTGTCAATGTTCAATTACAAGCCATAATAAGAGTTTGAAGGATATCAGAAAACTGATTGCTTGATATTTTTGATTTAACATCGTCTATGACTGTCAGTTGAAATTTGCTTTTCATTATATTTGACTATGACTTGTGATGTGTGCATTCATATTTTTATATGGGTGTACAAAGAGAGATAAAAACTACACGTATGCATACAAAAGTAAGGTTGTTTACCATCCCATGAAATATGTGGAAAAAAAATCCACGGTTAAGACCCGTTTTCATTATGTTATTTGATGAAAATTTTCTTTCAGGTATATGTAGACACATTTTTTTCAGTTTTTTGTAAAACTTCAAGGTTCAGTTGCCTTAATCTGTACTCACTAAACTTCTATTTGGAGTGTGCTGATCTCATTTAATTTAACCTAGGCTAATATTTATGTTTCACAGACCACTAAAACTGTCCACTCCCTGACCAATCTCAGGCTTAAAGGACAGTTTTGGTACTCTATCACTTACAGGTTAACTACCTCTTAGGATGACCAAAAAAGTGAAATTTTAAACTTGGCCTAAATGAGTCTTTGATCATCAGTGGACTTATCTGGTGTCATAACTATACAACAGAAACACTCTATAATCCAATATATCTATAAAACTAAGTAATAATTCATTAAACGAAGTAATTTTGAAACATGCTTAGAAGAGTTTATTTAGTTAAATGGATATATTGTCTTATATAGAGATTCTATTCTTTAATCATGGCATCTGGTGAGTTCAACTGATGAATATATACACTTGTTGACCAAAGTTGAGGCTTTAAACTTTATGTCCATTCTAAAAGGTAATGTCCTTTTGAATAAATGAACCCAAAAAAAAAAGCACCAGTTTAAATATGAATTACTATGTAGCAAAGCTAATGCAAATGGACCTTGAATATTTCAGTGCTGTAAAAGCCAATTGTTTAAATGCCTTGCATCCAGACAAATATGGTCATTACAGAGAACCAAAATATTGTCAAGCTAAACATCATTGGATATGGAAGGTAAGACTTGTTATGTAGAAAAATGTCTTTTAAATAAACCACAATTTCCTAATGTATGTATGTATCATTTCCCTGTAAACGTTCTGGTTCAAGTTTTAGGCAATTTCCCCTAAAAAAAAATTTGGTTCTTCAACTTTCAAATGATTTTCATAAAACACAAAAACACAGCATATCTGTGAATGTTCAATGAATATTGAATTTGAATTTCATGAAAGTTATTGCCTGATGTCTGCTTATACTGTGATCATGTGATTGTATTTAAAGGGGCTGTATGCCCAGTTTTCATTATTAAACAATTGTTAATTATATCTGAAAACATTTCTAAAGTATTCTATGTAAATTTATGTATCTATTTGATCAAACTGAATTTGTTTTAAAATAGTTAATTAAAAATGGAGAGTACTAATTGTTAATTAAGCAGTTTGGCCATGCTTTGTTTAGCTTTATAATATGGATTTATTAGTTCTTTGTCAAGTTTAAATTTGACGATCTTTCGAGGAACGGTTTTTGAGTTATTGCCCTTGACTTAGGAAAAACGTGTCAAAATTTGTTTGTGAACACAATAGAGACTACAGTTTTTAACTTATTTTAATGAAATTTGGTGTGATCATTATACTGATGAGTTCTTTGTCAAGTTTAAATTTGACGATCTTTCAATGAACGGTTTATGAGTTATTGCCCTTGACTATATCATTGAATTCAAACTATTAAAATTTCTTTAATATGAGGAAATTCATACTTTAGTCACTAAAGACTGTTTTATCATTTCTGACAGCTACCAGTGGGCGTATGTTACCTTGCCTGGCAAGCTATCATTAATCAGATGTCTAGTTGTTGTATTCTTCTAAAACTATGGGTTATGACGTCACTATTAAAAAGATCTTTATATATCAATAGCAACTTTTGCAATAAGGATGTATAAAATGCTTACTATTAGTGGAATTGAAAATTGGAATGAACATTGAAACATCAAGTTCCAAGATATACTTAAATAGTTTAGAAAAATGCTTTACAATCCCTTTAACGTATACCACAGTAACATATGTTAAGTTTGAAGGTGTTAGAATTTAATTAGATTTGGAGATAGAATTTGAACAAGTATGATATAAAGGCTGCTCATTGATTGTGAACACTACAAATTGGCTTTGAATAAAACAATATATTTATTGATCTATTTTTCAATTTCACCCAAGCATAAATAACTATCTAGGATTAACAATGAAATGTCATTAAATATTCTAATATAAACCCAAATCATTTTTCTGCATAGAAACAACTATTTTAAAGGGACAAGTTTGCAATCTGTTTGACCTTTGCCTCTGGAGTATGTTTTCCACATTTTGGTCCATTTGGACAGAATATCTTTGTATAAAATGTCTTCACTACTGTTTTCACTTTCATTTTCTACCTCTTTCTCCGAACCCTGTAAATCCACTGCCTTCACTGTGTGTCATCATGTTTAAAGCTCTTAGGTGAGCTGGGATTTTTCCAAACAATTTTCCTAGCTAAATAAAGACTATTACAGTCTCATTTTCTCAACCCTAAATGTCATAATAGGTCAATGTTTGTCAACTCTGATTGGTCAGATTCACAAATCTATGATTGGTTGGATTCCCGAGGATCATAGATAATGATTTATACAAAAGTGATCAAATAGGTCGCAGTGCTGTCAGTGGCTTGCCAGAGTGAAAGAGTAAATGAATTTCTAGGGTGTTCTTTACAAACAAACACTATGAAAATGTGTTCTGCCCCTGCTGTTCTGTGCCTTAGGAATTTTACACTGGTACAATAATAGAACTTTGAAATAATCACTCAGTTGAACGATTTGATCAATCAAATGGTAAAGGTTTCAGTTACATTAGACAATCAGTCAACTTTAAAATTTAGTCTATAGTTTTATATGAATAAGTATACTGTATATAAAGAAATGACTCATTGATTTTGTTATCAAGGTCTGTATGCTAAGTAGGTATTAAAAGTACAAAGAATGGTGGTTATATCAATAATTAAGGATATATTTATGGTTAGTGTGGTCAATAGTATTGACTGATTGTATTATTATTGACTTAGAATAAACACCATTAACATTTCTTTATCAATTATATTGATCAGTATATAAACAGAATTGAATTTTATTATAATTTAAGATAGTAGATAATAAACCTACACTTGTCTGCATCTATGCTATGCTATATGCAGATAATGTACGGGTGTATGCTACCATTGTTTGTCGATAATCTAAGGATGTATAATGATTGCAGATAATCTGGGGCAGTATGCTGTAGACTGTATGATATTTGTCGATAATCTAAGGCTTTATGCTATTTATAGATGATTTAAACTTGTATGATATTTGTAAGACATTTGTGGATAACCCAAAGCTGTATGATATTTGCAGATAATCTAAGACTATTTAATATTTATACATTATCTAAGGCTGTATGCTATTTGTAGATGATTTAAACTTGTATGATATTTGTAAGACTTTTACAGATAACCCAAGGCTGTATGCTATTTGTTGATAATCTAAGGCTGAATGATAATTACGGATAATCTAAGGCTGTATGATATTTGTAGATAATCTAAGGCTGTATGATATTTTAAGGCTGTATGATATTTTTTAGATAATCTAAGGCTGTATGATAATCTTAGGCTGTATGATATTTTTTAGATAATCTAAGTCTGTATGATAATCTAAGGCTGTATGATATTTGTAGATAATCTTAGGCTGTATGATAATTGGAGATATTCTACAATGAATGATGTTAATAGATAGTCTAAATTAACATGTGAGCAACTCATGTTGCAGATTGTTTTTGATACAATCACCAGACACTGATATGCATCATTAAAACTTGCAGTTTTGATGTCTTGTTGATGTAGAAGGATCTTTTTCAGTTAATCAGTGACAACATTTGTTTCATTAATGATTTTTTGACAAATATTTTCTGTAATGAACATTCATTTGACATTCATCTTATCATATATCATCATTAGAATAAAATAATATTGGCTGACTGCATGTTTTACATTTTCTGCATTACATATTGAGGTTACATTTTTGCAAGTATCGTAATTTACATTAAGTTTTCCTTGTCTATAATGATGTTCCGATTGTTGCTGACAATCAATTAACAGTCGTTAAAAGTCAAGTAATGCAAATAATCCATTCCCAAATGACCGTCGCCGACCGTTAATTCAATTTACCAACTTGTCTCAAATACTTTAAAGATCCCTCGACAGTTAGAAATGGAAAAAGAGAAGGCCGCTGTCCAGGAAAATTTACCATCATTGTACACTGCATGGTGTTTCCCATCTTCATTAGCCCTTAAGATGCAGAAAAGTAGCACATAAAATTGGGTCACATTCTTGTATCCTATATACAATGTACAGTTTGACATCGTTTTTGTGTATTTCAATTATTAACCATAATACACCAATTATGCCTCTCCAATTATTTCAATTATTTGATTGTTATTTTCTTTTGCTGTCCCATCACTACTTGTCCATGGAAATTTTCTATGTAAGTCAATGAAGTAGAAAATAAAATTACATGTATATCTATTACAGTTAAATTATGTATTTGAGAAGATAACAGTATTAGAAGGATATCAAGGCATGGTATTATTATTAGAAGAAGATTATTATGTGTCTGAGGATGTGTTATCTGTACTTAGTATGTTACAAAATATACAAAAACGGTATGTTGATATTGTATAATATCTATATGTACATAGTATAATATTCTTTAAGTGCAATTATATTATCAATCCATGAAAGATTTCATACCATTGAAAAATGTACTTAACAATTTCATCTGCTGTTACCAAGTTATGATGCATAACATTATATAAAAAATTATGAAACAGCTTTCACTTCTCGATTGGTTAAACTTTGAATCTTCATATAAATCTATGGGTAAAATCCATGGGGATCGAGACTCACCAAGTTCAGTTCAAATCAAATAATTAATTTGCAGTGTCTTAGTACAAAATCAAAATGATGAATGTTTTGATAGGGTTTTTGGCACCACAAAATTGTCTGACAGCTTGTAGAACTTGAGGTTGCTTCACCCTGCCAACAACAGCTGAGCACAAAACTTCCATTCTAAAGGGACAGATGCACCATTTTTTGACCATCATACTTTAGTCTCAGAAACGGGAATTTTTTTAGCTAAGCTAATCAGTAATGATGCTCACATGTCACCATTGAAATTGGAGCCTTCAAATCCATGTGTGTCCAGAATTATCCCTGTTTGAAAATTAAAAGGATGAGTCATCTTATTTTGAGACACTGCAATATAGAGACATGATACTTCTGTTATATATATATATATATATTCTAGACTCAAATCAACCCTCCAAAATGGCGCATCTGTCCCTTTAAGATATTAAATTAATACAAATTGTTTTATTATAGTGACTGTAAAGATTGTCAGATGTTAGTGATTGGAAATTATGACAAATCTCAAAATTACCAAGTAAATTCTGGAAAGGTGAGTGAATATTTTACTGCAAAATTACCAAGTAAATTCTGGAAAGGTGAGTGAATACTTTACTGCAAAATTACCAAGTAAATTCTGGAAAGGTGAGTGAATACTTTACTGCAAAATTACCAAGTAAATTCTGGAAAGGTGAGTGAATATTTTACTGCAAAATTACCAAGTAAATTCTGGAAAGGTGAGTGAATACTTTACTGCAAAATTACCAAGTAAATTCTGGAAAGGTGAGTGAATACTTTACTGCAAAATTACCAAGTAAATTCTGGAAAGGTGAGTGAATATTTTACTGCAAAATTACCAAGTAAATTCTGGAAAGGTGAGTGAATACTTTACTGCAAAATTACCAAGTAAATTCTGGAAAGGTGAGTGAATATTTTACTGCAAAATTACCAAGTAAATTCTGGAAAGGTGAGTGAATACTTTACTGCAAAATTACCAAGTAAATTCTGGAAAGGTGAGTGAATACTTTACTGCAAAATTACCAAGTAAATTCTGGAAAGGTGAGTGGATATTTTACAGAAATAAAAGAGCAAATTATCAGAATTTGTGATTCCAATGCAAATGCAAGAAATATGTCAAAAATATTGGCGGGTTCAACTCAGAAATATTTAGGAGTTATTAAAGAAAAGATTCTACTAGGAGGGGGAAATACTTTCTGAAGATGTTGTCTTACTGCCAGAGAGATCAGATTTTTGAAGAAAGATTCAAGTTGTCTCTAATTTAGGAGGAAGACTAGGTCCAAATTTGCAACATTTTTAAATAAACGTTATGTCAGATCAGTTTAACACGTATAGTAACCCTCAGAAGTAACAGGAAACAAAACATTTAGATCTGTATTGGAATCAAATTGGATTTATTGAGCAATACTTAATCATATATTGTTTTATATTTTAGGTTGAAAAGTCATTTTGGGTATCATCGAAACATAATATGGGTATGGTTTTTACACGAAAACTCTGGGATCAAATCAAAAAATGTCAAAAGGTTTGATTTTTTACTTTATTTTTCTTATATGAACAAATGGTTTTTTTTGTGCATCTGGTAATGCTTTTACTTGATCAATTCCAATTTATTAATCGAAAAATCTCATTAATAATGTAAAGCTAAAGAAAGTAAATTCCATGTTCTATATTCTAGATCAATTTGATTCAGTTACAAAATCAGGTTAAAACATTAGAAAAATAGTGTGTAGCAGTTTAAATGATCAATTGCGATTACATGCCAATGCTATTCTTAAATATCAATGCTATTGGTAAATATCAATAAATACCAATGCTATTCTTAGATATCAATGCTATTCTTAGATATCAATGCTATTCTTAAATATCAATGCTATTCTTAAATATCAATAAATACCAATGCTATTCTTAAATATCAATGCTATTCTTAAATATCAATAAATACCAATGCTATTCTTAAATATCAATGCTATCCTTAAATATCAATGCCATTTTTAAATACCAATGCTATTCTTAAATACCAATGCTATTCTTAAATATCAATGCTATCCTTAAATACCAATGCTATCCTTAAATATCAATAAATACCAATGCTATTCTTAAATATCAATGCTATTCTTAAATATCAATGCTATTCTTAAATATCAATAAATACCAATGCTATTCTTAAATATCAATGCTATTCTTAAATATCAATAAATACTGATGCTATTCTTAAATATCAATGCTATCCTTAAATATCAATGCCATTTTTAAATACCAATGCTATTCTTAAATACCAATGCTATTCTTAAATATCAATGCTATTCTTAAATATCAATGTTATTCTTAAATATCAATACTATTCTTAAATATCAATGCTATTTTTAAATATCAATGCTAATATCAAAGCTATTCTTAAATACCAATGCTATTCTTAAATATCAATGCTTTCTTAAATACCAATGCTATCCTAAAATATCAATGCTATTCTTAAATATCAATGCTATCCTTAAATATCAATGCTATCCTTAAATATCAATGCTATTCTTAAATACCAATGCTATTCTTAGATACCAATGCTATTCTTAAATACCAATGCTATCCTAAAATATCAATGCTATTCTTAAATACCAATGCCATTCTTAAATATCAATGCTATTCTTAAATATTTATATCTAATCTTAAATGACGTCTTTGGCAGAAGAGCCAATGGTAAAACACTATTACTGTTTTGAGAAAAAAACAAATGACCAAATGAATTTCCTTTAATAAGAACTGCTCCCATCTTCAGACACGATATGTAAAACCAAAATAGCAAATAACAAAAACACATATACTCTTGAACAATGAGAGATATGATTTAGTGACTGTTGAACTGAACTGTTATTATCTTACAGGAATTTTGTGTCCATGATGATTATAATTGGGATTGGACTATACAACATCTCAGTATGAAATGTATTCCAGGTAGAATACAGTGTTTAAAACTTCGAGCCACTAGAATCTTTCATATTGGAGAATGGTAAGATTTCACTTTACTTTTGAAGAAGGGTGATTTTTGTTTCTGTCTTATTTCAGTGAAGTTTTAAGATTCTTCCTTCCCAGTTTCTTTATTAATTTCAATCTGAAACAAGCTGAACCATTCGTTTTCACTAGTGCTGTATTCGTTACCTCTTGACATTGAAAGCCATGTAATGGCTAACCTATATTTGATGTCTGATAGAGGACATTTGAGCAGTCCTGTCAGTCAGTCTGGCATATAGAGCCGAATCAACAGCCCTGGTGACAACCCAGACAAATGAATTCCATATAAAAATAGAAAGCATGCACCAGTAGTAACTTTTAAAGATACTATCTGCATATGTACTATTACACACTGGAAAATTTCCTGTTTCCAAGAGGTATCGAATACAGCATTTTTAAGTCTGATATAATGTTTTTGTTTCTATTTTCAAGTGGAATTCATCATAAGGGTAAAAGTTGCAATCCAGGAGATAAAATCAAAAAGGTTGAGGAACTGCTATCAAAAAATAAAAACTATCTGTTTCCTAATACTTTATCAATTAATGGACAATCACGGATGAAAATTCGAGATCCCAAGGCCAACGGAGGTTGGGGCGACATTAGAGATCATCAGTTGTGTTTAAGTTTTTTTAATTCATCATCAAGCTGATAGAGTGAGGTGTTTTTTTTTAAATCTATGATTTTAATTCAACAAAATTATGTGGTAATTTTTTTAAGGAATTTTTCTGCTATTTTAACTTGGGAAAGACAATGGGATGTATTTAATGGAAGTAATTCCAAGGAACATGTTTTAGATGCTGGTGCTTCATGTTTTTTTTTTTTCAGTATTGTTTCGAAATATTGCGAGACAGAAGCCAAAATATTTATCCATGTGAAATGAATAATTTGGTTTCCATGGAAACGTTTTATGCCCTCCATTTATTAAGTAATGTGATATCATGATTAAAAAAATTGTACGCCATGTTTACATTTATTTATGTTGTTATGGGGCAAAATCACAACAAAACGGAGCCCATCAATAGTATTTGTTGATCTAGTCTTTATTTCAGTCCTGAATTCAGTATTCATTAATGGTGAGGGCACGCATATAGCTTTTATAACCAATTTTTGTTACAAACGCAAATGTTACTAATTTGATTAAAATCTCACATGTTCCCATGTTTTCAGGACAAGATTATCCATTGACGACAGGATTTTGAACATAAAACAGGTTGATATATTTTTCTCATCTATAATTGCTTTCTTATTGATATAGGAAAAATATAGATTGCAGAATTTAGGTCTCCTTGTGTGCCCCAATTGGGCCGATATTTTGACAATTGCATATGTGATGTCATCAGATCCAAAATAACATTATTCCAGAAATATACAAAAAAAAAAGAAATTTTGCCTGAAACTAACAGTATTGATAATATATTAAATAGTAAAAATATTAACAACAATAGTAAATGTAAACAAGGTTATATTTAGTTATTTGTTAGTAAATTATAAGCACATCTTAATGTTTATTATATAATATGTATATTTATTGTACAATTGTAAAAAGTAAATCCATTATCTAAGTGATTATTCGCAACTGAGCTCTTGACAACTTGTGAAAATTGAACAGCAAGAACGAACACAAAAAAATAGTTCTTCTATGAGTGAAGTGAATGTGAAATGAGATAAAGGCTTATTCTGTGATTTTTTAGGTGTTTGCGGTGTTATTGAGCATTGTTACTAAAAATTCTAATTTGTTCCCAAGTTGTCAAGAACAGAACAGAGTTGTGGATTCAAAATGATATTCTACGCAAAATTGCTAATATTTTCGAAACTTAACTGTTGTCAATTGAAAGAAAAATGTTATGTTTGCCTTTCTGTAGATGTCCATTTTAAAAATTACGGGGATTATTAATTTTTCTGAAGTTCTTTTATAGTTGATAGACACAAGCTTAAGGTAGAGTTTTTTTTATTAAAAAAGGATTGGAGCTTCAGCTGTGCAATAACATCAAAATGGACTGGTTGTAGCACACCTAAGCTCCTCCTCCTTTTTTCCGCTTAGATTCTTTTTGGCTTTCAACAACAAATTGCTGATAATAGACCCTGGTTTTCCTCGAACATACATTATAAGCAATTTATTATTTAACACCAAAGGAAAAATTCATTTTATGTTACAATATTTATTACATACTAGAAATATTAGAACAAAAACTGAAACATGTTTCACTGTGCCATCTTCAAAGGAATAACATGATTCAAGTTCTGTTTTAATATTTCTATATCACTCTATATCAATTTAACAGTGAAAATATTCGTAGTAAATTTTATTAATCGGAAAGATTTTGGGGTTATAAATATTAATTTATTCAGTAAAGTATCATCTGCAGTAAAGCAACATGTTCAAAGAGCAGGAAAAAGTAGAGTTTTTTACAATAAAAACTGAATTTTGGTTGTATTTTAGCAAAATGAAAATAATCTATTATTTACGAGTAAATTTGCATAAATACTGGATTCAGTAGCTAAGAATATCCAGCTTATGAAATTTGGTACCTGTTTGAGCTCTTATCTGTCAATATCCAGAAATTCTTAAGCATAATGAGGGATTTGTGCTATATATATATATATATATTTTGGGAGTTATTACATCACATAGTCAATACTCTTTAAAGAGACAGGTGCGCCATTTTGGGTGGTTGATTTGAGTCTTGAATATATGTCTTCACAAGTACTAAAAATGTAGGAAAATCACATAATTCCTTTGAATGTATCTCAAACAAGGAATTTTACTTACTATTTCTATATATATCTTTCTATATATCACAGAGTATTGAAGAGTATAATTGGTGAAAAAAATGGCCTACCTGTCCCTTTAAAAGAAAAATACCTCTGGATCAAAAGCTTTGACTAAAATCATTTCAACAAACTGAGAAAATATTGTAGTCAATTGTAATTAGAACAAAATTTACCTAAAATGGTGAAATGATTTTGGAAATATATTTATACATATTTTAAATTTTACATTAATAAATATATTTTTTTTTTCAGCTAAGCAGGATTTAGCATTTTATTTAGAAATTTGATTATTTTTTTTTTTACAAATTTTTCATGATTTTCAGTTAGAAATGGATGAAAGTTTGCTGTTAAACTGTCTGCTAGTGTGTGTATGGTTTTGTTCGTTAAACAGATGTTTTCAAAAACAAAGCTGTTTTTGTTGTATAGAATATTTTTATGATATTTTTATCACTGATTTGATACTAAAGAAATTCTTGACCAATGCTGAAAATGGTGCCAATTTTGATAACCTTCTTTAACTCCTCTTGCAACATGATCTAGTGGTTGAAAATAATTAGACAGATATCCCCATAAGTCTCAATTGACGAGAAAATTGGATTGAGGTATCATGGGTTAGGTTCGTTGTGTGTTAGATATTTCACAGTGAAAATCAGTCATAATCAATAGTCAAATTAGTAGTTTAGTTGCCATGCTAGTCATTTGTATTACATTGAGTAGCTTGATTGGTGAGTTGTGCACTTTCAGGATTAATGGAATCACCTAGACATTTGATAAAACAGACTTCAGAACGTGTCCCAGATGATCTGAAAAATAGTAGGTGCAGACAGAATTCAAAATGGCGGGAAAATTTTGAATGTGACATATCCACTTTTATACCATTTGATTGAGGCCAATATTGGAACAGATAGAACCTGTTCAGAACTCACCAATCAAGTTCCACCCAAATATACACACTTTTGATTTGACCCGTGACCTTTGTGAATGATAACAGTGTTATTTGCATCTCACTTAAAGGACCAATTTCTTCTTGCGCTGTTAATTAGTCAAAATTTCTAATACTTCTGTCTCAGATCATAATCCTATAATTGTGGAAATCCTAAAAAATACTGGAATAAAGGAATTTATATATTCATATCTCTATAAATGATATGGATAATTCCATGAAATTATTAGAATAGATTAAGTCTATGCTTAGCAATCTTGTCAATTAACGAGCCTTATAAACAAATAATTGAGATTAATTTAGTTTAAAGACTGTTCTAATTAACGATATTATAATGATTAAATTCTCATTTTGAATACTTAGTGAGCAGAAGATCTGATAAAGTCTCTAAGTTTTCTTTAATTTAGGATTTTTTCGGCATCCTTAAAGAGATTGTAAAGAGGTTTTCTACATATTATATGTGTATCTGGGACACTGATAGAATCAATTTGCATCATTCCAATTTTCAATCAGACGTCTGTGGTTCCTGCAATTCCACTAAAACTAAGTGTTTTATGACATCACCCTGCAAAGGTCTTATGTGATACAAGCAAATTGTGCGAGGATGATGTCATAAAACATTTAGTTTAGTGTGACTGAAGGAACTACAGATGTCTGACTGAAAATTGAAATGGTGTAAATTGATGCTATCAGTGTCCCTGGTATGCATAAAAATTTTAGAAAACCTCTTTACAATCCTTTTAAGACAATGTCAAAAATATATGATAGTTAAAAACTAATAGAAAGCACTATTGCTGTTCAAAGGCTAAAGAATATGCATTACATAGGAAAATATATTTATGGTTATATTTCTGTTCAGAAATTGTGTTAATGAATTTAATTCATAATTTTTCTTGCTCTTTAGCGTATAATTGTAAATATAGCTTAGCTTTGAAAAATAATAGCCAAGAAATTCCATTGACAATTGCAGGTGGTATGGAAGACATTATATATGTAATATACATTATAATGCATTGTATTCGAAATTCTTTCTTATGAGAGCCATTTAGCTTGTTACAAAAACCACAGTTATAATTTATAATATTTTTCCTATTTCATTCAATTGGAAATGATTTAGATGTGTTGAGTGAAGATTTTAGTTGATAATCATTCAAATCAGGTTCTTAATTTAAAACTGCAGGAACACCAAATCGCTGCCTTTCTGTTTCAATGATTTATTTGTAATGTTCAAGGCAATGTCTAGCTGATGTTAATAATTTTGTACAAGTTTGGGTTTGATCTTTAGATTTTCATAAGTGAATTACAATGACTTTCAAGAGACTGTAGCTCAGTTAAATAAATAGTGGTTCTAATCTCACCTCGCAAGTCATCATGCGAAACTATGTATGGTTCTTTCTTGAAATTATCACACACAAACATAGTTCACAACCATCTTGAATCTGTACCTCGACTGAATTAGTTGTGCTACAGGCTATTTTAGATAGTGATTTTGTAAAATAGTTTGATTCCTAAGGGGTAGCATACCTTAAAAATTCCAGATTAATGCCAAACTTGTGCAAAAGATTCAGCATGGCATTGCCTTTGATTCTATTCTGAGAAACTAAGATATTTATATCATTAGCTTAGTTTATGTTAATGTGATCAGTGGTTTGTTTAGTGCAATAGACGCTTTTTCTAAACACATGTATAAATGTTAGATAGTGATTTTGTAAAATAGTATGATTGCTTCAGTGTAGGTCTTCAAGATCAAATTGATCATTGTTGAAATTTATTTGATACAGTTGGACATATGTTTGAGAATACAGAATATTTTCTGATCTAGATTAAGGTAATGTTAAAGGAATATGGCCGCCTAAATACTTAAGTTTCCGCCTGAATTTGTAGCAAATACAGCCATGGATGGCTGAAATTGAGTTCTATCAGCTGGTAAAGCAAATATTTAGACATCTGTATTTCTTTAATAAGAATATTGTTGAATGTTGATTGTTTGTGGAAAAGATTAAATCTTATAAGGTTTGAATGAATGTAAGAAATCAAATGTTAATATTGTTATCCCCCCTGTATATAAACCCCCTATCATCTTAAAGGGATTGTAAAGAGGATTTCTAATTTCTTTATGAGTATCAGGGACACTGATAGCATCAATTTGCACCATTCCAATTTTCAATCAGACATCTGTGGTTTCTGTTATTCCACTAAAACTGACGCTTGATGATGGTGCTAATTTGATCTATCATTGTCCCTTATACACATAAAAAAAATGTAGAAAACCTCTTTTCAATTCCTTTAATAATATCAAGGTTTCAATTGCCCAAATATTCTTTAAGCATTGCAGGAACTCTAAGAGTTTAATTCTTGATTCTTAATTCTTCCATTCAACCAAAACAGTAATAAACCTGTTTAAAAACTTGTCCTTCAGTAGCGGTACAAGGGGATTTTTAAGAAATGTGGTACAGAATTTTTTTGTGGTAGAATTATAAACTTGATATTATTAAGATGTTCCCTTGTATGTTATCTCTATTTATTTTATTATTTTTTAACACATCATTTTTACATTGTGGACAACCCATAAACTTACTAACTAATTTTACTTGATCCATTGAAAATAAATGGTTGTCAACATATTTTTTATGGAGAATTAAAAACATTTGACAATATCTGTGTGGATTATTTATATTTAAGATACTAATTTAATAGTTAGTTTTTGGATTTGAATCAAGTAAATTGCTTGTCTTATCAGTAAAATAATGTATATAGAGAAATTTAAAAGACACAAGAGAAGAAGTGGTATAGAAAAAGTTATTAAAATCTATGGAAAGAATAGTTATTAAAGAAAGGGCACTTCCTAATCAGAAGATACAGCAAGGAGATTGGAAACAAATTTCATTCGACAGTGTGCTTTTAAAGTATGTTACAGATACAAAAATATCAAGACAGAAATGGTATTATTTGATTTTTTGGATCACAACTTGACAATATCATTGCTCTGATTCCATCTAGAATGTACAGATAAGCAGAGGTCTGTCTGACTCAACAGAACAAGGTTAATTAGAGAATGGTAAGCCTTAGCAAGTTTTAGACTATTTAGTTCAGTCACTGATTAATCAATCTAATCACTGTATATTCCTAAGAACACGGTAAATTGCCCATTTTTTTATTTGCCCACATCTCTCTATGTGAACGTATATTGTCGGCACCCCTGTCCGTCCGTCCATCCGTCGGTCCGTCAACATTTGCTTGTAAACGCTCTAAAAACTAGAGTTTTTGATGGAATCAAATGAAATTCGGCATGTGTATACATATTCATAAAACGAAGATCAAGTTCAAATTTGAGCTATTTTCGACCGTTAGAAGCAGTTATTGCCCTTGCCCCAAAATCTTGAATATTTACCATCCGCTTGCCGTGGTGGGCATATATGGCTGTGGTCCAATATCTTTATACTCTTAATGACCTAGCAAAAATCAACACTTTAAAATATTACAGTGTCTCCATTTACTGATAGCTCAAGTCAACCTTCCAGACAATTTTTTTGAATTGAATTTTTTCTCTGCACCAGTTTGGGCTATTAAGGCCAGACAAACACCATGCATTGTGGAATGAGGAGAATTTTACCAGGTATGTGACATAAGCCCACTCCATGTCAGTCCCTTCAACCTGCTCCATTGATAGGGGAAACCTGAGTTGAAAAATCTAATGGTGTTATTTAGCATTCAGGTTACCGAGCAATCATGTTATCTCACTGGGCCAACACTGCTTCCGTCAGATTTTAAGACTAAAAGTAAAATACAACAACAGGTATCTCTAGGATATGTTTTATTCTCGTTTCATTCAACAAACGAACTTGACCATTTACAAGTTGATTTTGAAATTTAGCAAATTATATTCTATTGATTATTATTAAGACTTACTTGGCAGTGAAACAGTATAGAAAGAAAACCTCTCACTTGAAATGCAAGGATATGTGATAAAAGTCTAATAATTAATACTTTTATATGAGGCAATCAAAATGATTAAGGGGACTATGTTGTATAAAGTGCAAAAACTTTGTTTTGTCAGTTCACGACATGTATTACCTTTCAATCGAAGGTTTCTAGATTCATCAATGATAGCATCAATATGTACCATTCCAATTTTCAATCAGACTTCTGTGGTCTGTAATTCCACAAATATTAAGTGTTTGATGACGTCACTAATCACAAAATATGCTTTATCACATAAGGCACCTCACGATAAGTGACGTCATCAATTGAAATGGTGTAAATTGATGCTATCAGTGTCCCCAATAGACATAGTTATTTTTAGAAAACCTCTTTACAATCTCTTTAAAGTGCAACAGTTTCTTTACATAGAGTAATATTTCATGAAAGAAGTCAAAAACATAAATGTTTGAATGAAAAAGCCCTGCTTCACACTAAAGATTATACCAAAAATAAGCCAAAGAAAATAATGTTGGGTTTAACTCTTAAAGGGACAGATGCACCATTTTTTGGACCAATCATACTTAGTCTCAGAAACAGGAATTTTTAGCTAAACCATTCAGTAATAGTTTTTCACAGTCCACCTTTGAAATTTGAGCCTTCAAATCCATGTGTGTCCAGAATTATCTGCATTTGAATGTTAAAATGATGACTCGTCAATTTAAGATACTCTGTGATACACAGAAAAGACATATATAGAAATAGTAAGTACCATTCCAAGTTTAATGTATTTTTAAAAGAATTATGTGATTTTTGTACATTCTGAAGACTATTTAAATATATTCAAGACTCTTAATCAAGACCACACCTGTCCCACAATATTGCTGAAAGTTTCACTTAAATTCACATAAAAAAAAACATAGCAGTCCTCTGGCTGTTTCTTAAATCACACTTAAATAAATTAAAATATATACCAATTGAAAATAATTAACACATATATATGAATATATTATTATAATTCATTAACAACATTTAAATTCATTAAAATAATTCAAATCACATCATAATAATATAAATAACATTTTTTGGTGAAATTTTTATTTATTTTTTTCACACTATACCTAACTCACACTCTCACACAAACAAACAAAAACAAAGAGTTTTCCTTCTTATTTAGAAGATTTGTTTTAAAACAAACAAAAATATAGATTCCCATTGTTTATCAATCCTATGATATAAATGAATAAAAAAATAAATATGAAATAAATGAACGATTGAATTCAATTTTCGCATATCTTGATATACTTATGAAATACCTTCTAGCAGAATAGCTATACTTGTCTAAATATTTGCTCAACCTGCTGATAGAGCTAGACTTCAGCTATAGTGGACCACAGCCATATACGCCCACCACAGCATGCGGATGGTAAATATTCAAGATTTTGGGGCAAGAGCAATAACTCTGCTTCTAACAGTCGAAAATAGCTCAAATTCGAACTTGATCTTCGTTTTATGAATATGTATACACATCCTGAATTTCATTTGATTCCATCAAAAAATCTAGTTTTTAGAGCGTTCACAAGCAAATGTTGACAGACAGGGGTGCCAAGAATATACGTCCACATAGAGAGATGTGGGCCTATAAAAACTTAAGGATGTATATAAAAACTAAATCTAAATGGTTATTTTAAAATATTTCTAAGGATGTCTTGGCTAAAGGTTACTGAATTATCGATCCTTTCTTTTCACTTTTGGATTATTGCGTTTAAATTAAATATTTGTGGCTTCAAAAATATAGAAATCTGAAAGGTCTACTAGGTAGAATAAGTGGGCAAAAAAAAAAAACAGGTTGAAAATGAGAAAAGTTCAGTCATTCACCATTCACTCAACATATTATAATGGGAAATACTCATCTTAAAAAACTCTAGCTAGAATAGGAATATCAAAATATAAAGATGAAATCTATGCTAGGGAATTGAAAGTTCAGTATGACAATAAATTGATGTTAATTTTCTTCTGTCATGATTGATCATATAAAAGGTACAAAAAAAATCTATGGAATTTAAATTGCAAAAGATAGATTTTTGGTATGAATTGGAAAAAAATATAAAAAAATAATAAATGAAAAACATAAAGTAAGCTCCTCTGTTTCTAAAAATGTAAATGCTAAAGTAGAGAAAATCATACAGAAATGTAAGAAGAGATTTAAACAAAATTTATACCTAAATGCACATATTGTGTATCAATAATCTAGATCACAAAAACCTCTGCATTTATCATTATAATAAATATAACTACTTAAAAAGGTTTTTCATTTTTGAAGAATATTTAAGACTAAAAAATATTATATCTTTTGTATAAGTTTATATGAATTTTTTTAGTTTCTTATAAAATGTGCTTTCTTATACATACCTTTTTTTTTGAAAATTGTTCAAAATACTGTTTTCAATAAGATCATTAAAGTTATTCCATTTCTTTGGTTGTGATCAAGAAGCATTTTTTCTGTATTTAAATTGTGCTGAACAGAGTACTTAATGTTTTTCTAGTTAAGAAAAGGTGGTTTATTTGTGATAAAGCAGCGAAGAAAACAAAAATATAAAGATTCTAAAAGTCCAAAATTAATTAGAACTAATATTTTCTGACAAAATAAAACAAAATGTTCAAATAAATTAATAACAAATAACAAAATTTTTGATAACTTTTGATAATTATTTTGATTATTCTTGATCGCTTTCACCATCACTAGAAAAACGTCCCTGTGATAAGGGGCTAGATCGTGATGATGTCATGACGTGTGCTAATTGCCTATAATGATCTAGCCATTCATCCAACATTTGTTTCACTAATAATGGACGTTTATCTAATTTCTGTACAGCTGCCAAAATACCACCTTTAGTTACAACACAATCTAACCATTCACGTAAAATAGTTTCTTCACGACCAACCTACAAAACAAATAGATCATCTGAATATTTACAGATAATAGAGCTAAGTAAATCCCTTCTCAAAATAAAAAATCAAACTTCTGGTATGTCTACAATTAACTATCAGTATAACAACACACAGGTGGATATGATAACAGTCTGAAGTGGCTAGCCATTATTAACATTCTCTGATGGAGAATTTACAGCTTTTGCTGCAAATCAGAATGAAGGTAAGTCGTATAGTCATTTCATTTACACACCATGAAAAATTAGTCCATACATAAACTTGCACATTTATCCGAAGAGCAGGCAGATAGTTATCTTGCTAGAATAATAGTGCAGAAGATCTAAAATATACTTACATCTGACCCTGAGAGAAAATGCACTGATAATAATTTACCATCACTATCAACAAGGGGGAGATAAGCTATTTGACTATCATCGGTATTATCAGTATTAGCTCCTGCTCCTATATTATCATCTGTATCCATCTCCATGGCAACCAGAGCTGAGAAATGACCACGAGTATAACCTAATGAGATCGGTGTCTTCCAACAGAAACTTCTCTCCCACAGTAATGGTAAATAAACTCCTGTAATTAAGAACAATTTCGCGGTTTGAAAAATCTCCAAATGACCACCAGCATCACCAACACTGGAGGTAAAATGAACCTCAACCTCAGCATCACCAACACTGGAGGTAAAATGAACCTCAACCTCAGCATCACCAACACTGGAGGTAAAATGAACCTCAACCTCAGCATCACCAACACTGGAGGTAAAATGAACCTCAGCATTACTAACACTGGATTGAATATGGACCTCAGCATCACTAACACTGGATTGAAAATGGACCTCAGCATCACTAACAATAGATTGAAAGTGGAAAATGGACCTCAGCATCACTATAATGTTAAAGAACTGAAACATTGTCGTCACTCAGTCTTATGACGAGATAAAGCTAGATAGCATCAAGTGAAATGATATTCTCATCACTTACCCTGAAATTTAGCCAAGCCTATAGTTTCTCCTCGAAAACTTTTAACATATTTAACACCATAAACAATAATAGGACGACGAAATATATGAGCTAATGCAAAAATATGAGTTTGTTCTAATGATGTACCTGAAATCAAAAATACACGATGAGTTTAAGATCTCTACTTAAAGAGAATCAATTTAAGAAATGGGAGCCATTTGACTTTTTTTACCTCATGACAGTACACTTTCTGACTAAATATTGCAAAATAATTCAGTCATCAGCTAATTGTCTGATAAGCGATGGTGTATTGTTAATTACAGTAGATTTAAGATATTACTAAGCCCCTGGTTCCCAACCTGGGTTGTTTTCACCCCCTGGGGGTGTGGGACTAGGATGTCAGGGGTGTGGCCAACTAGTGTAGGAGAAGAATTTATTTTGAGTTGAGAGAGCATCTCACATATCACATGCTGCAAATGTGGATGGAACAAATTTTTAGGGGTGTAAAAGGTCCAGGTGATTGCTGTGGGGTGTGAAGGCTGAAATAGATTTGGAACCACTGCTTTGAGCAATACTTTCAGCAATGATTGTCCTTAGTTTCAAATTGAATCAATGCTAAGAATGCCAAACACTTTTCTGCAGATAATAGAATGACATTACCTCAGCTTATCAATAAATATTGTACATACCTGGTTGACTTGCTAAACTGAGTAATATTGCCCAATCCCTCTGCCATTGACCTTCATCTAAACTAAACTGTAAGGACTGTGCTTGTAATGATTCATACTCCTTCCATCTTGGGTAAAATCTTAATAAAAAAAAAAATAAAAATGCTATGATTTTTTTAATTGCAAGATAACTAGATGTCAGATTTTGACTTTGAAAAGGGATACACTAAAAATATATGTAGATGACTACATTCCTATATATGCTTCTTGACCAATATTTTGTCAAAATAGCTAATATTCAAAATGTCCATACACTAGGCAGGGCAGTGCAGCACTGAAGAGCACACGACTCCAGAATTATTTTCTTTTTCTTGCTTCACTCCTGGATTCATCTCTACTGATACTATTGTTACCTTTTTTTAAAAAGAACACATGCAACTTACGTCATTGCTCCTTCATTTAAACTATCTGATAAGGCTCTACGTAGGCTGTTATCTATATCAAACACACCCCAAGTTGTTTGTAATACAGAATCTAATAAACAATCACCAGCAGTTCGATTCCATAAGGCATATAATCTACTACCTAAACAATTAGTTAACTCTTTACTCCAGTTGATGATAGATTCTTCAGATTCTAATTCTGTAAACAAATAAATTATAAGTTGAAAATAAACTTTTTAAATAGTACAATTTTTTTTATAAGAAAAGGGAAGTAGAGGCATTGAAGGAATCACTTTTTCTAAGAATTAATGCTTCATCAAATCATCCACCTGCAAACTTCCAATTTTTCAGAATTTTCAGAAATTTCCGTTTGTTTTCATCTAAAACTTACCATGTTGCACATCTCTATCTAAAAGTTCATCAAATAACTGACTTTGTACAGGAGTTGGTAAATCAACAATATCTGTAAAATATCAAAATAAATAACTTTGAATATGACGACTCCAATCTTCACTAGGGTTGAACTCCAATTCCACCCGGGTTCAGCAGTTTATGCCGACAGATGGTTACAACCATTTGCCACCTAGCAGACTGTCCTCGTGCAAACACAAACAGAGTTGACCCCAGAGTTTTGAACTCTGGAGTCAACCCAAGTCAGTAAATCCGTGGGTCCAAGTCCAACTCGTGTAAACGGGCATATAGTGTGTTCAAAAAACTAAAAGTAAAGCAGCTTAGCTATCGACTAGTCTTCGAGTCTGCTTTTCTTGATGAGCATTCAGACAGAAATAACAGTTTAGCCAACTTAGCTATAAGGTTGCCTAGAAGTTCAGAGGTCAAATATACCAAGCTGCCTTAACTTTATCTGTCTGAATGCAGAGAGTGTTATTGGTTCATTTTGATCTTAAATTTATTTTCATCTTACCTGCTGGAAGAGCAAAAGTAACACAGTCTGAATAGAAGAAACAGGGGAAATCACCCTTGCGTTGTCTTAGAGACGAGGCAATTTCTCTCCTGATATCTGAGGCTGTATCTGGACTAGAATGAGCTGGCAGACGTTTGATAGCTTTAGAAGCTACATCTGTGGCTGTTAATAATACTGCTAACAAATCCTCACGTTTATATTGTATTGCTAGATGAACTAATGTATACCCTACTTCAAACATTCCTGGTTTATTTAATAAAGACACTTCGTCCTGTGTTAGTTGGCGAGCAGGATCACCACCTGACTGAATATAAGCTTCTATAGCATTAGAATCACCGTCAACAATCCCTGAACAGGCTCCTAACCACAGCCAATCTTTGTCTTTCATTCGTTTCCGTAACAATCTAACACGTTTTTCTTCACTACGATTTCGTTCCTCAGAGATTAATGGTGTTGCGTAAGCACCACCTGATAAGGAAGCCATATTGTCTGCACTATAAGATGTACATGGAGAGGTTCGACCTCTACGATTTATAATATCTCTGTCATTATCACTACTAAAACACCCCCCTATAGCAAGACTGGTATCTGACTGAATTTTTTGACGACTTGTACCACATATAATGCATTTAGTATTTTTAGGATAGTTATCATAAGTACATGCTCGACATGTCCATTTTGTACCAGTTCTTGTATGTGATGCTACTGCTCTATTAATATCATTATTTATTGCTTTGGCTGCCTCGGGAGAGTTTGGAGACGTTCTGTTAGGAGTGCTGCGACCAGAACGGCTTTCTTCATTATTGACATTGACACTGAGAGGTTCCATTTTACTGCTAGCTGAACTGGTTGGTGAAGATTTACGTCTGGGTGTTAGACACTGAAGACATTTTAAAGCCTTAGGCCAGTTGAGATATGTACACATGTGACATGCCCATTTATTGCTATCAGAACCACTACTGCCACTACAGATGACATTGGATGGTGACTCAGCACTACGTGTCATCAAGGAAGCCATCTTATAGATATCTTGCTCTTGATCTACACTTTCAGTGATGAGCTGTTGAGGCCGTAATCCACGACACAATGTACATCTTTTGGCTGCTGGGAAATTATCATAGGTACAATAATCACATGACCATTTCCCTTCTCCTGGATCAGACATCTTGATTGGTGATCAACTTTCTACTGTGCATCAACAAACTGGAAAAGAAAACAACAAAACAAATGTAAGCAATCTAAATCTTGATTTGCTTTGCTCATATGAACTTCCTTTTTTATTGTGGTACCAAATATCTCAAATTTTCAATATACTGTAAATGTATATAATCTTGTCCTATCCGAACAACTAGCCGCTTTTTCCATGTCAGGCCCTCTTATTTGAAGTTAGTTACAAGTATAAGAGCATTTGTTCAAAGAGCTCAATGTTCAAATGACTGAAAAAAAATTATCATTCAATAAAATCATCATAAATAACAACAAGTTAGTTATAAGTAAGTACATGTAAGGAAATGATATTAATATTGTATATATATATAATACTATGACATAATACAGGATGTCAAACATGTTATTTCACAGCAGGTTACAATTATCCTGTTATTATCATTTTCTTACTGTAAACTTATCATATCCTTTTATGTTAGTACTTAGTAGTATATCAACTGCTTTAACAGATAAAATATCAGATCTAACTTGATTTAGAAATTATGTCTTTAAGGGATGATTTGCCATTTTCAGAGGTTGATTTGAGTCTTGAAAAAGCATAAGCTTACATGTATAGTCTTTAGAGGTACTACTAATATACAAATATTGCATAATTCCTTCAAAAATACCTCAAACTAAGAATTTCACTTTATAATGTCTTTTCTATGACAGAGTCTCAAAGAAAAGACAAGTCATCTTTTTAACATTCAAACGAAGGTAATTCTGAACATTCAAACAAAGGTAATTCTGAACACACATGGATTTTCAGGCTCAAATTTTGATGGTGAGCTGTGAACACTATGACTGATTTGATTAGCTAAAAAAAATTCCTGTTTCTGAAACTAAGGTATGATTGGTCGAAAGAACCTGTCCATTTTAAATCATCCTCCTTGTGATTTTTTGTGAAAGAAAATTTGTTGATATCCATATCTTATGGTTTATGAACTGACCGTCTCTGCTCACACTGTACTAGGTTTAATCATAGGAAATAACTTGAAGACTATTTAATCAAGCTTATTCTATACTGTATCTTTTATTGAAAAATCATTATTTTCTAACAAACTGCTCCCTGCTATGAAGATGCTTTAGAATCAAGTTTTTTTTCTTCAGAGAATTCATCTTATAAGCTTACCAAAAGATCTATTAATCAATTCCTACCAAACAAAATTGAAAATGCAATATAGCCTAATTCCAATAGAAGATTCTACAGCACAAGCAAATATACATTAAGACGTGCTAGGCTTCGTGAGACATTTTCAAGACTTAAGTGATGTGAAACATTAAAAATATCACGTGGAATATCAGGCCACTGCTAAAATGCTCTTTATAACACTCTTACAGGGCCTACCAAATAACATATGAAGCTTCATAAGAAACATGTATTATAATTTAGTGGAAAGATTCCAGATATACATAATTATCATATATAGTTGGCAACAACAAACGACTACCATTAGGCTACTTTTAATAATCAGCATTTAATGAGGACTACAAGTGCTGTTTCCTCAGAAGAGATGGGGAAGATGGGGAAAATATTATTTGGGGGAAATATTAAATTTTAAAATTGTTACCCGTATCTATTTTAGTAATCTATTTGTCCTTTGGTAATTGCAAGTAATAAATCCAAATCTGTTTTAGGCAAGTTTCTTCATGCTCTGGACCCACTAAAAGGTTTTATCTTCAAACTTGATGGAAAATTATCATCTGATTAAGGATACTTTATCTACCTTAAGATTTAGATTTAAGGTACAGACATGTCAAAGGTCACATCAAGTTATACATCCTGTGAAAACATGTTTAGATTAGAGGCTTCTGTTCTAAATTTAGTATCTATAGGCCTATCAGCGAGGGACTTGCTGCACAGATCTACCTTGTTTGATTGTCTTCCTGACAACGTAACATTCTTTTCTGTTTAATGCTTAAACATTGTAGTTTTACCTGTCTTTTTTCATCAAACATAATTTTAGTTACCATTATGACATTTTCAATTTAAAATTGTCATTAAGAGGAATCAAAATAGAAATTACTTTGAGCCATTGCCATAGACATGATAAAGTCAGCATACAGACAGTACAGGAAATGATAAAGAGATTTTAAGATTATCCTTTCACCAGAAAGCAGTAAAAAAAATTACTACACAAACCCATGTTTTATAACTTGATCAATGTGTGCTGTTAGTTACAATAATTGCTAATTAAGTAGAATTTTAGTTATTTTTACCACTTTTTACACAGGTTTAATTAGGCCTATATGTGTTACATAGACCTACACCTACTCAATAATTAGTCATAGGTGCATCATCAATAAACATTCATCTGTCTTCTACTGTCTCTGTCGTTTTTATCAATTTCAAGAAAAACCAAACTTTTAGAGCATGGAAAAGTGATAGTGATAGCTCCATTGCCAAGGAGCTCTTCAGAATATTAGCAAGAAATATTGGATTGGCTTTTCAAAATGGAATTTTTTCCAGACAACTATACTTATGTAACTATATAATCCAATGTAGATGTGTATCAAATACCCTGATCTATGGACATATGATGATGACCCAGGTCTCGAATTAGTCTTGTTTTGATTCTTCACCTTGACTGACTTAATCTCTGTGACTCTTCATTGTCTTGAGAAGTTGAGTATTGTTATTGTTGATAAACAAATGAAATGAGTAAAAATCCCAATTAAAGGTATTTGAGGTCTGAAATGCGACAATAATGAAACTTACATTGAGAAGAAATAAAGGGCAGAATCTGTGACAAAACTGTATGAATAAAATATGACAAATAAACGTCATAGAAACATTATATTATCCTCGTATGTTTCTTATCGAAACAGATTCATAATAACACAAACAAAACGACTTCCATTTTGACGTCATCGAAAGGTGAAAAGGCAGTAAATAGATTACAAAAATTACCTACTATAAATTAGATTCTTACTGCAATGTATTACATTAGATATATAGTTCACTGTGGATGTTGAATATTGCTTTATCTTTTTTTCCAACACTAATTGCGTCTTTAATGACCTATGAAAAGCAAGATTGATGTGTTTCTGCGTGACAGAAAAACAAATATGGAGTGTTTTTCACATGACAGAATTTGTCCAGATGTTATTGACTCAGATCCTTTGGCTATTCTAGGGGTATGTCAATAGAAACCTGCTGATTCAATGATTGAATTACAAAACTTTCCAAACAGTAGCGTCCAAACACGTATTGAAAATTTAATGCATACGAGATTTCCCCAATAAGAATATCTGTTCATTATGGCTATGGAGGAATGGGAATCAGACAACAAATATTTCCATTTTACAATGAAAACATAAATGAAATGAATGGACTTTTACGTCATGCTCTTCTAAACCTAATTGGCAAATGAAGATTGGCAACGCCATGCTGTGTCCAGAAGGGAAATTTTTTCAGCAGCATTAACTTAATCTTGAAACATTTCCAACTGTCAAGGGAATTTTTATGTGCACAGTCTGTATAGCCTTCACAATTTTAAAATTATCACTCTTCAAAGTTAACAACATATCAAAATTTTACACTGACAATTGTGAAATGACAGATAAACTCTTATCTATTATCATGTCTCTTTATAGTGCTCTACAGTTCATGCATAGAATCTTCACTCATTTGCTTTTGTTTCTATGAATTATCATTTGGCAATCCTCTGCAGTTTCCACATTTATTGAGTCAGAGTATTCAATATTAGTATGTATTAACTTTTTTTTTCTTTCAATTTCAGATTACATATGAAAATGATTTGAAAATCAAGCCAGGAAAAGTTGTAACACCTACTCAAGTTCAAAATGAACCAACTTTAATCTATGATGCTGACCCAAGTAGTTATTACACACTTATTATGCATGGTATGTATCAACGTAAGCCTATAGGTAAGTGAAAAATGGTAAATTGTACTGAAAAAACAGCAATGCTTGAAATTTGGTGTCAGGAAATTTCTTGAATTCTTCAAATTCTCTCTGAATTTTGTGTTTTTCTATGACAATTTGAATAGGTTGATGGTTATTGATTCTATTTTTCTGTAAAATATTTTGTCAAATGTCTTTCCAATACTGGTATACTAATTTTTGATAAGGATTTGTAATGTGGAATTTTCTTAGTGGCTTTCATTTGCTTTTATTAATATATAAGCTATACTAAAGCATTTTTGTATGATTAAGTTTTTAAATGTAAATTAGCTTCTTTTTTAGACTCAATAAGTTATGCCTTCCAATTCACCTAGTTTGCAATATGCTGCATATTATTTTTAAATATGTGCCTCTACAATGATTTTATAAAAGACACCAAAATTAAACCATAAACATTTAGAGAATTTCCTAAATTTATGAAGATAATTTACCAATAAAAGAGTCAATTGACTGAATTAATTTCCATATTTTTGTGTTCTCTATTTGATTTTGCTAGATATGTACAATTTTCCATTTAGCTTACTGTTATCTTCTATTTATATTTTAGTTTGGTTTTTAGTTTGATGTATGTCTGTCTATATGATTTGATGGGGTGATGTATGTATATAGTAATGTGTTAAATTTTCATAATTTATACTGAAGTGCAAAAGAAAAATTCTGAAAATACTGATATAGGCACTTGCAGTTACTTGTTGCGTTGGACTGACATTCTACTGCTTCTCTTTGTTGTCAGTTTAACAATGCATTTTTACGATGTCCAGATGACATTTCTTTTGCCTTTCAGTATATTACTTATTGAGCTTCCTTTTCCTTTCTTGAAGGTACATGGTGAAAATTATAAATTTCTTCGTAGAATGCATAGAAGCTTTTAGGTTTAGACCATTTTACTTTAAGAGATCATTCAAATTTTTATCAATCAGGATTTTCCTTTATTTTTATTTATCAAGGGAACATATGAAAACTTGTAAAGAAAACTGAAATATTTTTTTCTGTTTGTTACTATAATTGTTATATTTTCATACTGCAACTGATAAGTTTGGCCAAGTGACGTTCATATCAAATAGTGAAACAGAAAGATTAGAAGACTAAATCCATATAGAGATTAAGGAGAGTCCAATCCTCCAATTTGAGATATAAAATGCCTAAATCATTATTATTTATCTTGCTTTTTGGTCATCGCCACTTTATTGTAGGATGAGATTGTTTTAAGGCTGCTTTATGTATAAGAAGAGCTTTCCTATGCCTCTGCTAACTTTCATCATCAAAAATAAATCATTAAGAATTATGAACACATTTGAATTTAAGAAATTTTAACAATTTAGATCCTGATGCCCCGTCCAGAGAGAATAATATCAATGGTGAATGGCAACATTGGTTAATAGGTAACATACCTGGAAATAGAGTTAAAGATGGTGATGTTTTATCTGAATATATAGGTGCTGGTCCTCCAAAAGATACAGGTATATACTACATTATTATCATACTACATTCAGATAAACCCAAAAATCCAGTCCTACATTCTACTTTCCAATAGCCTTGCTTTAGGAATAGCAGGGCAGTTGTGGCTTGGTGACACTTACTCACTAACCTGGAGGTCCAGAGTTCAATCCTGGCATAGGTGTAGAGGACACATTCAGATTTTTCAACCAGGTTTACCCCTTTCAGTGATGCAGGTCAGTGAGGGTGTTGTATAGATGAGACAATAAGCCAAGGCTGTGCACATTAAAGATCCCTAAACATTCAGATATTGAAAAAGAGAAGGCTAATGCCAATGTCTGACACAATTTCCCTCCTGGCATAATTCATGATGTTGCTTGTTCTCATAAGTTTAGGTACAGAAAAGTAGGACTTGAGCTCCATTAAAGGAGAAAATGTAAAGTGAAGTTGTACAGCATGACCTCGTTTCAAATGAGGACAATTTAATCAATAAGGCACAACACCAGGGCATCTAATAATAGATGTGCGCTGTAGTAGAAAGTAACCTTATGTCATTGTACATTGCAAAGTGTTCATCATGTTGCTTTCACAAAGGTAGTATTAGTCTTCAATATGTGACCCTTGATTCATTGGAAGAATTCATGCTTTTATCTATACAGAACAGTTATATTTTCATCTATCTCTCTTCAGGTTTACATCGTTATGTTTTTGTTGTTTTTAAACAAGATAGAAAAATAAATTTCGAACTTCCAAGATTAACCTGTCACACAATGAAAGGAAGAGCAAAGCAAAAAGTCAGAGATATATGCAAAAAATATCATTTAACTGAATTGGTAGCTAGTAATTATTTTATGGCTGAATGGGATGAATATGTGGTTCAACTTTATGCCAAGTTTAGATAATTTATTGAAGTGAATACGGTAGAGTCTCGTTTATCAACACATTTCAGCTTTTATTTTCACAGCAGATTAAGCTTTTTTCAGTTTATTTATACAAATGTTGATCAATAATTATTTATATTTATATTGTTATTATTAAATTGTTGAGCTGAAACTGTCTTTTCTTTCATAATCATTAGATTTCATTGTGATAGATGTTTTGGTGAAATTGATGAACAGATTATTTTAGATTTAAAATGCAGCAAGGTTTCAACTTTCTCATGTTTTGTTAGAATCTTAATTCTTTAACCCAGAAGTCAAGACCCACCAGTTGACTAAATCTATAAGGGAGACATGCATATATGAAGCTTTTTAAGGGGTTTCTAGCGGAAGGTAATGATTAAGTCATCTAAATATTTGCTTTGACAGATAATACAGCTCTATTTCAGTAACACTTTTTAGAATATCACTTTTCCTACTTAAAAGACCATATTATATTTCAAAAGAATCTCAAGAGATATGGTAAAAAAAATATATGCCACATAGGAAGGTTAGAGAACACAAAAAAAGCTATGATATACAAATGTTTGTAAAAATTTAATAAAAGTAAAAAATTAATATTAAAGTATATAATAAAAAGGGTTTACTATTAAAATTGTACATTTGAAACAATATGAGTCAATAACATTATGATCTGTTAGTTGATAGCCAAAATTGCTCATTTATCTCTCTAACCAATAATTTTACCACCAACACAATCTTGAATGTTTTTGGAAATAATTGGCATCAATTAAGAATGATGCACATAAAATCAACCATCTTTCTTCATTGGTGAGACCTTCATTAACTGCAAACAAGACAAACAAATCAAATTTCAACAAAAATAGCAGATTCACTCTCCAAAGTTACAGATGATGCATGGTTCTTAAGCAACATTACATGATAATGATTAGATGTGAATAATCGTACTGTTAATGAAGGACCATGCAGATGATGTACAGTCATAGCAAAACTGAGTAGAAATTCCCCCAGTGATGCAAACCTGTGCTTGGAAAGGTCCAATTTGCTATCTGATTTATTGCAGATATATATGGTGCCACTCAATAAATTACTGTAATCAAGTTTTTTAACCAAAGAGAATGCTTATTTCAGTAAGGTTATATTGCATCAATAACACTCGCATGAGTAATTTATCAAAGAAGATTCTATGTTAACTGGTTTTATTTGTGAATTTCTCAACCAAAATGTTACAGTTAGATAAAATTACTTACAATTTATTTTAAAATCATCCACAGCACCAATACAATCTCTACAGCCTGACCATATTCTAGTTATAGTTGATATAACTTCACCTGAAGTTGTCAAGACCTGAAATTATCATTAACTACTATTATTGATAAATCATTTAAAGAGGTTTTTATGTGATACAAGTTTATTTTATGATTAGTCATCAAACAACCTGGAATTGCACGAACCAAAGACGTCTGATGGAATTGGAATTGTGCAAATTGATGCTATCAGTGTCTCTATTGCATATAAAAAAAATTAGTAAACCTCTTTACAATCATTTAATAGTAATAATTAATGATGTTAATGCTGTATGACGTCACTTAGCAACGGACAATATACCGGCTGCTCGTATTTATATTGCGTTAATGAGTGGCTGGTAAACCTGCTGCTAGGGTTGAAATCGTTAAATGACAAGAAAGGGATACTTACCTGAAATTTAATATCTGATCCAAGTCTACAATGACATGAACTACCCTCTATTATATATAATAACTCATTATCTTTATCATTAATATGAAATATTGGTTTCAAACATGACCATCTAATAAAAAAAATATAACAATTACATTTTCAAAAATAAATTTAAAGGGACAACACTGACTAATTTTGCTTTAGTCTGAAATCTAACTTTTTAGTAATCGTAGCATTAATAACAGTAATTGTAATTAGTAATTGTAAAAGTTAAACCCCCTTCCCCTTAACCTGTGGGGTATGGTGTAGGATTATCTATACAGTACAATTAATAAAGGCAATTTGCTTGGATTCTACTAGTTTCTTCTATTTTCTTGCACTGACGCCATGCCTCATTAGTTCACACCTATCATACCAGATGCCATAAATGTTTGTTATTTGCTACCAGAAACCTATGATTGAATAGCATAGAAAATCCGTACAAGCAAGACAATCTTAATGTCTTCCAAAGTATGGAAAAATCCAGAGTTGTGTAGTAGTGGACTCCTCCAAAGAGAAGTATCATAAGATAGTAAAAAGACAAAATCAACTTACTTTTCATGAACAGAAGCAATCTGAGCACCAGTTGAATTGAGAATATCTAACTGTTGTAGCTGACAACACATAAAACAACATCTACTTGTACAGCGTTTTGGTCTATATACAGAATATAATACATTATCATCTACTGTAATCTTTAACTTGAATTCTCTTAAACCACTAAAACATTGTCTACCATAACAATCAGCAACTACAACAATTCCAAGATTCTTTGTAAAGCTCACAATCTAAAATACTGATGATCAACACTTTTGGGGGGTTCTCAGATGGGTAATATTTCTTATTCATTTTAAATGGCCTTGTTGAGGCTTTGGAAAAGCACATTTAATTGAGATAATGCCACAAAAGTTCACTCAAATGAGCTGAAAGCAGTCTCAGTGACTGATTGCATGAGATGGCATCACCAATCGCAAAGGGCCTTATATAATAAAACATATTTTGCGATTAGTGACATCACTAACACTTAGTTTAAGTGGAATTTCAGGAACCACAGACGTCTGATTGAAAATTTATATGGTGCAAATTGATGCAATCAGTAGACACACACAAATTTTAGAAAACTTCTTTACAATCCCTTTAAAGCCATAAATCCAATGAAAAATGATATTTTATCAGCTTTCTCATCATACAATCCAATCTAAATAAATGTTACCTTCATATACGTATAAAAGTTGATTATCATCAGCATCTAATATTTGGTATCGACTGATCCTGGACCAGGCAAATATTACTTAAAATAAATATAATTTAGTTAGTTACAAAATATTTTCACTGTTCAAAAGTGCTCAATACATCAATTGTAGAGCCATATATAAATATTAAAACAAACCCTGAAACATGTTGCAACTCCACACTAGCTCCACACTATGTGATCTTCAGACAACTCATAATATTTAATCTCTACAAATTTGTTTTCATAACCTATCCCTATCACTTTTTGGCATTTAAATCAGACATCCAGTTCTCCTATCATTAATAAAAAACACTGACATTTCAATTACTAAATGCCACTTAATGAATAGGTACAATTTTGTTATATTGTATAGGAACTTAACATCAGGTTCAAATTTTACAAAAAGCCAGAAACATTTGCTAACACTCTACAATATAATTCAATGGTTTATGGTACAGTATTGGTAATAAATAAGTAGGCCTACCTTCAACAACATCTAATAACTGATGAACTAAAATATCATTATGTGCAGTTAAATTGAGACTTGAATTTGGAAATTCTTCGGCATTTTGTTTACATGGTTGAGTTTCAATGATTTGTTGCTTTTCTTCAGCCATATTTATTCATATTGAATCATTCTCTATAGAAAAATATGCCTAAAGTTAACAAACTGTCTTCACATTCCTTAGTAAATCAATTGTAACTGATCATTTATTGAGTTTAGTTGATGAAATGCTGAAAAATGAGCATCAAAGATATAAATTTTTGTACACACTGTAAATTTATTCATGGTTTTTCGTTACGCCAATTGAGCATTTAGCATTTAATCCTTGTTTTCTGATTAATTTCATTATAAAGAAATCGCCTGATTTTCCAACCGGTTTTCAACATGATGTTCGGTTATACCAAATAAATTGACATATTCTCCCATTTTTTTCTGGTTCTGTAAATTGTCATTGTGGCTAACTATATGGCTATGCTCATGAAATTGGCAATTAGGCTATTGCAGCACATTTAAGTAATTTAAATGTTACTGTACTAACGAAATTGCAGTTTAATTTCAAGTTATTGAAATTTTCATTGCTGCATGTCATATTGTCAGGAATGTTGTGTCACGTGGCTTCCACTTTGACAGTTGTCACGTGACAAAACATAGGGACTAATATTTTTCTGCTATTCAAAAAGAAACAATTGAAGTAATAAAGGTCATTTTCTAAATCCTTTCACCATTTATCTTTATTATGAACTTTTCTATCGTGTAAAACTACAAGTCTTTTTGCAAAAGCAGCTCTAATTCGCTCAATAAAGTCAACTACGAAAAAAACGAAATCACTTCTCCCAACATCCGGGAACTAATTTCTTTACGGAAAAAGAAAACTCACTTGGTAAGAAAAATTAAAATAGTGGTAAAAAGACCTAAATGATTTATTTTGCGGATTAGAATTTTCGAGAAACGTGTTGTGCAACTAATTAGTAGTGTAGCTTGTATATATAATGGGTATCAACACCTAAAATGCTCTGTTAATCTCTAAACTAGCACAACAGATTGGACAAAATTGCGTGTGTTGACATTAGCCTATCTATTGGCATTGCTAAAGTAAAAACTAAAAGTGATGTCTGATGGTATGCACGATGTCGATGTAGTGTTTAGCAGCAGCCTGAAAAGGATTATTGCATATCAAAATGTTATATTTTACAGGGTTGTTTTTAAGAAGATGTACATGATAAAATAGTGTTATCTCTGACTAGAGAGCATTTTTAAGGTGAGTTAAAAAGCACTACTGTTGTTTTATAAATAGGCCTGCACTGTGTAGGCTAGGGACAGCCAGTATAGGACAGACCTACTGACTCCTATCTCCCTAGGTCTGTTCACAATTTTTCCAACATGCCATGGAATAATTTGAGCATGTTGGGAAACTAACCGTTGTACATTCGTTTTGGTGATTAAGTGCCTGACATAAGCTTGCCAGACTTTGACTTATAAGATTTTTTTTACAGATGAAAATGTAGTAACATCGAATAACAAATATATTGGGGATATGGGTAATTCAAAATCAACAAGGGCAGAATGTCATTCAACTGGTATGCCTCAAAGAGAAAGAGATTTACATCTGGCTGTTATGGCTAATGATAAAGAGAGTGTTAGGCAGATGATATCACATGGGGCTGATGTCAATTATCCATGGAATAATCCAGCAGTACCTAGTGTTAAAGATAGTACTACTCCTTTACTTGCTGCTGTTTCTTTAAATCATGTAGAAATTACCAAGGTATGACAACAAATTTTGAAGCGAAATGCCTATACATGATTATATTTTCGATGAAACTTAACTAATAGGATTTCAGTCTCTTCATCAGTTTGGTATTTACAGAACAGATAGAACAATTTTCCCAGTGAAGCAAGAAAACAGTTATGTAAAATGGCAAACCAAGGTTTCACCTTGTCTCTGGTCAAACCATTTTAAAAGGACTACATTTCTGACCAAACACTTAGTCTCCCTTGAAGCCCTTTTGTATTTACTTTGACCATTTTGTAGTGGGCTTATGATAATTTACACTATATTGTAGTTGCTGATAAAGGCTGGTGCCTCAGTTAATCTTACTGATAGAAATGGATGCACACCTCTATATAAAGCTGCTTATCATGGTCGACCTGTTCTTATTGATATGCTGGTCAAAGAAAGTAAGTAGCAGTACTGCATATTTTGCAATTTAACTGTTTTACTCGGACATGAATTGTAATAAACAGTTCTTCAGGAATGCCAGCAACTAATGTTAGCAGTGGGATAACAGCCATCAAAAAGGTTTTGCTCGGAGAAGAACAGTTAGAGGCAGATGTTCCTGGGATTGTTATCTCAATGCCCTCAATTTCCTTCGTTCAGCACGTGAGACTTTTGCTCGATATCTTGTGGGGCCACATTATGGCTTTATACATTACATTACATTTTTCAGATGCTGATGTAAATTTAGCCAACAAAGAAGATCAGACACCATTGTATATTTGTGTACAAAATGCAATTGTTCATTCAAATTTTAATGCTGTTGTTAGAATTTTAGAAGCTGGAGCTTCAGTTAATTTGTGAGTTCAATCAATTTCTTTAATTTTTGTTGTTCACTGATAGCAACACTGTACCTACAAAAACTCACCAAAAACCATAGAAGATATCAAAAGACTGATCTGTCCGATTATTTGTAATGCTTGTGAGAATGCTATTAATCATAAAAAATGTCTTCAAGGGACAGGGGTACCATTTTCGGGGGTTAATTTGATTCTTTTAATATATGTAAGTAGTCTTTAGAAGTACTAGAAATGTACGAAAAAGCATAATAATTCTGGACACATGGATTTGAAGGCTTAAATTTTGACGGGTGAACTGTGAACACTATTACTGATTAGCTTAGCTAAAAAATTCCTGTTTCTGAGACTATGGTACAATTGGTCCAAAAAATGGCATCTGTCTATTTAAGGTGACTATTTCAACCTTTTTGGGTGATTAGATATTTGAATTTGACAAAACTTAGTTTCTGACTGTAAAGAATTAATGCATAAATGATCAAAAAAGATCAAATTTAATGAGATCATGTTTATTTTAAACATAATGATGTATGTATTCTTTCAGTCGTGATAAATCTGGTAAAGCACCTATTCATATAGCAGCTCATTGGAAATTAAAAGACATGATAAGTTTATTAATTCAAGCCAATTCAGATATAAATATTATAGACCACAAAGGAAGAACACCATTATACGTCTGTGTTAGCTCCCTTTCTACTGGTCTCTACAAAGAAGATTTGAAATATCAAGTTCCATGTATAAAAGTTTTATTCGCAGCGGGCTGCGATATGATGAACCTAGCTGATTGGCTGAAATGGAAGGGGCCTGGAATTCCTCAAGAATTACTGGAAGATGATGAACAGTTTTATCTGTGGTATAAAAATAATGTCAAGTCTCCACATTCACTGATGAATTTATGTCGTAAGGTCATTCAGTATAAGATTTGTGATAAGGACATATTGAAAACAATACCACGTTTACCTGTACCACCGAAACTTGAAATTTATTTATCTCGTAAAATGTTTCACCTTCCCTCTCCACTTTTCACTATTTATCCCTGCTAAATTTAAATCTTGTAAGATTAAGACAGTCTGGAGATAAAGTAAACCCAAGATGTATGACAGTAGTTAATGGACTGAGGAGGAAAACATAAATTTATATCAAAAATAAAACTAGTCAGACTTAGTGCTTATTACTAGTGCTTCAATAAATAGTCCAAGGCGAATTTTAAAAAGTAATCTTACATAAGATAGTAAAAAATTTTCCTGAGACAGTTCCTTAAAATGAATGAATGAATCTCCATTGAAGACAAGAGGTCCAAATACTTTGGACTCTTAAACACGTATATTAATTTATAAAAAATATCAAAGATTTTACAATAAATGTTTTTGATTAGAGCTACAGAAAGTAATCACATTTAAATTTCTATAGAATCGTAAATGTTAAATATCAATTTGGATTTAATCCCCACGTTTAGGGGTGAACATCATTTTTATACGCCCACATCTCTCTATGTGGACGTATATTGTCGGCACCCCCGCCCGTCAGTCCGTCAACATTTGCTTGTAAACGCTTTAAAAACTAGATTTTTTGATGGAATCAAATGAAATTCGGTATGTGTATACATATTCATAAAACAAAGATCAAGTTCGAATATGAGCTATTTTCGACCGTTAGAAGCAGAGTTATTGCCCTTGCCCCAAAATCTTGAATATTTACCATCCACATGCTGTGGTGGGCGTATATAGCTGTGGTCCACTATCTTAAATAATGGAATACAATTTGAATGAGAATTAAATCTACTTTTCTAACACTGAAGCTAATATAAATTGACTTGATTCAGGTAGCCATTCAAGAAAGACAATACGATGCAAATACACATTACGTTACAATATTTTCAATATTCTGGTAATTTATCTTAGTAGAAAATATCTCGTATAATTCCATTTCAATGATATTCAGGATAATAGTTGAGTTTTGCAAGTCTTGTACCTATATAATGTATATATTATGATGTTACTTGTTATATTATAGTTCTTGTTGATTTTATAATTATTATTATTGTTACAAGTGTTTCTTAAATTTTAGTGAAATTGTAGGTCTCAATTTCAAAAGTGCAACAAACCTATCTCAAATAGAACAAGAAATTGGATTTTCAGTGTCAAAATTATGCCGAAAATTTAATTCAATGAAATTATAGTACACATCAACGATATTATTGATATTGCTAAACCTTATATAATTATTGTAACTAGCAATCATTTGGTACTCAAGAATATAACTTGTTCGATCTAATTTGGAACATACTTTGCGATTTTTTTAATCCATAAACAGAAGTGTTATGGCATTTTATTAGTTTTGTTGTTCTTGGATAAGAGGAGAATTTCTGACAATTTCGTGTTTATTTAATGCAGTGACACCATTTGCATTTTACAACAGTGCAATTGATTATCAGTTTCATATTGTATATTCACCTGTATGTTTCCCAAGTCTAATTAGAGTTGGGCCAGGCTTTCTTTACTTATTTTTACTCAACCACTCCAGCTATTTCTTCATATGAATAACCTTTGACCTGACCTGTTTACCTCTGCTATATCCAATCAAATCACACTGTTCTGGTCCAAACACTATGTTCAGTTTATTAAATAAACTAGTCTAATGCTACTTGGAATACATTTGGTTCCTGTCTCATAATCCCAGTGCTGATTGGCTGAAATGTTCTCAATCAGATTAAAGTTATATAAAGGAGTTGTTAGATCTTTACTGGAGAGGTTAATTAAAAAAATAAAAGCTAATACAAATACAGAAGGAAAGTTTGGCCTGATTTTAATTAGACGTTCCCTATATGATTAACTAACTGTTAGCTTGGATGTATATTTTACCTTTTAACACACCTTATAACATCTAATATATCTACCTTTCCTTCACCTCACTATTTTTATAATACAATATATATTAATAACAGAATAATGACAAGTTGAAACCCTACAATAACTTTACTACTGGCTGGACCATTACTATTATTAAAGATATGATTAAATTTGGACAAAAAACTAAAGCACATCTGTGAACATTTCTATTCACAATAGAGTGGAATATTACATGTCAAACCTTATGTATGTTCTTAACAAATTAAGCAACTAAATTAAAGTGGATTTTGTGTTATGTTTGAAATGTCCGCCAATTGGCATAGGAAAATCAAACATTACTAACAAACGAGCAGTCCACTTTATATTTAGGTATGTAAGTAGTAATATACACTAAATGCTTGACTCTTATAGTTAATGTTACTACCTAGTCTACCTGAAAACAAAATAGACTTTTTACTTAACGTCACAAAGAATAACATAGTATTGACAGTGTCAAAAAGGATAAATAATTTCTCTATTGCTACAGTGATAACTTAAACCACAAATGTTCAATGAAAACAAAAACTGTCATTATTCTGTTATGATTGTTTAAAATTTATCTTAAAGTGCAGATGTAGTGAATTTCAATTGAAATTGATAAAAAATGATGAAGTATTTAAATTTTATTAAAACATTTTATTGGGCAGTGAGCTGGAATCATTGTTAGTATATTTCAATTTATTTGAACTTGTTGTTGAATATTTGTTTGAATATTATTTATATTATTAGCCCTGGTTGGCGTATAATGAAACACGTCTGTCTGTGAAATTCGTATTCAAAGTTAACTGTATGTTAGACCTGAATAATTTTTCCTTCAATCTGGTCTAAGTAAAGTGTAGAGATTATTGCCAAATCATGAAATAACAGTCTTGCAGTGTTTGCACTGTTGTCAGCAATTCAAAATTGAGTATCATTATAATATAGATTCCGATCTTTTCAGCCAAAATAATGTTATCTGTGGTTCAAATTTTAAACTTAATAAAACTTAAAGTAAAATCACTATCATACACTATCAGTATACCGCTTTAAAGCTGATATTCAAAGCCACTTTGTGTGCAGAAAAGTAGGACGTAAAACTCCATTCATTTCATTTCAAGCAACTTTGAATAATGGGTGAACTTCAGTTTAGTGCAATACAGTTGAAATATTTTGGTGTAGAGCTTAACTGCCATCTAATAATATAAATTGGACTAAATTTTATGATGATCAACCTTAGATTTGTTAAGATAAATTGAGAAACAAATTTCATAAAAGTTTGTTACGCTCATATGATGGATGGCTGTGAAAAATGAATTTTAATCCCATATTTAAGATACTCTTAGTAACTTTTGAAAAATTGGAATATTTAGAATTAGAACAATGATAACTTTACATCTTTGCATACCATTTTTTCATAGATTTTATGAAGACTTTTGATTGTTTATTTAATAAGATCTAGAATTAGTTTATAGTGGCACATAGGAGTGGTATGTTTTTATTCAAATGACTGTATAGCCCACCTGTTTTGAGTGGCCCGATAAGAATATGGCGAATTTGGCGTAAGTGTAGAATTTTGCATTGAGTAATACCAAACTTGATCGTAAGATTTTTTGTGGAACGGGCCCAGGACTTGTGCAAATTTTTGACATTTCAAAGGTATACAGTCCTGTAAATCTTTGCTTCCCAGCTGATAGAGCTCAATTTTAGCTATTTGTAGGAGATTTTTAATTCTGGTAAGGAGTACTGATTAACTGAAATTGAGCTCTGCATCCGTTGAAGTAAATATTAAGACATAATTATTACCTTTACAAATTAATTTGGGACAAACTCGATATGTGTTAAGATTGAAAAAATAACTGCATCAATATATAAACTTATAAAGAGATATATATTAAAATGAAGAAATATTGTTTAAAGGAGGCTGGAACTCTCAGTAATTAACAATTTTAACTAATAATTATTTGTTTTATTATATTATAATTAGAGAGAATAAAGATTATTATCACTTAATATTGTTATATTGCCACTATATCATGTGGTTCTACTATGCCATCACCCTTGTCCATTTCAGTCCGTCTATTGGTTAGTGAACACTATTTAGACTGTGGCCAGATCTTTTTTGGTCCTTTCCATTGATGAATACCCCACATAAAGCCTGCATCTCTCTCACGTTTATAACCTAGACAATGTGAAACATAATGTATACCATCAATATCGCGATCACGCTGTCGGTGTTGATGTCCATAAACATGTATGATAGGTTTAATTTGTCGTATTTGTTTTTCAATTCTCTGACATCCAGCATACATTGAGAAATTAAACAATACTTTCGTTCTTTCTCCATCACTTGTGTCCTTTCCTAGTCTTTCTTGTTCTGATTTTAATTCTTTTTTCTCTATTTCATTTGCAAATATTAAATCCTTTCTTGGTAGAAAATGGCTAAATGTTATAACTGGTCCGTCGAAAGAATCTGGTAAATTTTTCTTATTGAAATTTTGAAAATATTCCGATTTTGTCGTATCCAGTTCTGGCCAGATACACAAATGGTTGTCCATCCATAGATTTCTTGCATTTTCATCTGCTTTTTGGTTGGTTGCTGTCATGTACAAAGAATTGGCTAAATCATCATCTTGATCAGAATACCAAGAAAATACTGGACAAATCCATAATGACTCTTTTTCATTCATTTGTATTTTTTCTGCCTTAGTTAAAATTCCCATTGAATCGCAAAGCTTTAGAATTTCATGAAATTTAACAATAGAATTTTTACATTCTTCAGGTCGCTTTATCCATAATTCATGGTTTCCTGAAATTACACCCAATAGAGTAGGTTGGATTGATAGAAGAGTCTCTTGTTTTCAGTGCAATTAACTAATAATATCTATTACTGCCAATGAATTGGGTTATTAAAGGCATTGAAAAGAGTTTCTCAAATTTTCTTATGTGTATCTGGGACACTCATAGTATCAATTTTCATCATTCCACTCTCAGACATCTGTGGTTCCTGCAATTCCACTAAAACTAAGTGATTGATAACATCATTAATATGCTTTATTAAGCTCCTTCTCCATTAGTGACATCATCAAACACTTAATTTTAGTGTAATTGCAGGAACCACAGACATCTGATTGAAAATTGGAATGGTTCTAATCGATTCTAACATTGTATCAGTTTATCCCTGATACACAAAAAAAAATCTATACCCATGGGAAAGTAAATATATAAATTTCTTTTTATTTCACAATATTTTCTTCAGAATTCTTCAGTTATACCACCTTATTGTAATGTTTTGTGCTATAGGGTATCCCCACCCTTGGGATCAACTAAAAATAAAGAGTTCATACCTGTGACATAAAAAACTTTATAAAACATCTTCTTCAGTTGTTGGAATGTTTCTTTTAATAAACTGATAGAGTCAGTGACATCACCAGCTACTATCAACACATCATTATGATAATGTAGATGAGTCCATGTTTTGATAAATTCTCTGTTATCAAGATAATCTACATGTAGATCTGATATAGCAAATACTCTTCTTATTTCACTCATTATTCTTCTACAACTCAACTTCATCCCTGCAAATATGATATGAAATGAAGCTTAAAGGAATTGTAAAGGGTTTTTTTTCTCCAATTTTTATAGTTGAATTGCAGAAGCTACAGACGTCTGACTGAAAATGCTATCAGTGTCCCCAATAACAAACAAAGTTAGAAAACCTCTTTATGGAAAAATATGGGCAGTAAGAACGAACACTGGAAAATTTTGTCTGCAGTGGTAACCACTGCTGCAATGATTCTGCTATAATGCTTTGACACCTTGCTCTTAGAAACAATAGTCAATAGTTCAACTCTGTATAGCAGGATATGTAAATGAGTTTTATGGTCTACTTATCTTGGAGCTCATGAAGCCCAGCAAAGCCATGCTGTGTGCAGTGATGAAAACTTTTCCAAAGTAACAGCATTTAATGTTATATATATAAATAAACAAGGTTCCATATTATATGGACTTGAGCATATTTGGTATCATGAAAACAGAATCAAGCTTCTCGATTGCTATATCAGACTCCCCAGCACCTCTACATTAAAATTGAATATATGCCCTTAGTACAAATAATGAGATGCAAATAGAATGATTAATAAATAATCTTTACATTTAGCTAATTGTAGACAAACGAGATGCAATGACCAACAATAAATGAGTAAATGACATCAGAGAAATATTTTAGTATTGATAGTCTTTTTTAATGAAGATCATTTTTATAAATAAAAAAGATAATCCATATACAAACAAAATAACATACAATTATGTGCATCAATATATATATAGGCTGTAGTAATGTTAAAAGCAAGCAAATACTTGATTAGTTATATACTGTTTCTTTAGATATTTCTATATCGCTCTACAATTGATGTATTGAGCACTATTTTAACCGTGAGAATTTTTAGTTGATAACAACGAAGACAATACAAATACATTTTCCGTTCTTCAGAATTTTGTACAAAAAAAAGGCATGAGCTAACAAAGCAAACATTATATTTTGAAATGCTTAGTTTTGCTTTGTGGAAAAAAATCTTGTAGAAGTTGTTTTAGAAAATAGCAATTTAAGGACATAAAACAATTTCTTTAAGTAAAAAAGAAAACATATTTTAGCAGAATTCAACTTGCGTCGGAACTAATTTATCATTTTGAAATTCTATTACATAAGTTATCTAACAACCTTTAAAAATTATAGCATATTAATCTATAACATGTAAATGCTTGAAAATGGTAAGAAAGAGTAACATGAATATGTTTATAAGATAATAAATTTTTTAAACAAGTATGCACATTAATCAACCACAGCTTTATACTCAAATGTTAACATGATAACAAGAATTTGGAATTCAGAATTTGTTGCTATTTACAGGGGTAGAGTTATATAATTATTTGCTTTATCATTCAATAGAGCTCAATGTCATCTATCAGTCCAGTTCTCGAACAAGAACACACCACACAGTAGCCACACACATTAACACATCATCACTTCCAGGGCATTATTGACCTTCTGTGTAGTAATTTCAAATATCATTTGTTTTTAAACTGCAAGCTACAATATTCATGATAGCACCCTAAAAGAGACAACAGTCTAAACTTTTATCAATTGCAGGAGAACCAAGTGTCGGCTTTTAACTCAGAAAGAGATATGGATAGCTATTACATAAGTGCTGAACAAATATCTAGCATCTGTATCCCTGTATGCTTAATAACATCAAAATCAATAGCTTAAAGCTATCGATCTTGCCTATATGCTTGTCAATTAACATTAAATACTGATAACAAATAGCAACAACAGTCAGGTTTCAATTCACATTTAAATGGTGAGTCCTGCAAATGAAACTTCAGTATCACCAATTTCTTTCTTCATTTGTAAATGTTCAACAGTGTTCTTGAAATGTTTGTTGATTTGATCGGTTTCCTCATTTGCCTCCAAATTTGGTAAATGTTCTTGAATTTTGGTGATTATTTGGTTTAGAACTTGGATAGATATTTGATCACAACCTTTTTCAAAGAAATAAATGTAATGATTCAATAACTCCACAAAGAGTTGAACTTGAACAGAACTGTCCATACATTGGTTAGCGATTTTAAGTCCTTTCTTTAAACAATCTGACACACGTTTACCATCTCTCATTTCTTCACCTTTACTATTTTTACCAGACCAAAATAAATGGGAACAGATTGACACTCCACGACATTGATCAGGTTTCTTCAACAATTTAGAAGCAGCAAGGGCACACTGCGTTCTGAGAGGTTCATGGTTTTCTTCTCCAAAACACGACATTTGTTCCAAAGTAGCAATGATCAATGTAATGGCTGCCAATTGAGCTTTACTATCACTGATTTCCTCTTCATAAATAGAGAAAGCCTGTGACATAAATTCATAAGCCACAGTTTCATGGTTTTCAAACTCAATTCCACCAGCAGTTACTGCCCCTTGTAGGAACAGACGTAGAGGAATTTCAGCTAATTCTGCTTTAATTAGAGCACCAATAGTTTGGTGAACAAATTGGAAAATCTTTTGACATTTTTTTTCCCAATTTTCATCTTCTTCTTTCAAGTCCACATATCTGTTGGCCAGACGGCAAGCGGCAAAAACAATTGGGGGTAAGGTAAACTTGATTCTTTGGTCACCTCCACTTCCAAAATGTTTCCTGGCCATATTAAGAATCAGGAACTGTTGATTAGGATCTTCGGAGTAGAGCAGATGAATAAACCTTCCCATAAGACCTTGTTCTTCAGCAAAATCTTCAGGATCATCAATCTCTTCAGGCTGATCATTCTGATCTTGAACCAAGCAATTCACAATATTTAGTATCAAGTCAACTTGCTCTTGAGTAGGAATACACGTTTCATTTTCCAGAATATTGTTAATGATGAAACAACTCATGAGTTTCCTCCCTTTATAGTCGAAATATTCAAACATGGCTCCAAAATGTTGAAGTTCCAAAACAGTCAGGATGCTATTGTAAGTGTCAATTGGGATTTTCATCAATTTCATCAATTCTTTAGAAACAGCTGCACCATGTTCAAGGTGGTCCAGATTTAACCTGTTAAATATATCTTCAGTAGTTTCTAACACTTTATCAACATATTCTACTTTATCAGGATAGCATTTCAATGCCAGATTCATCAAAGCTACTTGCAGGGCCACAATGTCTTCCGGTGGCATATCAGGTCTGTTTTGGATAACTTGTGCTATCTGCTGTGAGAAAATATCAAAAAGTTGAATATCTGATGGAATTCCATTGCCTTCTTCACTCTGAGCAAATGATGCTAATCGATCAATCAAAGCTATGATGATGTTTTTCACGTTGACATTTGGATGCAGATCAGCACATGCTCTCAGGAACGCACTCAGACATTGCAAATGGTTGTCATCAGGAAAGACTTGAATGACACATTCCATTAAATATTCTTGTGAAATGGGATCTTTACAGTTGACCACCTGCTCTAAAACACCAGGTAAGACATTCTTCTTAAATCTCTCCATATCAATACATTCCAGTTGACTCAATCGTACCAAATTAGTTCCTACCAATATTCTTAATTCTCTTCTTTCCTGTTCTCGTCTTTCTCGATCTCTGGAGTGACCTTGATGCTGCATTCGAACCCACAATTTATTCATTTCAGCAAAATTCAACTGTATGAAATCCACAGAATCTTGGACATTTCCACTCTCATTTTCTCCACCAGTAGCATCATCATTATTATCTGGTAAAACATTCTTAGTACACTGGAGAAGATAATTTCTAAGAAACAGACCTCTCAAAGGATGTTGCACACCTCGACACATTTCTACAAGATCCTTCAGGATGTCTCTTCTAGATAGTTCATTTGATTTGATGTACACAACTCCAACTGTGATCAGGAGGTATAATCTAGGAACAATATTTCCTGCATATTGAACCAATTCATAGAGATCAGCAACTTTTCGTCCTTTCTGGAATTCTTCCACCAGGTACATTTCAAGATGTCGTAGTTCATCAGAGATTGCCATGTACAGCTCATAATAGCTTTTTGGTGACAGTAGTGAGGTTCTTAGCTCTCCCAACATTGTAGATGCATGTTTCAATCCATCCATCAATTTTCCCTTATCAAGACATCTTTTCATCTGGAAAGCTTGATTTTTAACAACACCGATTGCTTCTTCTAAGAGTTTTTCTTGCTCCTCTTGAGGAGACAGTTGCGGTGTCGCTGGCATTTTGACAATATCCTTTGAATGCCTGAAATATTAGTCTTTCAGGTACAGAAATTGATTGAATAAATTATCACAAAATCATAGGTGGGCGTTTTTCTGGGCAATACCTCTTCCGGTTAATAACGCCACCTATCGAGAATTTCCTTTAGAAATAATTAATAAAATGAAAGTAGAAAATTTTAACCCAAATTAACAATTCAGAACAAAATCATTATGTCTAATTAACTCTATACACGTATCCCTGAATTAAGAATAATTTGTTTTAGCTTCATTTCTTTTGGAATATTCAAACATTATATACTGTTTGACCACGATTTAGCGATTAGAAATGTTTTGTCATACCTTTCTCGGTTTTATTGTTAAAGGGAAAGAACTCTGTTGAAAATATATAGACTACAACAAATTAAGCTTAATCACATACTCTATGCATAGGACCTACCAATAAATTAGGATTCTAACACAATATCCAGTCAAAGCATACACACGTTTGACATTGTATAATACTGTGTAGCCTATTATCTGCTGACAGCATTATCTGTTTCTCATATTAACATTTGCATCATATGTGTGACCTTCTATCCTGGAGTAAGTTGTTTGAATCAAAGTATCCTGATTGAATTCTCTCTTGACATTTTGAACCCCATACATTTGAACAAAAAAGAATCTTATCCGTTTTGTGATATAAGTAGGCCTACAGTGCTGGTCAAGCCGGAAGGTACACTCAGGGGGGAGGGGGCCCTTGATAGAATAGATAGCAAACCTTAAAATATTCAATTACTACATCTGAACACCATACACAATTGCCCCTCCAGACAGTAGCATGTCTCTGGCCTGTGATAGGTCTTATTTTGAAGTTGAAATTCAGCCCTCTAAATGATCCACATTCACCTCAAGCCATCTGAGTGTGTTACCTATACTGCTTAATATAGCTTTTTAGTAATTGCATGTAACACACTTGTAAAGACTATCAAGATATTGATACAGAGTCAGATAGAGTATCCACCTAGCTGTACTGTATGTAGTATGTTGTTGTTATGTAACAAGAGTATGCATTAAGTGTATATAAAATATAAAACAATGACCATTTTATAATTTATTATTCTAGAGAACTATATACTTTCTATAGGACACCACAGTTGAAATAACATAAGATAATATTATACTAGTTGATAATTACTGAAGATAAGTGTGATAAATAGGTGGGTGATAAGGTAAGGTCTAATATCAAGGGTAAATAGTTGTATCTCTAGTGTGCTCACTATATAGGTAGTAGATATACTATTAAATACTGTTTCAAATTAGGATATTTATGATAAATAATCACAGCTCTTTGGATCAATAGATAAAAACAAACTTGAGAAAATGCAAGTCATGCGTATATGCAATGCTTTGACTCCAAATTAAGATATAGCCCTCGACCCCTTAAGTTGATGTTTTAAATAAAATTCCAACCTTGCCTCTTTCGTGGGATTCAAATTGTTGTCAAATTACAGCTTGTCTTATTCTGGTTGTACAGCTAAATATCATAGCAAGATAAAATAAGTTTCTTACCCTAATAAGGTTTAGATCAATCAGAATTAGCTTTCAAAATTTTTGTCAAATTTCCTCTTTAAATGCTGATATACATCAATTATTTGCCAAAAAAGTTTGGAAGCAACAGAAATTATGTTCTATAAAGATGTTCAGAAAACTAAAGCACTATTATGATCATTACAATACACTGGCATCAAAATTAACAAAAAAATATTCATAGCTTCTTACTCATTGATAAATTGAAATTCATGTTCTCATAAAAAAGGGTGCTCTCAATGATGAAATTGAGAATATGTTCTCAACTGTCAGTCTAAAATGATGTTCTCATTTCTTGATATGTTCATTTTGGATATATTTGTGTAAATATTTACTTTCCAAATTAAATAGCTCAATTTCAGCTATCTGTTTCAATTTTCAGAATGAATATCTGAAGTGTAGTTTGTCTTCAATTAAAGTTACTTCAATTCAATATCATGTCTGTTTTGGCAGAAGATGGAATGTGGTTAAATTTGACACTATAACCTTGGCACTAAATAACAATACATTAAGAAGTTAGTCCAATCATTTGTCTTTATATTTCATACACACTTCTGTTTATCAAAGAATAAGAAGCTCTAGAAAATCTGATAATGATTACTTCGTTTCAAATTATTATATACATATTTATAAACAAAATATACAAATCAAAACATACTAGTATTCAGCACACAACAAAAACAAGACCAGGCTAATTTCAATCTTAACTATCTTTTACCTGTCATATCTACTGAAATTTACCACAGTAGACTTGACAACAAAAACAAGATCAAGCCTACTTTAGTCTTAACTACCTTTACTAGACACGACTGCAGAAATTTGACAACATTTTTTTTTTTGCCGAAAAATGTTCATTCGTTCAACAAGATTTGATCATTGCCTTAAAATATTGCAGTCAAAATACAGAAAATGTCCTTAAAAATCAAATGAAATTTTGTGTGCTGATCGTAAACAAAACAAAACAAACATATCGAAAGTTGACTTAGTATACTGTGAAAATATAAAATCAAATTAGATTAGACGAAAAATTTGCTGAAATATTAGTAGAAGAATTCAAACATCTAAATCTTTGATTTAACGAAAAACAATATGTTTTTAAATCAATAGTGATCACATAAGAAAACCCAATTTCCCTGTGATTTTTAGTTGAATTTAAAATAATTCGTGCAATATAACCAAAATCATAACTGACTTTGAGCTCCATGATAATGATTTATAGGGTTGATGTTAGCAAGGCAGGGCATGTTCAACTTGATGCCACTCTGCACTTGGGTTTACAAATGTCCATGTAGCTTATAATGATTATATAGTTTATTCCATTTAAGCAACAGAGTTTAAATCAAATATTAATGTAATCTATAATGTTGAATGGATTTCATGATTTTAACATAAACCTGAATTTTTAACAATTATTTACAAATCCATATAACAATTTTCTTACAGAATAAGGAATGTACAATTTGTTCTTAGTAAATATCTGGTGGTCAAAATTCATTGTTTACAGTTACACAATCTAAATTATGTAATATCTAGGGGGCGCTTGATTGGTGAGTCTGCTCATTTGGGATTTATGGAACCAACCGCAAGTACAAAAAAAAAAATTTGAAACAGAGTTCAGAATATCTTCTGTCTATGCCCACAAAAAGAAGGTGTAGACAGAATTCAAAATGGCAGAGATAGAATGAAGAAGGGTAAATTTTGAATACGACCAATTCAGTAATGTTCGATTGAAGCCAAAATTGGAACAATCAAGCGCCACCCTAAAAATTCAAATGCTAATATTTATTTGCACATATAACTTATCATCTCTATCTAATCTAAATAATATCTACTTGTTTACATTTTGATTACAATACTAGCAATACTAATTTATCAGCATTCAGCCGATATTATTCAACTATTATTTGGCCTCAGCCGGTGCATTTGAGAGTCAAATTCTCCCTTCCTTGAAATCTGATTGTAACAGCAATATACACAATTTACAATCAACTATAGGTTCTATTAAAGTAAATTTTCTCAATTTTTATTGACATACTGTAAAGCAACATTAATTTCTACAACTGTAGCATGTTTTGTCTTTAGTCTTAATCAAAGAATGAAACAAACTTTGTAGAGTTACAATATTCAAGTTTGTCTTCCATTGTCATTCTAATATACATATACCACTAGTCTTGAAACTTGCTGACTCATTTCTTTCTCTGATAGTAATCTTCTGACAGATGTTGGCTAGCTTGGCTAACTTTTATATCTTAATCGCCAACCAAAATATGACTAACAAATGACAGGTTGAAGTCAGCAAGTTTCAATTATCAATTGATTGTCCCAATGCATACCATATATAACACATAATCACAGATCACTCTACTGAGATCGGAATATTAAATTCTCTTTCATTCTTCAATTCCTGATATTAAATAATAATAAAACAGAAACCAGTTCTGATCAAAAATTAACCAATCAAAATAAGATAATTTAGGCAAGATGTTCCCGTATTCGAAACAGTCTGAATGAAAATTTTTAAGAAATTCATTTTTCAACTGACAAAAAGTTTATTAAGCCAATTTCATGGGCAAATGCATTACTCCCAGCAACTATGGTCAAAATAAATGTATTTACTAATTAAGAGACAGTTTAATTAACATTTTGGGACATTTTTAAACTTTTGGTTGCACTATCAAAACAACTTGAAATAACCATATAAGTGGTATCATTTCAATTAATATTTTAACTAAATATTTGTACTTATTAATACATGGTTGGTTGCTAGGCAATGATTGACTAATTTGTTCAATGTTTATAATGATGTCACTTCCTTTCCAGCACCAGCAGACGACTGTGCTCTCTGGGCATCTCTGGGATAATACTTGGCTAATGTATGCTGTGGAATTCTCTTTAACATTTCTTTAGGGAAAATTCGTAGTAACTGCCAACCTTTGTCCAGAGATTCAAAAATTGTTCGATTTTCATAATGACCTGAAAAACACAGAAAATTGGAATGGTTAGTAAAATAATTTCTTCTGTTGAAATGAAATGAAGTTCATTATTAAGTACTACTGTTCAATAAACACTTTGCAGTGTACAATAAGGGAAACTATCAAAACAGAAGTGTACCGCTTACTCTATTCTGAAATTGGGGATCATGGATATAACCAACCAATGGTGACGTCTTAGTCAAAATTGATGTTATTTATTGATCTAATAGCTTACCTTGTGAAATAAAGTTTTTCTCAAATTTAATTAAAAATTCCAGATAAAGTAAATCTTCTGGGGTTAAAGCTTCTTCACCAACAACAGCTTTCATAGCTTGTACATCTTTACCAATAGCATAACATGCATACTGAAAATAACCAGGAAACATTACAAATATTGCCATGACTTTGAAACTAATATCACATGATAGGATGTCAATAACTGATTTAAATTCATGAGTCACTTCCTTTAATACAAATCATCATCTAATTGTGGACTAAACAGATGCATTATTCTAATTCTAATAAGTGATACAGATAGAAAATAAAAACTTACCAGTTGATTAGAAACATCAGCATGATCTTCTCTGGTCATGTCATCACCAATAGCTGATTTCATTAATCGAGACAATGATGGTAAGACATTAATAGGGGGATAGATCTAAAATAATGATAAAAGTTTAGTTATTAAAGTAACCATGAGGGTAATGCAGAAAAAAGGGGGGAAGGGGGGGGGGGAGCTGCACCTTAATGCAAATTTAGTAATACAGTAATTTCATTGAGGTCCCATTGCTTACCACCCTATCTTTATCCCTCTGAATGCAGATTGAAAAATATATTCCATGTTTTTACGTGAGCAACTTTGATAATAAGGGACTGCATTAAAGGGACGAATGCGTTATTTTTTTACCAATCATACTTTAGTCTTAGCAACAGGAATTTTTTAGCTCATCCAATCAGTAATAGTGTTCACAGATCACCATCAAAATTTGAGCTTTCAATTCCATATGTATCCAGAATTATCCACGTTTCAAAGTTAAAAAGACAAGTTTTTTTGAGACACTACCATATATAGTGAAAGACATCTATAGAATAGGAAAAGAAATTCCTAGTTTGAGAAATTTTTGAAGGGATTATACAATTTTTGTACATTTCTAGTACTTCTATAAAGGACTATTTACATATATTCAAGACTCAAATCAACTCTCCCAAGGGCCAATCTTGGACATATTTCTCAAATTGGGTACCAGATAACATTTAACTTTATCTGGTCTGCTTAAATCCATTTACCAATGTCAAATTTGTAAGGACTATGTCCAAGGCTACCAGTTTATGTACTAATGCAGATATAATCCTGGATGTAAAAGACTATTATCTGACCTGTCTGTTATGTAACTGTCTATCAACATATATTTGACCTTCAGTAATATAACCAGTTAAATCAGGAATAGGATGGGTGATATCTATAATAATTAGGTCATAAATAATATATCAGCATGTTCAACTGACTAAAACACATCATTTAACAGTATACTACTGTATCTATCTTTAATATCAAATACAATTACATCATCTCAAAACCGTCATTTGACTAAAGGTACATTTTGGTTTAACTTGATGCTCTCAAAAATTACTTGCCAGCGGCAGGTAGATGGGCATTATTTGTGACTTCAAAGAAGTAGCATTTTTCACTTTGATCCTATGCTTCAATTAACGCTATTGTGAAAAAAATGTGAAATTCACACTATTTGAAAAGTTATAAATCAATTGAACTTCTAAGAAGAACAAGAATCTATCTATGTTTCAAAGGAAGACATGATTTTATAACATTTCTTTTTATATTCCTGTTAAAACCTTAACTCACCGTCGTTAGGCATGGTTAGAATAGGTATCTGTGTAATAGACCCATTTCTACCTTCAACACGACCAGCTCTCTCATATATAGTGGCTAAATCAGTGTACATATAACCTGGGAAACCTCTTCTACCAGGTACTTCTTCTCTAGCAGCTGATACCTGTAATAAAATAGATCATATTACATTCTTTGAATGAAACCAAGATTAGAACCCATGACCACCACTCAGTTGACATAACCAAGTCCTGTAAAGATTTCAACGCTCTGATCAACTTGGTTCGAAAATAGGTTTAAAACCCCCGCATCTGCGAAGATGGGGAATGTCCCCATTTAACAGATCCCATTTTAACTGTCTCTACACCAGCTGACAGATGCTTCGATCTATAATCAACTGTGCTACAGCTACTCAATGTATAGTCAGCCATCACCAAAAATACTCAATAAATTGACATGGAAAACAGTGGCAATCCTAGTGATCAAATCTAAAATCTTTACGAGGCAGAATAAATGTTGTTACCTCTCTCAAAGCTTCAGCATAGGAACTCATATCAGTAAGAATAACCAGTACATGTTTCTCACATTGATAAGCCATGTATTCTGCTGTTGTTAAAGCAATACGTGGGGTAATAATTCTCTCAATTCTGAAACAGAATCATTTATATAATCATATTTGTGTCTTATGACTTGAGATGTGATTGTCCTTATGGGCAATCAGAAGGTATACCTAAGGTTCTTCTGTCAAAATTAGGTATTGGATTGATCATTTATTTATCACAAGAGAAGTTTTTAGCATTACGTTCATAAGGCGTCTGCCATTTGTATCACAATACAAGCAGGCAACATGATAGTTAGTAGTCTCTTATTGTGATGCCAGATAGTCCAGATCACACAATGTTTACTTATGCACAATGTAATGAAATTATTACTACTTTACAAGACTTTTTTCCTTAAGACTCAAGAGTTGACTAAAAAATATAATATTTTCACTTCAATAACTTACGTAGGATCATTGGCCAAGTTCAAGAATAAAGATACATTTTCCATAGAGCCATTTTCTTCAAAATCTTGTTTGAAAAATCTAGCAGTTTCCATGTTCACCTAAAAAAAAACAAAATAACATATTTCATGAGTTTATAACTCAAAGAACACAACTTAGTTGTGAATATGGCAAGGTTTCAATAGATTATTTTATGCTGATTCAGGTTCATATAGATCTAAGAATAATTAACTTAAAAAAAACATTTTTAATCATTCAGATCAAATGCAAACAGGTACTGCAAATTTAAGAAGAGACCAACAGACTGATGAAATTCTTAGGACCAAAGACCAAAGTACATAGTACTTACACCCATAGCAGCAAATACAATGGCAAAATTATCTTCATGATCATCCATAACACTTTTACCAGGTAATTTGACTAAACCAGCTTGACGACAAATTTGAGCAGCAATCTAAAAAACAAAACAATCTGTTGAGTATATTCATTATCAACTTTAGATTCCATTAATCTTTAAACAATGAACCCTGGGGGTGGTTTCGAAATCCTCCTACTCAAGCGATAGAGTTGGCTAATCCTAGAATTGTCACCTGTCAAAATGCCAAAGATGCATTGTATGAAATTGTAAGAGAATTGGTAGCCAGATTTAAATCCTGAAAAGTGATAAAGATAGCTAAAATTACTATATGTGTTGAGTGGTCTAATAAGAACTTATTTCGATTCAGCCATTATGATGTTGGATTAAGTTTTTACTTACTTCATTATGTGGTAGACCGGCAGCTGAAAAGATAGGAATTTTCTGTCCTCTAGCAATAGAGTTCATAGTATCAATAGCTGATATACCAGTTTGAATCATTTCTTCTGGGTAAATACGAGACCAGGGGTTAATAGGCTGACCTATAATATAATAATAAATCATAAATTACTGGCAACATAACCAAAACTCTGTGGAGAACAGCTTACGTGCTGTAGTAATGTTTCCATATGACCCTTCAATTTATGTAATGATCACCATCTTTAACATAGAAGAATATATTTGTGCTATTGTAAAACTATATTAAAACAAATAAGATGCTTTTTCAATCAAATATTTTAGAATTACCCCCCATTTTGAACATTTTTCATGAAAACGATAATTTTAAACGTTGCCACATCAGAAAGGCTTGAATATATCAGATTGTAATATACATGATGCAGAATTCACTGACACTGAATGTGTTTTTTTTTTATCAAATAAGAATGGACCTTTTCTCTTATCAAATTTGTAACAAGAAAAATGGTCATTTACCTTGAATATCTAAGAAATCTTCAGCTAAAACTGCAGGTCCCTTATCAATAGGTTTACCTGAACCATTAAATACACGACCTGCAAATAAATATTGGATAGCAAATATTTCAGAAACATGGAATAAATCCAGTAGTTTAATAGCATAATGGCCTCAGGGGTTCCATGTTCTTTGAACAAAGAAAGAACAGATAGTCACAACTCCTGTTTTAATGAAACTGGATTTAATAAGTTTAATATTGTTCTTAGATCATAATTATCCAGATGGTTTATGTAACCCACTTTAAACACTTTATGTTGCTACAGTAAATATATCTTACCTAACATGTCCTCTGATACAGGCATTCTTAAAATATCTCCAGTAAATTCACATGTTGTATGTTTAGCATCAATACCTGATGTACCTTCAAATACCTATAATTAGAGAGTTTCAAAATGTCTACTGGTGTTAAATGCTAAGCAGTGTGACATTCTATTTTTAAACTCAAGATTGAAGTAATGAAAGCTGAGTGTAATGAGGGAATTTTTTTCACTGATTTCTAATTATTAATTGTGCAGCTCATAGCGTATATTATCAATTTCAACCACTCCTTCTTATCTCACTCCCACTTGTAGGTACCATCTAGATATACAAAGATCGTGTCCTTACTTTTAGTCAGTACCTTCAAAAGTAAATCTGGTTGTTGGCTTTGAACCCTTAAACCAAGTTCTCTTAACCGATTCATAATATAATTTGAAAAATATACCTGTACAACAGCCTTCGATCCACTGACTTCCAAAACTTGTCCACTACGTTGACTTCCATCAGCCAATGTAAGGTTAACAATTTCAGCATATTTAGGAAACTGAAAAAGTTGACAATGAACTAAGATATCTGACATGAATGGTTTAGGAGTACTTGAACATTAAATTACCTCAACAGAGTGTGTTGGTTGAATTGCAGACAAACCAGAAGTATGATTTTTTTTCTGAAAGTGATACTTGATACTGAAATTTTGTTTTTTCAGATGATATCTAGATGACCATATGATTAAAAATAATGAATTTGATAATAACAAATTTTCTAAGAAATTATCTGTATTCACCTTGACATCATCTAATATAACTAGAGGACCATTTACACCAGATACTGTTTTATATGCTAAAATAGAAAAATAATACATAACAATTACTTCACCATAAATATTGATAAAAACTTGATGTAGGTCAACAAACAATGGTTAAAGTTTTAAATTCAAACCAAACAAATAAAGCTCCTTTATGTTTGTGGGTACATGACGGATTTGGCAATTTTGGAAATATGTTCTTGCATTATGAAAAACATCTAATTTTAACAATCTACCAAGAATTATACTGGTTTGCTTTTAGATTTTTTTAATTCTTTTCCTTCATCATATTTTAAAGTGTTTGATAATTCAAATCTGCTATTTCAACATATATCTGACATTAAGAATGCATTTGACCCAAAGTCTGGATTTTTTTTTTACGTTACACAAATCTGGAAGTTATTATAGCTACCTATATAGTAATTGTTCCAAGATATTTTATACTTGTAAAGACAAAAATATGTTTAATATTTAACTTAAAGGAGCACCTTCACTATCCATTCGACCAATCATACCTTAGTCTCAGAAAAAGGAATTTTGTTAGCTTACATAATCAGTAATAGTGTTCAAATTTGAGCCTTCAAATCCATGTGTATCCTTAATTATTCACGTTTGAAAGTTAAAAATTCGTCTCAAATTTTAGTGAGACTATGCCCTATAGTCTGACAGTATCCCTTTAAAAATTTTGACGCAGACCATATGTCAGAAATAAAAATAGTAAATGACATGAAAATAGTAAGTGGAATGAAAATAGACTTTCAAGCAAAAGCCATTTTTTCTTAGTTATGATAGTTGAACCAAAAATTGCATATGATCCTTTTTAGCCCTAAATACAGTCAACTCTTGATTAAATGAGGTTTATTTTTGTCTAAATAACCTTGTATTTAAATAACATCATTAGATAAGCTTGATTGTTCAAGGTTAATTAATCAAGACAACAATGAAAGAGAGTGGGAGAGAAATAGAGTGGGAGAAAACATGGTGTCTATCAATCAATATTCCATATATAGTAAATTATCTAATGTCACATACAGTCTTATTCCATTTCTTGTCTCTCCATTCCAAGACTAGTACATAGAATCACTATAAATGTTGACATCTTTAAGATTTGTGAAAATATCTCAATTACCAGTACATTTTTTTATGTCTATCTTCTATTTTTTTGAAGATTTTTCGAACTAAAACTCTACAAATTTGGCCATTGACATGTTCTATTGGTAGATTCTAAAATGTCCACAACAGGTTTCATAATATATAATAATATGTAGAGATAAAATGTTGGAGATGAATAAAAAAATCAATAGATGATTTACTATCAATGAAAACCATCTGCTGACATACAACTGAACCATATCTTGCATTCAAACTTTTAAAACAAGGTGAATACAAGCCTACAAGTGATATCTATTACTTCACTGTAGTTATGGTATTTTCAGTTTACAATTTTTAGGCACCTATAACTATCTTGACTAGATCTTCTTCTATCTAATGTTAGTTATTATTCAAAGTATTGAGAGCCAGCACTGTTCCAAAACGCCTTATCTCCATACAAACGACAATCCAAAACTACTAAGTCTTTCTATTCTCTTGAAATCCAACATTCTACAGATTTTTTTAAAGACTGTAGCTACAAAGACGTGAACTCTGTCTGTGAGATAACTTCCTTAGACTCTCATTACCCTACTTATAATAAATTTGAATTTCTAAGAGAGATTAAATCATAAACTTAAACAGACCAAGGACATAGGTTACATCAAATTCAATTGTCTATGTTGGTAGGCAAAACTGTCTCTGAAGTCATTCTTCAACCTAGTTTTAAGTTCAAAAGTTCAAAGTCTCTATGAATTGTAGCTCCACCGACAAAAGTCTGTTCCAAGAAGTATTTAAAGACAAATGCACTTTTGTTCGCATCACAAAATCCCAGTGTTGGTGTGGGCAGAAATTTGATTGGATGGCTGCATCATTGCACTGATGAATATTCAAGAGGCCTGTCTATAGAAGTGGCTGAATTAAAAATAAACAAAATAGGAACGAAAATTTGGTCTATAAAAGTAACCTAATATAAATATTTACCATCAAATACTCGATATATCCACAAAATACTGTTCCAGTTTACAATTACAAGCTTATTAAAGTAGAAAAGAGGCCATCATACTAAAGTTATGTTTAAAGGAAACATTCGCAATACAGGTAGCAAAATAAATATTGAAGTTTGTGAGGCTTACAAAAGAAAAGTGTACAAGTAAACAAAAAGTGTTTTGATAATGAACAGGAAAACCTGAGGATTATTTTGACCTAAAGATTATAATATAACTTTTACTATATAGTGTTTTATATATCATACTCTGCTCTATATAATATTAAAACAATAATTAAACATTTTAACCATGTGACATTTAAATACAATGACAGAATCAATAATCATTCATCCTGCAATAAAGGCCAACCTGGCTAACAGATAATTTTTGTCGACTAAATTGCATTGTGACTAATTTTGTCACCTTGCCTCCTGGTTTAAAAAAAAAATTACAATAAATTTTTGATGTTAAGTGCTATTTTTCAATGTAAATTTTAACAGATTTTTTAAGAAAATGGATCCTGATGTTTGGTTATAACTGCTCCATAACACATAAAGAGGCCCTGTATGCTACAAGCTGTGCGCGTGAAAGATCCCTTGACAGTTGGAAATCGAAAAAGAGCAGGTTTATGCCGCTGTCCTGGCAAAATTTCCCTCATTGTACCCTGCATGGTGCAGAAAAGTAGGACATAAAACTCCATTCATTTCATTATCAGGAATTTCTCTCAAAGAAAAGTGCTCAAGAACTAAGTTACTAAAAGCTTAAATAAGCTAATTGTATAAAACCAATATGTTTTCATGTGATTTCTGCTTTTTACAATATTCTAAAGACTTTGCAACTAAAACAGATGTAGATAGTATTACCAAATTTTAAAACTTCATAGATTTTACTTGCAGAGCCAGAGAGCAAAGCAGAGTTTTTTTGTCCTATTTGTATAAACAGATTATAAAACTTTATGGATTTCACTTGCAGAGAGTATAGCAGAGAGTTTTTGACATATTTATGAACATGATAATGATTCTTTAGACAAACTTGTTCCGAGATGGTTTGTTGATGGCCTAGACAAATTGGTGAAGGTTTGATCCACTGAATACTTTGGGTTATATTGTTGCCAACAGTTCGCCTTTTAGTGAAGGAAAGTAGAATTAACAGAAGTTTAAGTGAAGTCTAAAGTGTTGAATGGTTTTAGAAGACATTATGCAAATCTTCTCCATATATATTCAAGCTTAATCAAGCTGTCAATATATCAGTATGTTTTATTTGTAGTGATAGAAGAATGTTTAGATTGACAATAACTTCACTACCTATCTACTCTTACCCTTGATGATAATGACCTCCCTCAATCTATATTGGTTCAAATTAACCTTAGATACCTAGCAATGCTCACCCATAAAATGTTGGCTTTTTATTTTTCATGTGAATTAGCTTAGCTAAAATGCCCTTTCAACAAATTTATAAAAAAAACAAACTGTACAAAATAGAAAACTAAAAGATGAAAATGTAAAGTCTCATTTTTGTTGTGCATTATAAAATATTAAAAATAAGCTAATTTCTAATCCTGAGTTGAAATATATAAGCATAATATTGAATGCAATCAGTTAAGTAGAATTTACAGAATAACCCAAGGCGATAAGTTCCCTTCTTAATTCTGATACCATAACCAATACTTATTCATCTACTCATCTTTTACTCCATATCATTTTCAGCATCTCAGACTATGAAACTGAGTCTGTGGTGATAGTGAAACTAACACTTTGTAGTTGGTAAAGCAATTCTGATTAGCTTAATCTATCATCAAATGGGCCTCCCAAAATGTAGAGACTATTTTGCATGATAATGCAAAGTTTGACAATTAAACAGTTCTCATATTACCAAGCCGGTAAATAATTATTTATAAGCCAAAAAAATAAAAATAAATGGCTGATGACAGTGACACATCAATCAAGGATCATCACGTTTCTAACAAAAGATGCAGCAGAAAGGATAATTTTTTACACTCACTGATTCGAGGTTGTGATATATAATCTCTTGTTACTGCTAATTTGTTTATAGTTCTACCACCGACATCATTAATTGGTCCATTTAGAGAGCTCATATCCATCCTTCCTCCAGTTTTCGCCATCTTGCTGTCAGCGTGTCATGTGACTTCAGTGTCACGAGTTCACGACGCAACCTAATTAATAAAGGGAAATAACCACGTTTAACTAGCAGGTGCCCGTTCTGTAAACAGGCCGATATTAAATTTGCTATTAAACTATGATGTTTTCATTGTAATTATCTGCTTTGGAAACAACCACAAAATATGGAAAATGAGTGGTTTTCCGGCCAGAGGCTCTGATTCCCCAGAGACGGTCGCCAAGGCCCAATTCATTGTCTAGTGTGATCCCAAAAGGAACAGATCGTGCTCTTACAATGCCTGGTATTCTAAACGCTTTCAATTTTTGCTCACCGCATTGCATCCAACTAAAAGTTTGGTTTTTGTTTCTAGTTAAAGGGAGTTAAAATAATATTAGATTGCGGATTGATGTTAGGAATTGTAGGTGTTCTGGGACGTAAAGAAGCATTTAGGTTGGCTCCTGCACCAATGCCATATAGGCCGAATTTTTGTATTTAACTTTGATGATGAAGGAATAAGGGAACTGATTAAAACTTGAATGCAAGTGAAACTTTATCCTAATGAATAGCATAAGAAAATGTCATGTTGAAAGGTTTCCACCCTCCGCCTCCACATATGAATCCATTATGCCACTTAAAATAAGGAAATGGCCACCCCAGTTAATATTGAAACCAAGCCTTCGGAACAATTTCATTGACTCCTCTATTTTATTGGCATAAAAATAAATTTTTCTCGTTGTGAATACAAACATAGAACAATATTCTAGCAATGTAATTTAAAACATAAGTTGGTTCACGAAAAAGTTAACTCTCTACTTAAATTACTCTTTGATCTGCCAAAGTTTATAGGTTTTAGTTTAGGTTCGTCAACAGCATCAACATGAACATGGACAATGCTCATACTGTTTAATGATCTATCAGTTTCACCATCAACTTTGTCATCTGTCACGAATTCACCTTCTTTCAAACTATGTAACCAATTAAACACTTTAAGATTTCTATGGGAACGATCCAGTGTGTATCCATGATTCAAATTCTCCACATCTTGCTGTCTAATCTCGTGTTGCCGTGGTCTTCCCATCCTACTCTTGATATCCTGTTTTATAACATCGCCTAGTTCCGGCGAGATTCTGATATTTTGAGGATTATTTGGATCAGTGCGGATACATCCCGCAGTAGACTGTGGTCGTGACGCACTCTTTCGACTAACTCGATCCAAAGCCATGGTTGTTGATGCAATTCTTTCTCTAACCTTTGCAGACATACCACGGTTCAGATCCACATCGGAGATTTTCTCGTCAACTTGCCACATTCGAACCTTTTCTTTGAATGGTGGTGTCACTGTTCGGGTTGTCTGTTTGTCCAACATGGCAACACTAATGCCTTCGGAATCATTTGATGAATTCTTACCGTTAAGAATTCGCACGAATGGTTTCATACGTCCATTCTTTGAAGAAGTGGGTATTTGAGAGAAACGTCTTTTAGATTGTAAAAGTTTGTTTTTTGACAGGGTGTTGATATGTGTAATACTGTCACTTTTCTTGAGTCTAGGGTTCATTTTTATCCACGATTCACGACCACATTTCAACACCTGTGTTTTCTCCTCCTCATCCATTAAATCAAACGCTGTGATAGCCACCGAATTAGTGGCACCAGGAGTGATCTGAAAAGCATTTTGTTGACGCATTAATTTATCAAAGGCTCCGTGTTTTTGCCCTTGCATTGCAAGAGCCCATTTACTGATGGTGGATGCATTGTCAGTTGTTGTTGGTGGACGTTTGTTTCTTCGTTTTCTTCTGGTTGTTTCGGAAACCCTGGAAGATTTCCCATACGTGGAGCAAGACAGTAGCGAAAGTTCAGTCACTATGGATTCCGAGCTTGAACATCTTTTAATCCGAGGTTCTATTCCAAGTTTGGCACTATACAATGGTTCCTTGTCCTTTGATTCGTGGGGTTCAATATGTTGAAGGATGTAATCGGGCATCCATCCTCGAAGCAATTCTGAAATTTTACCTTCCTCTGATAGTTCGAGTATATGTGTATCACTTATAGCTTCACAAATAGCGGCAGACGATTCAGAATGATTGGAACGATTTTCAAGATCCTCTGTCCTGTCGCTTTCACCATCTGACGTGTCTTTCCACTGAACTGTATTACGTTGGTCGACCAATTCTGGAAGGTTCTTGTTTCCAGGCATTATGGTTTGACTGTATGTTGCATACTTCCTTCTTAGACGCGGTTCTATACTGAAATAGAGATTTTAATTTGTAACAATGGCTTCAGAAATAATATGCGTGACCAACCACTATAGATCAATAGCGTAATATCATAATACAGTATAGGTTTACAGATTATAATCTTGAAATCTATAATAAGTTAATCTAAACGAACAGGCTAACATAATTAAAAGGTAATCCGAAACCTTGACTTAACCTTTAATCGGGTATAATACAAAATTACGAAGACGGGGTGTTGGCTCATTGTCAAAGGTGAGCGAAAAATATCACAAAATTTTAAGATGTCAATAAATGATAAATTTAAGGATGAATAACAACGGTTTCGGACGTATATAATTGGCAAATTGCAACATTGAAAGCTGACAATGTTAAGAACATATTATGGCAATTTAAGAGGACATGTTGAGAACATATTGTGGCAATTTCAGAGGACATGTTGAATTTGGATTCTGGTGGACGAAATGTCATAATATGCAAAATCCTAAAACTCGGACAACGATCTGGGGGGACCAACCTTGATAGGCGTCTCCCTCAGGCGAGGACCGAAGTGGCAAAAGCCCGTTGAGTCTAGGCTCCCCAATGTACCTTTAGCATCAGTACGATATTATCCATATTGATAATATACTACCGATGCTTAAGAAGCTAACGGAATTCAGATGGCCTGCGATGAATGTTAAGCATAGGACTTAATTTTCACTTCGAATTAAGACCTGACATAGGCCGAGGCCCTCCCACTAAATACACTACTGCGGCCCAACCAGCTCGTCATCATAAATTGCCTGAACGTTATTCGATTCACTAGCCTTATAATATTATTGAATGATAGGAAATCGATAAATTCCATTAGCCTACAAATTAATTCCAATAGATATTCAAAGATTCCTTATAAACAGACAAGAATATTATTCTGAATTGACCTAACACAATATTCAGTTGTCTGATCAGAAAAAAAAACACATAAAACAGAGATTTAACCTCAAAGTTTATAGATCTCACAGTTGGGAAAAAGACAATTTGATCCCACCACATGTTTCACACCCGAATAAAAATTTATGATTTATTGAAATTCAGTAGTTTAAAACTAATGTTATTGAATTGTAGACCAATGTTAACGATATGTGTAAATAGAGTAATCAAGTACTTGGATTATGTTTACATACCATTTACAGTAACCGTGGAGAACCACTTGAATATATTGACTTTAAAAATCATATTAGTACACTCCTCTAGCTCGTTGTACACTGTACTAGTTGTACAATCTGCTAGGTAGTTGCACAATATACTTGCTAATGTTGTACAATATGCTAGTATGTTTCGCAAGATTTAAGATGAGTGTATATAGTGGTACAACTACAATGCGCTAGATAGTTGCACAATCTGCTATATAACTTAGTTTAAAATAGGTTGTTGTACAATCTGTTGTAGATGTATATTTTATTAGCAAAGTTCGCAAGCTGCTAAATAGTCCCACAATCTGAGTAATGGGCTATAGTTGTACAATGTTTTATATATGCTTACACAATCTAACTACTAGGTATAGTATTTATTTGAGTTCTGCATTCTACTGGATGATTTCGCAGTCTGCTAGTTATAGCTGCACACTTGCTAAATCTTGTAATTTGTTGTACAATATATTAGCTAGTTGTACAAGTAACTACCTCCTTGTAGAATCCAATGGATGGTTGTACAATTTCCTATAGCCAGTTGTACACTTTGATATACGTCAGTCTCCTGTAGCTAGCTGTACAATTGTTTACATTGCCTAGTTCGCGACTCTTATTTAACCAATCCCATCCCTTTGAAAGTTTCTACTTACATCCTAAGTTTGCTTGTTTATTCCTTGGAAGTAGTACATGCATTAAACATATACCGCAGATAAATCCCAAAGCAATTCAGACTTGAATCTGAAATCTATGACGTGGTGTATGTATATTATAAATTGAAATACGATCTGTGGTTATATGAGCCAATAAATCAGTGATTTGGAACAATATATTAATCTAATCTAGATTGTAATCATACCTCTTATTGTCAGTTCGGCTTGATCAAATAAAATATTATACACCTCGATAGTCTTTCGTGCTCTTTAAAATCATATCACCGTGTAACAGATATTGTCATGAAACTACGATTTTTAATAGTGTTTATCAATTAAATTTAAGCCCGCTTTAGGCATTGTCTTGAAAAATTTAAAAGCGGTTACTGTGGGACAAACGGTAATACATTAGAAGTTCCACTGGCGCTCAACAAGCACCGAAAATTGCCGACTGACTGTGTTGCAGAAATTGTCCGTGTAAACGAAGCTAAGGTCCTGCTAGATAAGATTCCCAATTCAGTCTCTAAAGCAATGCGAATATTACTGTTTCTTAAAGCTTTTGTGCTTGCACTTTTAAAACAGTGTATAACTTTGCAGTCAGTAAGCCTGGTACAGATAAAGGGAGGCAACACATTATTAAAAACTGCACGAATAAATTTTTTGATAAAAGTCAACTATCAACAAGGAGTTCTACATATGCAAATAACTGGGCCAGAATAAATAAATAACATTAAAGACAAAAACATATCGATTTTATTCATAACAAAATAACAAGCAAATGATTTTGACATGCAATGTTTTAGAATACAGAGTTCATAATAAACAACTAAAAGTAACTAATTTCAAATAAGAAATTCGATTAATCATAGAAAGTAATATTGAGAGAAAAAAAGTGCATATACCCAATATGTGGAGGCACAAAAATGTTCTTTTTTTCGGCAAAATAATAATGTACTACTATGCATCAAGTGTTCATAATTTCTGTAGACAAACAAAGTCAGTCATTTTCTTTTCTTTTCAAGTTTACTTCTTTACATGTTGAATTGGAATTTTCTTCGGTGCTTCCAACGCTGCGGGTCCTGTTATGGTCAGAATACCATCCTTTGAAAATGTTGATTCCACCAATTCGGGGTTTACATTGTCTGGTAATACAAACTTACGGCAGTATTCCTGATACACCGACGAGTTCTCACTCTTTTCTTCGTGTTTAGCATGTACGGCAAGTTCCTTTCCAGAGGTTTTCACAGTAATTTCTTCTGGTTTAAAATTACTCAAATCAAGTTGAAGTTCCAAAGCTTCACTGCCATCGGCTCTTTTGACAATTGGGTGTCGTAATCTCTTCATCTGTGTTTCCAGATCTTTGTTGTTGTGTGCGATGGGCTCTCTTGGTGTTAAACGAGACATAGCGTTCCTCATATCGTAATTTTTCCTCATCGCCTGACGATGCAAATCTTCGATGAATTCGTCAAAGAAATGATTGTCGATGATAACTGGAACTACTGCTCTGTTCATCTTTTCTGTTTTTCTTGAACCAAAAATGTAGCCTAAAATCTTCCTTCTTAATAGCTCAAAAATCACTTTTAGCAGTTAGTCTAAGCTTTACTTGAATTATAAGCGCCCTACAGCACTAAATCGCTTCGGAATTTCTCGTATAATGAAAGTTAGTTGCTTATTCGTATATTGACTCGAATCGCTGGCGAGTGAATTTATATAATCAAGCAGAAAAGTGACGAATTCTCTAGAAAGTCTGGGCTGTTCTGGACTACAATATAAATTTGTTATAAATGAAGATAATCGAGTCTAGCTTTACCTGGAATATTCGAGATAACTATTTATTATTATGTTATTTCAATGTATTAGGAAGTGGGAGATATTTTTGAAAATTGTGTAGGAAAAAAAACTCACGCATCTGTAAGATTAGAATCAAAACAGAAAAAAATGTATTGTTTTTATGTTTTTGATTACAAAACTAACCTTACATTTCTATAGATTTCTATACAGTAGCTAAAAAAGACTATTCTTTCAAAAAGTATTGTATAATTCCATTTCTGCGGAGGGGGAGAGTGTTGAGGCAAATCTTCCCTGGCCCCGCTCCTCTTTTATGCAGCTGATTTTCATTATAGTCAGGGTGGATCCTTCGTCACTAGGATTGAGAAACAAGTATTATTTCGATCAAAGATGGCGAGGAACATTGATCTTTATGAATGAAAAATAGGTTCCAGGAATAGACTTCACAGTTCTCTAGAAGTTCAATATTCAACCTTTTTGTCCTCGAATAGTCGATTATAAACATGCATGTTAAGCTGTAATATATAATTATCAACACAAGCCTTGTAAAGTCACAGTGACACTGTTAGTACAAAAAGATCACATATTTAGTTAAAATTTATAACAGACGAATAATTCAAGTGCAATGTAGTCACACGGGGAAAAAGTACAGGGCAATCTGACCAAAGAAAAATACTGTTTAGTATTCAGTGGCGTTCCTAGAAATTATTAGGTCGAGAGGGGAAAGGGGAGGGAGGTAAAGTAAGATTTTGATCCTGTTATGTTATTTATGCCACAAGGTATATCTACTGATGATAATAATATGCTCTTATTGGCCAAGTTAAATTTTTAAAATTTTATGTTTATTCTAAGACGTAGTATCCCTTTAATTAAAGCAATGAATTTCTCGAACTTTTGTTATCAAGTCAGAACAGTTATAAGTGCAGTAAGGTTATCCTTGTATTCAGATAGCCCTACTCGACATGCAATTTAATAGGCGTAATATCAGTCTAGAAAATTCTAGAATCATCGATAAGCTCTAGACGCGGGATATATAAACTAGGGAAACGTTGAGGAAATCAGTTAATTTTTTTACTAAAGGAAGTGAAAAATCGCAGTCGATAGTATAACTGTTAATTCGCTGTATATTACATATATCTGCAAATATGTCGAGAGCTTTAATACCAAGAATCCTTACCACTAACTTCTTTGATGATTTTTTTCAAGATGTGAATCGTGAAGCTTTGAGACAACAGTATGATATGAGAAATGCCATGATCAGATTGGCACAAAGAGATCCAATAGCACATATCAACAAGGATTTAGAGCAGCAAATGAAGAAACTGAGAGATCCTATAGTTAAAAAGGACGATGGCAGTGAAGCTTTGGAACTTCAACTTGATGTGAGTAATTTTAAACCAGAAGAAATTACTGTGACAACTTCAGGAAAGCAACTTTCCGTCCATGCCAAACACGAAGAAAAGACTGGAAATTCCTCAGTTTATCAGGAGTTTAATAGAAGTTTCACTCTACCGGACGGTGTTAAACCAGACACTGTTCAATCCACGCTGTCGAAAGATGGAATATTAAGCATAACAGGACCAGTGGACAGAGCCTTAGAGGGACCAAAAAAGATACCAATTGAACATAAAAAATAAACTCGGATGTTTCTGTGTAATATATAAACTAGTATAGACAACTTAGGATTTAATTTTGTGATGTTATAGGCAGACACCCGCAAATATAGATCATAAAGATTTTCCAGACAAAAGCTCAACTGATACCGTTAATATGAATTTATAAAAACGGTTGTAGAAACTACCGTGTAAAGATGGGTTATACACGAAATACCGTGTTCATTTGCAGCGTACGATGTTTATCAATAACCTCATCTCATCTCTTCCTTTTGCACATGTAATCAATGCGATTAGCTAGTTATCATTTCATAAAGTGATTTTTGTTTTGTTTTTGTTTTGTATCTTTTTTGTAACCGTTTGTTAATACTGTAATAATCAAACATTACCTTTCAGTAATATGTAAAACAGTAATTGTTTCAATTGTTTTTTTAATTTGTTTTGAAATAAAAAAGTAAGCTTTTTAATTACCTTTTATTTTTTCTTTTTCATTGAAGTCAATTTTCTAACATGAAATTTCCATAGCAGTCGCCTCCCATAATGTCTTAGTTTACACGATCTATCCAATCTTCATCGCTGATAGGGGCATCTCAGAACTCTAGTACAAACTATATTTCTCGGGTGAAAAATAAAAGAAGCGAACACACGAGGTATGGACCAGAACGCAATTGGCTTGTTCTATTTTCCATTTATCTCGTATACGCCGAACTGTACACTGTAATTCGTTTATTGACTTCTTAACTCGATAAGTCACACAGCTACTGCTGCCAGTATGTATGAGATACTGCTAGAATCATGGACGAAGGATAACCATTCTCATTCTAATCAAAGCCTTTTGTTTCTGATTTCATCTTATATATATAGTATTATAGAATACGACTATTGATAGAAACAAATTGGGGCCTCTGTAGTTATCTTCATTACTACATTTAGACACTTTCTCCACGTGTTACTCTCTGATCTGCAAAATCCTGGGGTATAATCTTGACTTAATTAAGCCAGGATTAACCTCTGACCCCTAAGTGCTCCAGCAAACAGATTATACATGCGAAAATTACATGTAAAAAATAAAATTCACTAAAAATAAAATTCACTCGTGCAAATTTGTTATGATCAGATAAAATCATAACTTATCAAAAATATATTTGATATGATTATCAGCAGATAAAGCTTAGATAGCTTTTTTGTGTAATTTATTTTCTCTGACGAATTTGATTTACCTTGCATTTTATAGACATTTATTCAATGAAGAGAAAATAATTGTATATTTTTATATAGCTATCAATGACCAAACTTACAAGATGATGGTTTAGTGATGTCTTTTCACGTCAAGAGGACAAACAACAAGACGAAAGGATAAAATGTCATCTGACTTCATATTAAATAAATAACTTGTGATGTTTCAATATATCTGTTTCCAGTTAGTCTTTATTTAATTGCAGGTACACCATTGCATCAATTCAGAAAAATCTATAGAATAGTTAATATTGAGTTCTATCAGCTGATAAAGTGAAAATTATCAGCAGGTAAAGCAGGATCTGTGTAAGACCCCCTCTTTAGTCAGCAGTGTAGGGAATTAACCACTGGAATTGCGAAAGATTTATCACATGTTGCTTGTAAAGTCTTAACTAAGTTGTGTTCAGGTCTACTGGTAATTCCAGTTCCTCTCAAGAAATACGCAAGACGTAAGTTCGAGATGAGCCCTGTCCTCTTCCTCTTTAGATGAAGAGCACTAAGCATCTACTCCATATAATTTTAAAACTTGTTGATGTGTATGATCAACAGACCAAAAAGGAGGTAGATAATTTGGTTTCATCTTCTCCACAAAATGTTTTCGCCATCTTTTCTCGAATTCTAATAAACCACCATGTTTTTTCATATATTCAACCACTTTCTGAGCATGAGGTACATATGAAGCATTAAATACCCTAAAAAAAGAGTAATCATAATACATTTGAGTATAGACAGTCTGTAGAGGCATACACCTACAGCTGCAGTAAGACATGAGATTGAAACAGTAGTCTCTATTCCTTGAGGTAGGCAGTTTTGGTGTACTTTTCAAGACTATTTGAAGGCTCTTCAAAAATCCAAGAATAACAAATTCATTCAAATGATCAAAATCTTATTCTATTGACACTACAAACAAATTTTCAGGTTCATTTGTTTTATGCCGTGTTCAATATCTGCAGTGAAATTGGTGTAAACAACATTCTAGCAAATCTGAAACTTGTGTGCAAAAGTGGAGATTGTATGGGCAATATTCACAATGTAATCAGTCAACAATGTAATCAGTCAACACTGTAAACAGTCAACACTGTAATCTGTCAACACTGTAATCAGTTAACACTGAAATCAGTCAACACTGAAATCAGTCAACACTGTAATCAGCCAACAATGTAATCAGTCAACAATGTAGTCAGTCAATAATGTAATCAGTCAACAATGTAATCAGTCAACACTGTAATCAGTCAACACTGTAATCAGTCAAAACTGTAATCAGTCAACAATGTAATCAGTCAACAATGTAAGCAGTCAACACTGTAATCAGTCAACACTGTATTCAGTCAAAACTGTAATCAGTCAACACTGTAATCATGAGAGGTATAACTCCTTCAAAAGCAGAAAAAATAGCAGGGAAAATAAAAATGTTCAGAAATAAAATTTACCTGATATCCATGTCCATAGCTTCATGTAATAAATCATCAGATAGTTCTTCAACATTAAAAAATTCCTTTACTACAGATTCTAACACTTCAACTCTTTTTTCTGGTATTTTGTCTTTGTTTAACACCAAAGCTCTGCAAGAAAGACCACAGAGAAAACCACGTAGCTTTAATAATATAATAATTTTGGGTAAAATTATGTATCAAAAGCTGAAGCTTATAAGCTTTGGGATGTTCTCTTGTTGTCTAACACTTATTTTTCATACATTGAGCTTACCTTTTTTATTCCCTTGTCCACAGAAATTGCATGAAGATTACAGCATTTTGTAGATAGTCATGTACATTGTATCAAATAACGAGAAAATATAATTTCAACAGTGAAAATCTTGCAATTGAAGTTCCCATAAAACTTGCCAAACTGAATAAACAGGAGAACTGTCATTTTAATATTTTGATAAACAAAAGTCTGCTTACTTTGCTGCTCCTTTTATTTTTTGAAGTTCATGGTCCTGTGTAGATTTGGAACTACTTCCTGCTCCTAATGGTGCTGAACATTCTTCAACTAATGTCAGTCTGAATTCGGAATCATTTTGTGAACTTATCTGATGACATGATGGACATAATAACAAAACATCATGAGATGTATGAGCTTTTATATGATATGGAAAAAATCTGAAACAATAAAAAATTTACATAAGATAACTCATCAAGTCTGCATACATTTTTTTCATCATCTCAAGATGACGTCTGCTGCTTTTTCTCTTATTTGTGATGTAAAAGATGTATTGCAACAGTGTTAAAAATATAATGCCACGACAATGTTACAACCTAGAATTCCAAGCTCAACGGACTTTCGGAGATCCATCTCACTTTAATATTTTTTTAGCTAATGAAAAGAAAACTGGTGCATGGACATTTCAAGAGCTAATATATTTGACAGCTTAATATTTTAGAAATCAAACAGCATAAATGCAATCACATTCTTTACAACAAAGATATGTAGATGGCGCTCGATTGGAGATTCCGTCTGTTGCAATTCTACTGCCTTTTGAATGGTATGAAAGGAGATATGTCGCATTCAAAATTTTCCCGTCCATTTGCTTCTCCACCATTTTGAACTCTGTTCCAACTTGTTTTATTAAATGCTCTGTATATTCCATAAAGCCAGAACGTGCAGAACTCACCAATCGAATGGTCCTGTAATATGACAAATGGACGTATTTTTTTGTAAACCACAAAATCTCCTTCTATACCAAACAAGTCAGACTTACTTTCTGTATTCTTGTGGAACTATAAATTTCCTGATGTATGATTCTGATCTACCACAGACTACACACATATTATCTTTAAACTGTAAATAATAATTATTCTCAGATTCTGGTCTGCCTGAAGGTTCAAATTTTAATCTTACAGTTAAAGGATCATCTTTCACCTTATCTGAAATAAAATGAATGGAGTGTAAGTCAATGCAGTATGAAATGAGGGAAATTTTGCCAGGACAGAAGTATTAGGCTACTCTTTTTCCATTTACAACTGTCAAGGCATCTCTAACACGCAAAGCAGTAGTACACAGGGCCTCGGGTTTATTGACCTATCCGCATTACAAGATGCTATTTGAATGTCAACCTCTCCATTATGCATCACTGACAGGGGGAAACCGGGTTGCCACTAATAAAAATATACATAATACAACTTACATCCTAAATCTTTCATTATATACCATTGAGCTTTTTTAACATCACAAGTACATAACATTTGACCGTCTGGTGCCTCTAACTGACAATTATGATAGAGAGGTCTTTGTCGTGAGGAATATGATCGTAAACTATCAACTTTATTCTTTTTACTGGTGAGATTTGTCTGAAATATCAATTAAAGGTCGTTTTTTAAATTTGACATTTACATAGCTAATTATACTACATCTAACAATCACTGAAATTTCTCTCACTAAAAATGTGCTGATAATAAATGCATGTATGAATCCCACAAACCTAACAATTGACAAGGGAATTGAAAAGATGTATAGCTACACATTGAAAGAGGTTCATTTATTATGGTTGTGGGGAAGCATAGACATTATTTTCTAGAATGGGAATCCAATATTTAGCTCTTCTGCAATGAGTGATTATGAGAGAAGCACAAATACCAAGGCCAACAACGTTACTCTTGCATGAAATATAGCAACTTAAGCATGTAATTATAATTATTACTGATGATATAATACTATCCCTTGTCAATTCTGTTATCAATTTTCCTTTACATGTAGATGAACCTGATGCCAGATTTTTATTCTGTAGCCAGTCCTGTCGCAGGAATGAATTGGTGCTGGGGTCAGATTTTGTACTCTTAATTTTGAAGAATTAAAGACCCAGTGAACTCATTTCTGACAATTTTGAGGTGCCAAAAACCATCAAAATCTGTATCTTTTTGATTTTGTACAAAGACACTGTAAATGAATCAATCTCTGCTAAACTGAACAATAATTTCCAGGGGCTCAATTCTCACTTTCTGGGGCCAAGCCCCCACAGACCCCACCCTAACAACAGGGCTACAAGTAGCTAAAATCATACTCTGTCATCAGTGAAGAGAAATACTTTGATAATGACATCTGTTTCTTACTTGTGATAATGAATCTCCATCATAGAAATTTCTTTTGTAAGGAACATCAACCAAACCTTGTGATAATGATTTACTTGTCATGAAATAGTCATGGTTACAGTAGACTTGTGTTTCAAGTTGTTTTTTGGTAGGAATATAACCCAATAATTTGGTCATAACCAACTTTGTGTAAATATCTATTCCAACTAAGGCATCTAAAGCTGCATACTCTATCTGAAATGTTTAACATGACAATAGCAGAAATAGCAGAATGATTACCTGCAGTTAAAGGTGGTCTTCCCCATAATATAAGTATTATTTAGAGACAACGGCAATAATTCTGTTTATAATCATAAGAGATCAATCAAATTCAACCTTGATATTCCCTGTATCATATCTACTTAAAAGGATTTTACAGAGGTTTTCCAAATTTATTTATGTGAATTTTCAATCAGACGTCTGTGGTTCCTGCAATTCTACTCAGACTAAGTGTTTGATGACGCCACTAATCGCAAAGGGCCTTATATGATAAACCATATATTTTCCAATTAGTAATGCCATAAAACCCTTAGTTATTTTGGAATTGCAGGAACCACAGACTTCTGACTGAAAATTGGAATGGAGAAAATTGATGCTATCAGTGTCCCCAATAAACTTAACAAATTTATAAAACCTCTTTACAATCTCTTTAATATACAGTGTATATAAAATCGATCTAGAGTGTTATCAACGAAATGTGAATGAACAAATCAAATGGACAGATGAACTGACAGACTAACCTGTTTTTCTGAAAGGACATCAGCTTCCCAATTTCCACATCGAATTGTAGAATCTTTATAAATAGAAAATCCTAATATGGCTTCAGATAATCCTTTTAAACCTTTTGATTTGCTGCAAACAAAATTCAGTTGATGAAATATTTTTGAAATTTTTTAATTCCTTATAATTGGCATATGAAAGAAAGAAATATCTATATTTTTAATAACTTAGGTTCACAGTTAAGGATCCTTTCTACCAGCTGGTCCTTGGCATTGATCTTTCTCAAATTATCAGCTGGGTAGACTGAAAATGCCTCTGGAAGTGCATAAACATATTTGCCTTGACAAAAAAAGTGGGTAAACTAACAAATACTTACCACTGATACATGCCCCTTACTCTAGGTAAGATATGTCTTAAATCTACACAGCCTGAAACTGTTATACCATAATCTTTATATAATTTATTACCATCATCATTTACTGCTACACCACATTTCAGAATACTAAAATATTTAGTTTAAACTCAAGTTTATTATTTCTTACAACCACATTGGTTATATAGGCTACTGTTGAATGTTTTCTCATTTAAATTTAAAAGGGAACAATCAGCATTTTTGGGGGATTGATTTTAGTCTTGAATAGTCTTCAGAAGTACTAATCCCTTAAAAGCCATAATTTTTTTGTTATCTTCACTGATATTTCCCCTAGTCCGAAACATCTGCCTCTATTCCAGCCTCTGATGGATATTTTGACAGTTGTCAGCTGGAGTAGAGTCAGAAGAAAAAGACCCTGTAAAATTGGGATTTTCCACACCTCCAAAGATGTGTTTTATCTTACATACTATTGAATTACCTTTAAAATAGGTTTAAGATGCGGAATGTACCCATTTAACAGGGCCTATATTTTCTTTCTCTACACCAGCTGACATCTGTTCAAATAGCTATCAGACGCTGGAATAGAGATAGATGTTTCGGTCTAGTATTTCTGACTGGATATTGAAAGTTTCTCTAAAAAATCCATTACAGTAAATAGTGTACATGCTCCAGCGAAAACAGTCTAACAAAATAAATTTGGAGATGACCACGAATATCAACTATCATAATATTAATTTTTCATTATTATTTATCATTACCTTCTATCACTTAATATTTTCAACAAAGATTTTGGAATGTTATTCTCCATTAGGTTTAAGCGTATAAGAATACAGAGGCCTTGATATGTAGCTAATTGTAATAGAGCTACAGGATATGTGATATTATTTTCTCTATCCATAACCCATTCACAATCTAGTCCCAGCACCTGCAATAATAAAGTTCAGAGATAACATGGAGCTTAGTGAAAACTTGAACAGGTATTAACAGTACCAGTATGAATATAATCATTATAGATTTAAATTCGTACTTCTAGCAAAATGTAAAACTAGAAAAGATATATGTGTTTAAAAACCATACAGATCTCTCTTTATGTTGCTGATCATTTATCCTTTTACATAAATGCCATTTTACAGGTTATTGGAGGTTGGCTAGGTACTAAAGCCACAATAAAGTGTCCATGCATTAATTATCGATTTAATGGTAAAATTTATACATAGGCCCTACCTTCATTTCTGTGATGTCCTTCAGAACTGCAGGGTACAGAAGCTCCCATTCTGAAGCCTTTGTAACAATATGAATTTTACTTGGTTTTCTTCCAGTATTTAGCTTTTGTTTCTGTAGACCTCTAGTAAATAATCTGTAGACTTGCCACATTGCAACACCTGAAAATAAAGGCTTATACAATGACAGCATCCAAACAAATGTGACAAGGCGATTATAACTGCTTGGACATTTCTAAAATATGTCCAAATATGGCAGTGTATCTAATGATATAACATAAATATACACGATTTAATATTCCCTTATTCATGGGATAAAGCCAAATGCTCAAATAATTATTGTTATTTTACTAGCTAAATATTCGATCATTTTTATGTATTGTATGATACATCATAGTCATACACCCAATTTTATTATCCTGATTATTTATTAATCCATACCTCCCAATACAACTCCCGGCGTGGCAAACATAATCAGCCGAAGCCCCTTCATTCTCTTGTAAAAATACAAATGCTTATATCGGCATGTCTCTTTTTTTTTATGTGATTTAAAGTGTTTGTAATATTATGTTTAATGGTGCAATGTTCACATGTCCCATGTTTACAATTCGATTATCCAGTCTGAACAAGGGAAGATAATTCTTAAAGCAATAAATGAGCTGGGATATTTCGTCCAATTCGTAATCTTTGTAGACTATTTTTAGCAATGTTTTCCTCCCAAATTATTCAAAAATAGTCGTAAACTTGAAAATAGGATCAAATAATACGAAATCTTAATACAACAAATGGTTGTAGCCTTTTTTCCATCGGGTGGAACGAAGTGTCTTTTATGTGCTCTAACCGGAAGCAGCATGGCGTCCAAAGTTATACTCGATATTTGTTTATCTAAGAAATGAGTTAGTAATAGAATTATCCACTTTCCTATTGCAAAATATTCACTTAAAATGGCTTCTGCCTGTGTGAGAACATGTAATTCACTGAAATCATTGAATATTGTATACCCCTTATCTTTAAGAGTTTGTAATTCTTCTGTAATATCTGTGCGATGGAGAAAGCCCAGATGGATTCCAAAGACACAGAGTAAATTATTTTATGTTCGGAAGCCAACTCCGAGAGATGAAGAAGAAAACAAAATGCTAATGCAAAAATACGCAAATTACAGAACGCAAATGAAAGCAATTAGGTAATTATCTCTCCCTGAATATTTGTGCTTAAAAGATAACCAACACCTCTCAGTACAATTCTATGGTTATTTCACTTATTAATATTTAAACTAGTTTACCAAATAGGGTTTTTGGTTTTTTTTCTAAAGTGTTCAAAATATAATTCCCAATTGCCTTAGAATGTCTTTGTGTCCATAGCAAATAATTGGGTTGGAACTTCAAGAGGTTCTATCCTATGACTGGTAGGAAATGACCTATTTTTTGTAACAAATACTAAAATTGTGTATTTTGCAGGTCTTACTTCACCAAATTTGTTCAAGAAGAGAAGCAGGCAAGGAAGGAATATGATAAAAGTGTTGGGATTGAGCAAGAATTAGCCGAAGTTAGATTATCTATAGAAGTCAATGCACAGTGGAATCAAGAAAGTGCCAATATAAGGTATTAAGATTCATGTCTGGGAAGTTTTTTGTTCAAAAGGGGAACTGTTTGCAATCATATGTCTCTAAATGTTTTTGTCAAATGTACATTCTTGGTTCCTGACCATCAATAAACTAGTCACTTATTGCAAAATATGCGTTATCACATAAGGCCCTTCGTGATTAGTGACAACATAAAAAACTTAGTTTAGTGGAATTGCAGGAACTACAAACGTGTGATTGTAAATTGGAATAATGCAAATTGATGCGATTAGTGTCCCCAATACATATAAAAAATTAAGAAAACCTCTTTACAATCCCTTTAAGTCTTCTGTACATTGACAAATGCATGATGTTCTCACGCCTCAACATTGTTTATATTTTTATAGAGAAGCAAGAGAATTAGCTGAAGCTCAGAAAAGTGCCAAGATAAAAGCTATAAAAGATCAGAAACAGAAAGAAAAAGATGAAGAACAAATAGCTGAATTACAAAGTAGAATTGATAACAATATCGTAAGTTTTATTGATATTTTTCTGACTTCTACTTGTGTCATAGGAATAATAAAATCCATACTTCTTGTGTTTCGGATAAACAAATGCTCATCAGGAAGTGCAGGATCTATGTTTAGCAGGTAAAATGAAATGGTTTCCAACACCTATGTTGATTAGGACTGCTTTGAAAATATAGGTTAATTTTTATTTGAGCCATATCATTAGTATCTTCTGCATAACAGCCATTTTTTAAGTCTTTAAGCCAATTTACTGCATATGAAAGCCTATGAATTCTTCATTTTTCAGAAATTTTCGGAAAAGTTTATCACCCAAGAGAACATGGATGAGGAGATAGAAAAAGTGTTAGATTCTAGAAAAGATTTTAATTTCCCTATTAACAGAAAAGGACAGAGGTTGACTAGAGGAAAAACCAAGCTAAAGGAGGATATTTCTTCAGAGCCCGATGCTTAGTTAGATGTGTATTATCATAAACTAATGCTTGTTTACCTATCCTGTGACACTTAATTAAACTCTTCAATTCTCAAAATGGTATGGCGCTATGACGTCCTGGAAACAGTGTTAGAAGTTAAGACTCTGGGACATCCTGGCACTAAGATCATTTAGAGAATATGTGGTAAAGAGTATTATATCTAGATTATTATCTTGCATGTATAATCTGATGTGTATAAAAATATCCTTTTTAACATCAAAGAGTAGATTTTTTACTGTTGCCCCTGACAATGTATTGTTTCAATTTTGAACAAGTTTCAAGTATGGGCAGTGTACAGGTAGTTCTGAAAAGTTTTAGAATAGAAACCATATTTCAGTAACAGTTTCATAAGAAACTTGCTTGACCTTGTCACTACCATTCACAGTCGAAAACTATAGTTTACATCTTTTGAACGAAGCTTATGTAGATTTGATTGAGATCTACACAAAGTGTGAAGTGTGAGGTTATTTTCTGTGTAAATTCTGATTTTAATGAGTGACAACTTCAAATTCATAATTTATTGCCATGAAAAGCAGTGTTATTTTATATCTGCCATGGGTGCATTGTTCTCCATTTTTTTCCCTACAACAGTCAGCACGGATTTCTTTCCTATCATTCTTCTTCAAGATATACCAACAATTGCATCATTTTTAGCAATTAACACTTCATACCATCTTGGAAATTCATTATCTACACTCTCAATTTATGACAAAGTTTGTCTGTGTTATCACATGAACGTATAACGTAATTCACCTTCATGGTGGGGTAGAACTTGTGACAATAGGGTTGCTCAGAATCAGACCAAAAAACTAATTCACTAGGGCATAAAATAACTGAAAAGCAATGATTCAAAATGCAGAACAACTGTCGCATTATGTAAATTAATCAATGTTACTACCCAACATACAAGTTAAGGTGTGAATTATAATCATTACTTAATGAATTCTATCTAATGATGTTATATGAAGTTTATATACACATTAAAAACTCATTTGGTTTTTATTCTCATTTAGTCTGCATTCTTCTTTTTCTTCTTCTTTTTGGGTTTTTTAGATGGTGTATCTTCTAATTCTGCTGTGGTATCCATAGCAACACTTGTTTCCATTTCTTCCTCTTCACTTTCTTCCTTACTCTTCTTCTTCTTCTTTTTCTTCTTCTTGATGGGTTCTTCTGTTTCTTCTTCCATGGTTGTTTCCATAGTCGTTTCTAAAGTTGCTTCTAACTCAGCAGCCTTTCTTTTTCTCTTCTTTTCTTTTTTGGCCAATTTTTTCTGAACAACTTCAGCCTAAAAAGTGTTAAAGAAGCCAATTTTATTTATGAAGTACTCCAAAAACATCCACAACTAAGTGTTTGGTTCACTTTGAGTCATTTCATTAGTCAAATATAAGGGAATATGTAAATGATTTGAAGTGATTTTGTAAGAAATTTTTTTAACTTAATTACCTCTCCTACAGCTATTTTCATAACATCAACATTTTTAGTTGGAACATCACCACTTTCATAGAATTTTAATCTATCTTCAACTTGTTGTTTTAAATGTTCACCAAACACAGCTGTTGGATATTCTGCAAAACAATATTCAGACGATATTTTAGAAATTTTCAAGTGTTTAACTCCACATGGAAGTTCATGTATTGATGTACATATTCTCTCATTTAAAAATATTCAAACATAACCTGAAGTTTGTCAAAATGATCTCGGACAGCTGGTCTTCTTCAGCCTGAGTCTCTATTGAAGTTGACAAGCAGTACATTTCGAGACATTTTATTACATACACTTCTGAATTACATTATCTTAGAAATAAAAAGTTTCATTTACCTGCAAAACAGTCTATTCTAGAAGCTATAGAACATTTATTAGCCAAATATCTAGAAATTCTACCCTTGTTTCTAGCTAAAGCTCTACCAATAAATGTGGAATGGAAGATTAAACCATACTTTGGTGTGTTTCCTCTTGTCTTTAGAGCCCTACAACATTATCAAAATAGAATAATTTCACATATTTTCTTATATATAATATATTTGTTTCTGCATTAACAATAGGTGTAAACGGACAAAAATTACTGCTTTCATAACTCTAACTAGATATAAAGCAGGTGGCCAAAGTCACACTCAAAAAAAAATTCTCATTATCTCATTTTCTCTCATCTCTAAGTTTTCAATTTGTTTTAAATACAGATCTAAATGTTTTGTTTTTATTTTGCTAAGGGTGAATCTTGCCATCCATGATCTGACTATACTGTTAAGCATCAAAAGTTCTAGGTCATTAAATATTCAATAAATCAAATCTATTGTTCATTAAAACTAACTGAAATGAGAGGATATTTAAATGGATGTGTAAAATATACCAACTACATAATAACATCAGATTCATTCATGACATTACACTACTGTAGGTTGAAGAAGTGAAAAGAAACTACAACATTTTCTACAAAGTGACAAACCTCACCTAAACAAAGCCTTTTCAGCCCCAAGGATCTGAACTGTTGATGCTGGATATTTAGCTAAATTAGTTAAACTACCAGAATGAGCTATCAAACGAGCACCAATCTGTAAAGAAAAACAGAGTAAAGTTGTGTCATTCAGCTCATATAACAGCTTCATCTCAATGTTGAAGTTATCAAAGTATTGCTCAGTCAGGTGAAACATTAATATTAATATCGGGTGTTATGCAAATGTGTTTTCAGTACACTTTTACAATTGCCCTTTTGAGCTAATTCAAGGGCAATAACACTTTAAGAATTGATTCAAATTCTACCAAATCAACAATCAAAATGCACTTAAAGTTCCTTTGAAAACTGTGGTAAATTTTGCCCCAATTGTTTAGATCATGGAATTTTTATAAAATATTCCTTCTGCATAGGTTTAAGCCACATACCTGATCTCCTATCAGTGTTGCTAAGTTTGGAGCAACTTGCTGCATCTTAGTCTGTAAATATTCTGATAGGTTCTTTCTGTACTCGGATAAACCAATTACTCTTGTAGCAAACATTTCAATATTTAATAGATCAATTGGTGAAATATCCATTCCTAAAATTTAATTGATAAATATTCAACATTTATTTAAAATAATAACTTTCTTAGCGATTCTTAAACAAGTGATTATATCAGGTATATGAAATTTATGAAATGAGTTGAGGGATTTGATATTTGGAGGTCAACCTTATTTGAGACTTCTGCAAAATTTCCTTTAATCAAAGCTGCCCTTTTAATATTGACCTCACAAGTAAAGAACATTCTATATACCCACAGCATTCATAGATATAGCTTATAATAATAATAAAAACTATAACTTACCCATTGAAGACTTGGCAGCATCATATATAGACTTTGTAACAGAACTATCTATGGTGATCTCTTCTATTTCATCTTCAAGCTCCCTAGTCAATTCTTTACGATTTTTGATTAATTTAGCTAATCTAGCATATTTAAAATGATCTGTGACAATTCTAGCCAACTCTGGGAAATGATAGGAATACCATTCTCTGCAACGAAAATGAAATTATGAAACACGAATAGATAAATCAGCAGAAATTTTAGCCTAGTCTTTTTCCATATTCAACTGTGCAAGATTGCTCAATATGCTTTCCCATGCTTGACCCTCGGATCTACATGACAAAAAAAGGGAAATTTGTTTGAAAAACGGGACACTTAATAAACCTATGCTGGGATCCAACCACACACCGTGACTTTCAAGAATAGACAAGGCTTTTACAAATGGAGCTCAAAGCAACATCAGTTCCTACAGTGAGAATCTAATCCTTCTTGCAAGTAACATCAAATGCAAAACAAACCTTATTCTCATAGAGAATGTGTTGACATCTTTATCTAACTGATCTAATAAACTTATACTCTGTATAATCATATTATCAACTCTATTTACATTAAACTTTACTTTAGCTCGAGAATAACTATGACCTAAACCAAGTTGAGCCTTTCCAGCAGACTTTTCTGTCAATCCTTTTACAAGCTTTGCAAAGTGAACTCTTATTCCTGAAAGAAATAATCATATAATTTCAAAGATTAACTGTGTCATTTCCATTTTTCACAAAAGAAGCAAAGCTTTTCTGTTGGATACATTAAAATGTCTTTCAGTCATTTGACCAATTGCTCAATATACAAACTTGAACCACTTTTTTGGTAAAGAAAATAGCCAGCCAACCAACTGAAAACTCACCTCTCAACAACTCTTGAACAACTCCAACTTGCTGACATTTTACAGATAAATCTTCTGAAATAGCAGCACCAATTCTAGAATCGCCTACACCCAATATAACCTTTTCTTTCTTTGTAGATTTTGGTACATTTGTTTCAATGAACACTCGTAAGTCATCATGTAAAATACCTTTAAGGGAAAAAAAAAAAGAAGAAATGTATACTGGTTAAAGGTCATCATAAGGTTATTATTAATTTCCACAAAGTTGAGATAAACTATTATAATATATTATTTTATTCCATTATATTTTTGAATCAAAATTTATGTAATAAGTATAACAGATACCCACCTTCAGAAACACTGTTCATATTATCTAAGGCATTAGTTCCACTTTTGAATGGTGAAAATGCAACTAGCTTCACCACAGAATTAAATTTACTGACATCTGTAACACTGGCTTCAACTTGAGGCAATAACATGGAAACTTCTTCAAATTCACGCACTCTGAATAGGCCATATCCAGAGGCATGTTCAAAGAGGACATATAAACTTTCAGCCTAGAAAATAAATTCATTACCATTAGAATAGCTATGCTTTGCTTTTGTTACTACATTCTTAGTTTGGTTACTTCTACCATTCTATACCCAACATGAGATAGATGCATTCATCAATTCAACCAAACATATGTTCCGATCGGTACCATCTTATTAACATTTGTGGAGTGTCTTGACAAGGTCTCCACAAATTGCAAATTAAGGTTTGTAAAATGCTGAAATGTGAAGGGGAGGGGGTGGTGCTTTAAACCGCACTCGGGTGTCATCATTCCTTACTTGTTACTTTGACAAAAAGGTACCAACGACCAAATCAAATACCGAGATTGGCGAGAATGGTGTGCATGAAATAAAAACATGGATGGAGAATTGGTGATGGACATCGATTGTTATCCACAATTCTTGCTAGTTATGTTCAATATGACATGATTACCAATCTAATGAATGGACGAAAGAATAAAGTTAAAAAGATGATTTCTGCAACAAAATAGTAATGATTTATCGAGTAATCGTATAAATATTTAACAAATTTAGCATCCAGACAAAATCAAAACAGAACCACGTGTACCCACCATCTTGGTTTGTAAAGGACTAGTATTAATCTATCATGCTATGTGATTGGACAATGCTTTTTGTAGTAACCAATGAAATTATTGTATACAGTTTCTACGTTGTTTCAATGGAAGAGGCTGTTACAGGAAATGACCATACCCACTGACTATGGCTCATAACTTAATTTGAAGGATTTCGTTTATTATTATGTAATTAATGAAAATTGATGGTGATTGTTTCATTATTTTGATACTTTAATGTGTAGGCTTTCATTTGATGTATTGATTTTGATTCTCTGTGAACTATGTGTCAAGTAATTTAAATTTGAAATTTACAGCAAGTGACAGGTTAAAATTTTAGGAGGCCTACTTTGAACTTGATGAAGGAAATGCTTCTTAAAGCCTCTATAAGGCTTTGGTCATGATAGAATTCTAGCTGTATTTTTTATTAGACACCTTATTTATATTTATTCTGTATGGTTGAACCAAATATTTAATGAAATCAATTGAAATTTGATTTCAACTGGGGAAACTTGGCAAACAGCAAGGATTTAAATGAATCATGCAATGACATGTTTCCATCAAACTGTATGTAGATCTAGAGTGAATATATCAAATTTACTTCTTTTTGGATAGTTATATTGGATTTTGAAAGAATTTGCTGTTCTGCTTAGGATCTTCGTCTACAGTTAGATTTTTTGAAAGACTAAGGCCCATGTGTCTTCAGAAAACTGAATCAGGTGATATAATAAATAACCAAGGCCTAGACTATATTTAATTTAAACATTAGATAAAATATTCATGGCATAGAACCTTTTTCATGTTTTTAGTCAAGATTGAAAATGTTGTATCCCATTTTGTTTACAAAATAGGACATTTGAAATGCTATTTCATTGGGTGTATTTATTTACATATATAGACATATCCATTTTATTGAAATTTAGAATTGAAAATGAGTTGAAAGGAAATGAAAAATGGAGAGTGTAAAGAAAAAAGTTGTGACCCCACCTAAAAACTACCTGGTTACAAGAGATGAGAATAAAAGAGAGGAAGATGAGAGTAAAGTCTATGTTCCAGTTGTTAATATAAATTGTTATTTAACATGTGGTATCTGTAAAGGATATCTGTATGAAGCATCCACCATTACTGATTGTATGCATACATGTAAGTCACACTCATAAAAGAAATGAAATGAATGGAGTTTTACGTCCTACTTTTCTGCAAAGTCACACTCATAGGCACAGTAATAGTTAACATATATATATATCTGAACAGCAGCTGTTACAAGATGAATTTATAATAACTTTTAAATAAGATACAACAGGTACATAAAATATTAGTGTTGGGTGTTATAGAAGCACTGGCCAAGATTACAAGATGAGAACATACGTCTTTTGCATCAATTATCAATTTGACTAATAAAGATTAAATTAAGATTGTTATATAATAAATGAGTGTTGCAGTAAATTGATATTAGCCCTTAGTCAATTGATACCTGCAGTAAATTGATATCAAACTAGTAGTATGTTGATACCTGCAGTTCATTGATATTAGTCATGCAGTAAATTGATATCAGTCCTGCAGTATGATATAAGTCCTGCTATATGATATCAGCCCTGCAGTAAATTCAGACAAGTCATTAAGGTAAATTGATATCAGTCCTGCAGTTATAGATATCAGACCTGAAGTAAATTGATATCAAACTAGTAGTATGTTGATACCTGCAGTTCATTGATATCAGTCATGCAGTAAATTGATATCAGTCCTGCAGTATGATATAAGTCCTGCTATATGATATCAGCCCTGCAGTAAATTCAGACAAGTCATTAAGGTAAATTGATATCAGTCCTGCAGTTAATAGATATCAGACCTGAGGTAAATTGATATCAGTCTTGTGATTGTAAATTGATACCTGCAGTAAAATTACATCAGTATCGTTGTGTATTGATATCCAACTAGCAGTATAGTGATATCAGTCCTGCAGTATATTGAAATCAGTCCTGCTGTAAATTTATGTTTTTAATTCTATTTTAGTTTGTAAGAGTTGTATTGTTAAGTTTACAGAGAAGAATGTTCATTGTCCAACATGTAATATAGTTATACATCCAACAGAACCTCTTATTAATATCAAGTATGTTTCTTTTTCTTTACATGTTTCAGTTATCAAACTGTAGATATTCATCTGCACAATTAAATACTTAATGGTTCCTGTTTTTCCCCCTATAAAAATGCTTTTTACCCCTAATTGTAGGCTTATCTCAGTTCTTGACAAATTTAATAATACGATTTTTTATGATTTTTTTTATAGATTAGATAGAACATTACAAGATATTTTATATAGTTTATTACCTCATGTAGCAGAAGGTAAGATTTATTTTATTCCAAGTGTATTGTTATTAGAATAGTGTAAACCAGTTTGTTAACTATGCTGTCTGAAGAAAAAACAATGTCCTAAATACCTAATCACAGACAGAACCAGACATTAAAGCAGTACCTGATAGTACATTGACTTATAATATTGAATCACTATTCATGAAAACATTAATTGATTCGAAACAGAGTATCAAAGTGCCAGATACAAAGCATTAAAGGGTGTTTTAAGCACTGGCAGTAAAATAAGCTACCTGAATGATACTGAAAAAATCGTGCAAACGTAATAACTTTAATAAACAACTTTGCATGAAGTATAATGTTTGTTTCATCTTTTAGAGGAACTTGAAAGAGAGAAAAAGTTTTATGAAATCCATGGCATTGAGAAAAAATGTAAGTAAAGCAATTTTATACAAGCTCATGTAGAGGACTTATTATTTGTTTGCGAAGGAAGGAAGACTAGAAAAGAAATAATGATAGATGTGTGTATCCATGATCTGACAAGATTCTTCTTTAAATCATGTTCTCTTGAATTTTGACCCAATAGTATCACAAGTTATTGTTATTTATTCTAATCAACACTGTGATTGGACATTACAAGTCAACATTTAAAAATGAATATACCAGAATTCCTCTAATATAGTAAGGAAATCAAGAGGATTTGGTTGGTTGACTATTGAATCACCCAGAACAACAGATGCTTAAAGATGTTGTCAGATCATGGATGGCATGTGGAGTCGCTTAAAAGGAAGTGTCTATATTGAATTTTAATCAGATTAAATTTGCTATGCTATAGAAATACTGTTCTATCAGGAAGTTTAACTGATATTTTGTAGATATTCCAGCCTATGTTACACCTTGTTTAAAATCTCCTGTTAAAACAGAAGTTGATCATAAACACGAACATAAAGCTGAGATTAAACCACCTATATCTTTACTGTTAAATTATGGAGGGTAAGTTTTCTATTCTGTTTGACAGTGGCTTAGGCTAAGATGATATTGGGTGATTTTCAACCTGGTTTCCCCATTGTTAGATAGACACAAGCTGTCCATTGTAAAATTTCACTCGTGCTGTGCCCCAAGCTCATATTTCTTCAGACCAAAAAATAAGAAACTAAATTGTATTATGGTAGAAGTAAAAACACTCCAACAAATAGTTGTAAAATTTAAATGGTCTATAATTGTTTTATTAAATTCTCAATGTGTATATTAATTATTTTAGGTGCTCAACAGGAATTATTTTAAAGGTAAGTTAACCAGGAATCCTAACTCAATGTTTAGTTACTTAGATATTTGGTGCCACACATGATCTATGAATCATATTTTCCTGGATAACCACAACTTATGACTGGATTTAGTTTTAAGAAGAACACTTAATCGCATAAATTGTATATCAAAAACTCTGTGCTTTCAATTTCAATGCTACGTGTTTTGGATATTAAATCTTTATCAGGACAATTGATTGGGAAATCCAAATATTTAGATTTGCACTTATAACCCATGTTGGAAAGAACAGAAGTAACACAAGGAAAACTATTTTTGAAGCAAACTCAATAATAATGTTAAATAACGGAACACAATTTTATGGTATACTACTCCTTAGTTTTATTACACACAACGTTTCAACAATCTACATTGTCATCTTCAGGTGATTGTTGAAACGTCGTGTGTAATAAAACTAAGGAGTCAAAATTGTGTTCCGTTATTTAATGTGATCTCTACCCCTAAATGTTGCTAAAGGATTATCAATAATAATGGGATATTACAATATACAGCAAAAATACTAAATGAGGACCAGCTGTAGTGCACCATGTAAAGGCTTTGGGATCCTTTTATGATGTCATTAGCTTTGTAATGAATGATGACTGAAGGTTTAGTTGAGGTGTGAAACCTGGTGACTTTGAATAAGACATCTTCTCAATATCCCAGTGGACCCAGCTGAAAATAGGTATAGATAATCTGGGAAAGATCAATGGCAATAGGTTTGGCCAAGAACCGCCAGGTAGACAGAAGGTCTCTTTCAACTCTTTTTCAACTCTTTTATTTCAACTCTTTATTTATTTTAGGCATTAGAAAAAAGATTTATACGTGTGACAGGGGCAGCTACAATTTGTCATGTTACCAAGTTTTTAAGAAAAAAACTCACTCTTACAGATTCTCATCAGGTAAGTTACTTATGATCAAACAAGATTTGAAGTTGACTGCAATGATCAAGCGTCTCCATGGTAACATTGTGCCAATTCCCTGCTAGAATATACGAATACCATGAATACATGCTTTCATGATGTTGGCACTGAAACCTGCATTCTGTATATAGTTTACATTTAATAAAAACAAACTTCACTCAAATATCAACCAGAAAAATATCCCCAATTCCCTGATAATTCTACTCAATATTAACAAATTTGAGTTATTTGCCCATGTATATATTTTTTTCAATGCAAAGTCATTTTAAGTCATTAGTATTTCGGAGCTGATATGTCAATCTAGATGAAATAATCTATAAAATTGGATTTACTGACTTAAGTTTGAGGACACTTAAGACTGGGCTTCTAGTAGCAGAAATCTTGCACTATATTCAGAACTGTTTCATAAGGTTGTAAGACAATGCGATGAATGATATTATATTGTTATTATTATAGGTAAATCTATACTGTAGTTGTGGTACTAGTAATATATGTTTAGATGGTTCTAGAACACTACAAGCTGTTAAAGATTTATATTCAGAAAGTAAGGTATGTACAAAAAAAACTACATGGAAGCAGCCATTTTGAAATACAATAGATCGATACTTTTAGAACAAATGCTATTGCCTTCGGTATTCTTTTTTGATTTCTGACTGTAGCAGGGGCTTTGATGTGCCCAGGACCTTGGTTAATTGTCCCATCCAGACGACTAAACACTTTTGCTATGTCTGCCCCTCCAACCAGCAATACTGACAGGGGAAAATCTGAAGGCTTATCTCCATCTATGTTGGACCTTTAGGTTAGCAAGCAAGTGCTTAACTCACTGAGCCAATGGCGGCTCCAAAATCTCTTTAAGCGTAGGTTTTCAACAACAGGGACATGTTCCATGGTGGTCACTTTTCTTTGGGGACATTTGATGTGTCACAGCTAGTCACAGGTTAAAAAAAAAATCAAATAATCCAACTACAATATAGACAACATCTCATGTGATGAGACACAGCCTTAATTAACATTGTCTAGAAGTACTCAGAGAATTATTACTATCAAACTACCAGAGAACATGCCTGGTATCCAATCATAGATATACTTTGGATATTTGGGGACATCATTTTCATGCTGATTCTATTAGGGTACACATACAAAAACAGGTTGAAAACCACTGCCTTAAAGCATATTCTTACCTTATATATATTGATATAAACACTTATTATGAACCTTATCTCAAATTTCTATTATAGGACATTCTAGAATTGGAGTATCATATATTACCATCATGTATGGTATAAAATTATATAAAAATTGTGATATCTGGTCAAATAGTATTTAATGTGATAAACTAACAGTGGAGAATTCAATGACATTTAAAGATGAATTTTGCCTAAGAAATAACAAGTATCATTAAAGAACATCATGTCTCATTTTGTACACAGATACATGTACATCAATTTTCTTAAACATTGTCAAACCATTCTTGGTTTTTTCATTTAAAGGGACAGTTCCGCCATCTTTTTTACCAATGATACCTAAGTCTCAGAAAAGAGAATTTTTCAGCTTAGCCAATCAGTAATAGTGTTCACAGCTCACCTTCGGAATTTGAGCCTTCAAATCCATGTGTGTCCAGAATTATCCGGGATTGAATGTTAAAATGAGGACTCATCAATTTAATGTGATGTTTGTACATTTCTAGTACTTCTGAACACTAATTACATATATTCAAGACTCAAATCAACCCGAAAATGGCGCACCTGTCCCTTTGATGTCAATAGGAAGTTATTATTGTTTTTTAAACTTCATTTGCTTATAAGTTTCTTTACATTAATTAAACCTTAGAATTTGGAATATTATCTATTACTGTTGTATTCTTTTTGATGAATTAAAATTTTACTGATTACTTTTATGAACTGGCTTTATACCAACTTTTTAGGCAGTTGAATAGTTTGAAGGTTTAAATTGCTAGGAGGGAAATACGCAAATCTGTTTATATTCAATATAAGATACAAAGAAATTATATTTTAATCGATGCAAAATCTAACAGTACTATTTTGAAGCTGATATTCCACTTCATTGAGATATAATCACTAAAACTCAATTAACCTACTAGAGTCTGACACGTGACTTAAGATAACAACTTGTTTTTATAGAAAATTTAATAACTATTACTTAATCTGGTTCTATCTAGTCTGAATCTGAAATTCGGAATGTGGTTGATCAGAATATGTATTAGAATTTGTCAGAAGAAAACATCCGATAATCAGGTATTTTGATATGATATTGTACCACATTAAAAAGAAGGGCAATTTGAATGTGCTAAAATGGTTTACTCATATATATAAACTTATTCGTGTTTTCCTTATAGATAATATAGATGGGAATTTTTTTTTTAAAATCTGATAAAAAATAAATATTTGTTAAGGCAATGGTTTAATAAGAATTTTATATTAATCTCACAAATTATTGAGGGGTTTTATGGAGGTTTTCTAAAATATTATGCGTATTAGAAACAATGCAACAAAAAATATGTGTTTGATGAAATCACTAACCCTTAAATGTAACACCTCACCTATACCTGTGCCTGTGCTTTCGTAACATTGCTTAACCGCAATGTTACAACCTAAAATTCCTAAAATATGCTTTATCACATAAGACCCTTCCAATTAGTGATAAACGTAAAAAAAAGTAAGAAAATCACTTAATTAAATAATAAATTAATTAAAAGTAAAGTCTTTATGCTAAATGTTGATTGTTATTTTGTTAAGTTTTGTTGTTTGAATTTATTGCCTCATCATATTGTTAACATCTGTAATCTGTATTTTTAAGACTGGCCAACTCTGCCAATTTTGTTTTCATTTGATTTCGACAAACTGCACACTCAATCTGAAAAGTAGTACAGATAGCTGAAATTGAGCTAAAAAAAACTGACAAGGCAAATATTTACATGGATGAATACCTTTAATATCAATGTTATAAATGGCATGTACAATTTTTTAGAAATTGGCCAATAAGAGCATATATTCATCAGTTCGACTTTCCTGGTGCCATGACTGCAGAATAGAATTCCTCTATAATCCAATAAATCCATAAAATCTATGGCCAGTAAGTTCACTGATAAATATATACTCTTATTGGCTAAGTTTGAATTTACATTGTATTTTCACCCAAGAGGTAGTATCACTAAAATAAGATAAAAGCCTAGCTAGCTATGTTTGTATATACTTTTAAAAAATTATTTATGTTTTATTTAAAAAAAAATGAAATCTTTATTGTTGTTTATGATTTATTAAAATATTAAATAAAATCTTCTTTTGTTTGTCATTCGTCATAAAATAAATATTGCTGTTTTTGCATCTTTGAAATGTGGTCACATATTGTCTTCCCCTTTCTGTCCTTCTGTACTTTCATTATACACGTTTTGACCAAGGATTTATTGAGTTGTTACCCTTATCTGAACCGAAATGCGTAAAATAAGCTTAAGATTATAAATTTTGTGCCTGGGGACGACGGGGGATACACGTCGAAACGTTGCATAAAACTTTAACCAGTGATCGTTGTTCCATAAAGATGTGTCTATATAACGCACTCACAATTGCTAAGTGCCATTCAAAGACTTCAAGCTTAAGATTAGTTTTGATTGGTCCACCCGCCCAAAATATTAAGTACGCGATAAAGACTGCAATTCTGATATGGACTGTTGGATTTCAAATATTTTTCATCAAGGATTTGTTGAGTTATTACCATTGACTAACCATAAGTATTTAATACAATCGAAGCTATGCTTAGCTTCCGTATTTTTCTGATGTCTGGTACCGAAATTTTACTTTTATTGTAAGTGACACTATACTATCTGGAACGAACTTTAGTTCAGTACGTAGTACCTTTAATTCAATTAAAATTTTGCAAACAATGCCTACTAAGCCCTTTAAATGGAATCTTAAGATTTATATGAATAAAATAATGTAGGGCTATAATTTTGATACCTTGGATCACATGATATACGATCTGATCAGTAATTTAGTAAATCTATACCATTTTTTAGTAGGGTAGTTAAATAACAATTGATTTGGCTGGTATCCAACATATCTAATTATTATACCGCAATATACAGGTGAATATAACTAGGGGGTATTATAATACCTACAGGACTATCAATATACTCGTTTGATTATTAATTGTAAATCTATTGACTTGGAAGTAGCTCGATTAACATTATAGTGAGGGATCTTATCAAATCAAGTTAGCCAAGGCATCCACGGCTGATATTCAGTTGGCTAAGGCTCTTCAATTGGATATTCCCCAGCTGGCTTCTTCCTGGATCGATTAGAGAATATTATGGATTTCGGATAGTAGTAATGTTGTAAAACAAAAGTTTTGAGTAAGTTTTAACATTTCTATCGTCATATTTGACATATTTCTATCTGATTTTGATTTAAGTTCATAATATTGGTCTTTGGGACTTTAATAAACGCAGAAATGACACGAAAATATATTAGCTATGTTATGTTTATGAACAAGAAAAGCAATGAAAAGTATCCCTTGTTGGGGAAAAAGCCAGTTTTACACATATATCACGATTTTTTTTACAAAATAGAACTTTGTTAACAGATATTTTCAACCAATTCAAATGTTTTTCCAAAGTTTGTAATTTTTGGTCTGTTCAAGCAAAAGGGACATCCTGTTGCAAAATGGCCTTGGCGATAGCATAAGGAAACAATAAAAAAAAATTTATTAGGTTGATATTGATCTTAAAACAAAGTTTTTTTTCGGTGTGCGTATCCAGAAATTGTTCACCTGTATTTTGGTCTCGATAACGGCTAGAAAATAACATGTTGATGTTTTAGATCATCAATCATTCAAGTATTAGTGGTAACCAAAACCAACCGATAATTGCTCTGTAAACAATGGCTTTTAATAATATCATTTTTGTAACCTGAGACGTATGTGAAATATACAGTCATAATATATTGGGAATAAAATTTAATCAACCAAATCATAGATCTAATTAAACAGAATAAAGCCTTAGATTTAGATTATATTATGTCGGTAACACCCGTAATCAAATTAAACAGACGGACATTTTTTATTGTTATTTTTGCGTCGTGATTTAATACATAATAGCTAATAATATTTTGTGACCTCTGTGCCCCTGTATAATGTAAGAAAAACTTGACCAGATTACGAGGTTATTCAGATTAAATGGTATTTACAATAGTGACGTCATAATATGGCTTAACTTTTCAACTTGGATCACAGAAACAACTTACAGACGGTGGACCGGAAACAGGAATGATGTCTAGGTTATCTTTTCACCTGACTTCACTTCATTAGATTATGGCAAACCCGGTGCATATTTCCATTCTGTTAAGTGTTAAAGGTAGCAGTACATTGAGTCTTTATCAGCCTCTTAAAAATATTCAAAGTCAAAGGGATCCCGTGGAAACTAATTCTGGTACAATCGAACTGCATATTTGGTACCTTGTGGCACTGATAATTTGCATAACGTTTCAGATGTCCGGCCAGTAAGGTTTCTTTCAGATGCCAACTAGTAAGGTTTGAGATGCCAGTCAGTAAGGTTTCAGATGCCAACTAGTAAGGTTTCAGATGCCAATCAGTAAGGTCTCTGATGCCAGTCATTAAGGTTTCTGATGCCAGTCAGTATGGTTTCAGATGCCAATCCAATATCGATTCGTTGCATTTCAGAACGATATCTTCTTTGTTGATGTGGTGACTTCAAAGTAATTGCCTCTTGGGTTTTTTTCCAGATTAAAGGATGACGGTTGAAGTTTCTCACAAGCCACTGTCTTTTGGACAGTCATTGAACGATCCACGATGTCCTCCATCCATTCCTTTATCATCATCACCGATCCTGCGACAACATATTGTCCATATGATAAAAACATCTTCCAATCATCAAAGAACCACTGATGGTGGAAACGTAAGAAAACCCTTCAGAGTTTTTCCAGAAAATAAAGAAAACAAATTCGAAAGAAAACCGGAATTGTTAGACATTAGCAGAACCCCTGTTCCGGGACTCCGCAAAGACCAACCAACTCGAACAGTGAACCAAAGGGGAGCACTAGAAAAACAAAATAGCTTTGCTTCAACTGGCATACGCCGATTACAATTTCGACCACAATGCGAGAACACGAATCTTTCGTTAAAAGATCGATTTAATACAAATTTGAATGTGTCTGCGTCTTCAAAGGAAAGTTCTTCTAATACATCATGTGAAATAAAAGGTTGTGCCATTACAAATTCCACAAATTATGTGGGAACTCAGAAAAAGAGAATCGAAATACACAAAAAGACACAAAAATTCTCTGCTTCACTAAGTGAGTTCAAAAGACGGTTAATGAGGAATCAAAGTAAGTTTTACCAGAATAATGAGATTAATACTGAACAGTATAAAGTGGATCCCATTAAAGCAAGTGCCCCTCTCCAACCCCAACCACCGCTTACACCCAGAACACTTGTCTCTAGGGCATCAATACGTCCTGCTCTTGACGAACCTAAACCACGGTCTTTTGAATCATCACCTGAAGCATCTCCCAAACCAACTTACCGTCTTCCGATGCGAGATACGACCAGGCATCTTCATTCGGTAGAAACTTATGTTTTGGTTCAGAATCCACGAGAGAGACTTCGTGGACGATTTGATGAACCAATTGCTCTTACAATGCGTAATCTGATGACGCATGACAAGCTTTTGGAAGAAGGTGAAAGAAATAAAAGAGATGGCGGGAAAGGTGCAGCTAATGCAAGAATACATAGATGGTTGGAATCAGTTCATAATTCGTCTATCCGTCCATCACGAACAGTTCGTTTTAACTTGACATCTTCTAGCAGTAGCAGTGCTGATGACTCGGATTCCGATGTGTCATATTAAATTCGTATGAATAATTTGCCAATCTAACCGAATTAGGTCCTTATTCGTCACTGTTGGTCATAAAGCTCTACCTCAATTTATTTTCGCTTCGAAAGTTCATTCAAAATGAGGTAGGGTTACCCGTGGCTTTGTAAAATTACGATTCATTTTGTGACAGATTTCGTATTTGCTTGTCACGAAATCTGTCATCTGTAAAATATACCACCAAGTATACTTCGAATTGCAACATAAGACAACATTTTCTTTACTTTCGAACACTTACTTTCTTAAGAAAATCGTTTAAGTTTGAATTTCGAATTAATTTTTTCAAACTTGTCTCATGTTGTGAAATATGGTATCTAATATTAAGGGAATTGTATGAAAGGGTCGATCTAATTACACTTTCATTTCGCAACAATTAGATTTACTCTTTTAAAATTCCGAAAATTTTTCTAAAATCCCAAACATAGTCATCATTTTCTTCATTTTCGATTTTTCCGGAAGAAAACTGTTTGTTGATATTTTGAAAATTACTTTCTTAAACTTGGCTTGATTTTGGAAATGGATTCGATGGACTAAACGTTTCCAATGCTCAAGTTGATAACGAAATTGGGATTTCGAATTTTCGAAATAATGTTGACTTTTGATGATTACATAACGTGGTCTTAAATTCTCTCTTCAGATATCTTCCATGATATTTCTAGAAATTTCTATTTTCGGACCGTTAAAATTCAAATCGAAATTCGGATATCAGTTTATAAGAATGAAATCCGAATATTTGATTTATTTCAAATATTTCCGAAAATCGGAAAAGTCGGAGTACAGAAAATCTTTGAAGCCTAAGTCTGCGAGCAGTTTATTACCACGTCATGTAATCAACAAACTTGAACATTTATTTCGAAAAAGTGATATTCGAATTTTTAATATAAATTTTGAATTTATTTTTCGAAAATGCCCCATTTCTCCTTTTTTTAGAGAACTTTTCTTTATTTCTGAGAAGTAGTCTAACCTTATTTTCGAAAGGTAATCGAGATATTACGATATTGTTTCGACTTGACCTTTTATGTATATAATTAAAAAAACGTGTAATATCGTTGTGCCTTTAACCCTGTGATTATGTATTTATTTTGTTAGAAACAGACCATGAACACGTCATTCTTAACTTTTGATTTTGTTTCAAAGAATGTCTCGTTTTATATCCCATGGTCTACAACATTTAAAAAAAAAATAGCATTTCGTTCCTTTTGATTTCGATACAACGAGATGGTGTCGAATCCAATTTGAAAATTCATACCAATTTCGTATAATAATAAAGTTTGTTATATTCTTGCCTTTTGATTTCGAACTAAGAATATAGCATCTGACGAATCATTATATATATATCTATAGGGAATCACGAGGCAACCCTCTTTTGTTTAAAATTTCGATATCGTCTGTTTGAATTCTTGGATTTTGATTTCGTTTTAAGAATTCGCCTAACAAAAGGGGTGTCTGTTTTATAAAATGAATTATAAGGATATATTCGGTTAGATTGGTATAATCAGATTATAATATAAAAATATGATCCGCTATATACGTTTTATAATGATATATAATATATATGATATTCGTTATTTATGAAGTTGTTTTTTATTTGTTTGGAATAAATTATATTTGTGTTCTTATTGTTATACTGTAGGGCCTATACTTTAATGACCTTATAATAACCCATCTTCACAATATCAAGCTAATACCTTGACTTCAATATCTTCGCTATTTTTGTGATACAAGTAAGGTGGCTATTGCAGTTAACAAGCTTGCCCTTGTGAAGATGATAAGAACCATATTACATGCATAGAATAATAGTTTCAAACGGACATAGACTATATTTGCTATATGTTTTCCTCAGGTAGCGTATGTAGAGGTTACAATATACAAGTCAGCAAGTTACAGAAGTCTGATATGATAAGTCTGACGATTCGCAACTCGGTGAAGGATTACTGTATTTTGCTCAGGAAACTTATTAGCATTCCCAACATGAAGCATAGAAGTTATTTAAGCCATTAGGTCTACGTGTAATACTCAAGCATGCTATCGAGCCTATGCCAACGTCAGTAGAACTGTAATATAACCTATGCGGAGTAACTTCCCTTAGCACAATAAAATATTTGTTGAGACATCTACATTTCAGTCCCACTCCTGAGATTTGTTCTGGATGACGGAACTTATAAGGTTTTTATAAATTTCGAAACAAACTAGCACTTACTTGTATATCTCACAGTGTAAGTGTGCTAGTATTTCAACAATAATTTATGCTTGTGAAATCGATGTGAGGTTGATGAGGGTGCGTATAATAGTCGCAAATATACGGTAGAGTAGTATCTTTGTTTCTTCAGAAAGAAACACACCAGCATAAGACTGTTTTTATTCTTTTTCTCACGAAACAAATGCTATTTATGAGATATTGCGGTTGCTTAACTCAAATCTGGGTCCTTTAAGGTAGGTATTCTGGATCACGCATGTATAGCAAGTGTCTTATATTGGAATCGGGTTCCACTCTAGACTGGTCTGGTGATTAATTCGCATTACCAATTATGTAATTTTCGTAACATAATGACATTTTATAAAATAGAACAATTGATTATGACCTGGACTAATCTCCAATTCGATTACTGCAAGATTGTACATAGGCAATAAATGTGAAGTTCATTGTAAATATTTTAGTCACGTGACATTTTGACACATTCCTATAGAGCTGTTCTCTTCTCCTCCCACTGAATTATTTGAAAATTGCATAAATGATAGGGATTTTACTACGAATCTCTGTACAGAGCTTTTAATGAGCCTATACCCAAAATATGATATCGATGTAGTTTGATATTCTACATTTCGATCTCGAGGTCCATTCTTTTTTCTCATTTTACTGAATAATTTATGGTAATCGGAGGGATGCCGCCATTGGATATAATACCGGAAGTACAATGTTACTCATCAATCGGTATTTTTAAAGGATAAATAATTGAAATTTGTTGATTGTAATTGGCTTTATTATCCGTAAGTATTGAATTCCTTTTATTTTTAATGGCTGAAAGTTTCAGACTGTATTGTGCTGTTTCGATAACATAATTGATGTGAGTATTTCCTTGAATTTCTTCGGAAATATTTTGAATCGAAATTTATTGTTGACAGTTATATTTTTATCCATTATCAATGCAATGCTCCTTGAATCTTGAACAGTCATCTATGAAAGGAGAGGTGTGACTAAATTTCTAGATCTACTCCCCATCTACATGATCTCAAAGCAGATTACATGTAATATTGGAGACTAAATGTCTCATATTAAGCCTACAAACTGTGAGGTTGGATTAAAACCTATCTACATAACTCTCTCAGTACTCGGTCTCTAACTTTTTTACTGTCTACTGACTTTAGTAAATCGTTTCCTTAAGAGTTGAAATATCAACTACAAAATACTACTAAGAGTCTGAGATCACATCCCTGGGTTCATTTTATAAATAGCTTAGTCCATAGCAGTAATAAAAAAGATCACTGTAGGGTGTTACGATTGCAAATATTTTATGGAAATATTGAAGCTGAATCATCAGAGTTAGGTAAGCTTTCACATTCTCTCACAAATAATTTCGAAAAAGTTTCTGCCGTTGCTGGCTTATTAGAAGCTTAAATTATAATCTTCTTGATACACACAAGTTACAAAAATACCTTATACTACCAAGGGATTTAGACTTATCTTTGAACCACAAGATTTTAAACTGTACTCTTATAAATATAATCAATATAAGAGATTTAAATGTTTGACTAACTCATTAAAAAACTTTGTTTCTTTACCTTGAAGACATTCAGGTTCAAATTGATTTTGTTTGTTTACTTTTGTTGTTTGACAATTTGTCTCAGATGAAACTGTTAAAAATAGAAATTTACCTTCAAACAATTTTACTCTGAGAATTACCTTGTGACAGTAAATCACAGGTTGAAATAAGAGGATATAGGAATGTGAATTAGTAAGCTTAATATTGGAAACGATATTTTTGTGAAATTTTGATTGAACAGACTTGGGTAATATTTACTTCACAATTTAACATTGAGGGAAGGGTAAGGGTGATTATTTGTATGACCTGAAGACATTCTAATTTGAGAGTTGAGAAGCTATTTGAAAATTCTGCTTTTAATGTTGCGAAATGAAAAGAATTTCTGCTGTTGTTGAGTAAGTAAGCTTGGTAATATGGTAGCTTCTTGCTTTATACAGTAAGGGTGTTTTCCTATTACAGTGAAAAAGGAATTTTGAAACTCATTCTGAGGGTAAATTCAATAATTGCCTTTAATTTTGAGTAATTCTTTTTTTTATTTTCAGGCAGTCAACTTAGCTTTAAAGGACCAACAAAATGTCTGGAACTGGAAGAATTCAGATTAAATGGGATCCAAAGAATTTGGAAATTCGTACCAAATCAGTAGAAAAGACATTAGAACCATTAGTCACACAGGTAAGAGTTGTTGTTGAAAGCACCCTCCCTAAAACAGTTTCGATGGCTCCAACTCAGCTAACTATCGTCTTTTTGCCTGGCTTGGAAGAGTCCACTTTTAGTATGTTTTTAGGCTATACTGTGCTGAAATTGAACCTGAATGGGAAGAAATTGTTTTTTTTCAAATTGAACTGTTATTAAGTTATTTATAGATTAGGTTTATGTAAACAGAAACAAGGAAAACTTTGTTAAAAACGTACAAATTTGAAAAGGACATTGCAGTGTCAACAAAACTTTATAGATTCATGTTCAATGGGAAAAAGTACTACCTTGCAGCTCGTGTTATAGAAGTCTGCATACATAGCCTCTTTTAATACTTGTATTTTTTTAGTTCTTATGTTTTTTTTCATTCTTTCTTCTTTAAGGTAACTACATTAGTCAATCAGAATGGCCCATCAAGAAAAAAGAGAGGTCGGTCTAAGAAAGCTCATGTATTGAGTGCTGCTGTCCAGAAAGCAACAGAACATTTTGTAAATAATGGTGAACAGATAGCTGAAGAATTTCCTGAAGTACAGAATGATATGTTAGATGCTATAGATGAAGTTAGAAGATCAGGTTAGTAAGACAATGCTATGGTTGGGTGTTATATTGTCAATAGTGTTAAAAGGACAGATATGCCATTTTTTTAAAGGGAGGGCGGGAGGTTGATTTTAGTCTTGAATATGTGATAGTCTTCAGAAGTACTAGAAATGTACGAAAATTGCATAAGTTCTTCAAAAATATCTCAAATTTCATATCCTATTTCTATAGTTGTCTTTTCTATGTATAGCAGTGTCACAAGAAAAGATGACTCGTCTTTTTAACTTTCAACGCAGATAATTATGAATACATATTCAATTAGACAGTGAACAATATTACTGATTAGCTCAGCTAAAAAATTTCTGTTTCTGAGATCAAGGTATGTTCGATAAAAAAAAACGGCATATCTGTCCTGTTAAATGCTTGGTAATATTACTTGACACTATCCTGGCTCTTGTTTTATGGAAACAGGTCCTTAAGTGATCTTATGGCTTAAGATGTCTTTTTGTTGTTTTTTAAACTAGTATTTCACATATACAATGGTTAATTCTTTCCTATTGTTCACACTATTGAAAACAGTAAAAACATTTTTTTTTTTACCTTTGTCAATCATAGGTGAGGAGATGCATGAAGCATCCCAAGAATTTGCAGCTGATCCGTGTTCATCTGTTAAACGTGGTAGTATGGTACGAGCTGCTAGAGCATTATTATCAGCTGTTACTAGGTTGTTGATATTAGCTGATATGGTAGATGTTCATCTTATTATGCAGTCACTGAATAATGTGAGTTTTCTGTCTTTATTTTGTCAAACCTGATACATAATGTACTACAGTATAATGAAAAAAGTAACTTATTTTATCATTGATGATTTAAAATTTGATGTGAACTTTGACAAAAAACTCATTACCCTGCTGCCAGTAGCAAAATGGCTACAACAACATTGTTGGCAATGTTCCAAATATGTTGTCACCTAATGATATGTTCTCACCTAAAAAAAAAATGGATGCCTTTTTCTTCAAATACATTTGTGAAGTGGAAACATTTCCCTTTATTTTGATGTTTACTGATTTACTGTGAAACATGAACTATCAGAAGAACTTAGCAAATTTTCAAAGTCAGTTTATTTATTGTTCTCTTTCTGAATGATTTCAGGTTGGAGATAATCTAAATGATATCAGAAATGCTACAAGTCAAGAAGAACTAATGGAAAGATTTAAAGATTTCCATAAAAGTTTAAATGAGCTATCAGATAGAGCTGCCAAACGACAAGCTGTAAGTGTTTCTCTTCTCCTTACAGTGTCAGATGTGTATTGTTCAATCTATGTAGCTATTCTGCTGAACTTTTACATATTTTTACTATGTTGCAGTGTAGTGATAAATTTTGTATTAGAGACTTGGGTCATAGATATTCATGATGTCAACATGATTTCATTTAAATTCTCTGCCTCCTACTGGATAAAGTGAAACATGGTCCAATCTAAATCCAAAGCCATCATCTTTGCAGTAATCCCTTAGGAGATTTCTGAAATGTTGACCTAAAATGGGGTTGACTGCAGTGATTGAAGATTTAACTCTTTGCCAACCATCTTACATATTTCAGGATTTGAAAGATCCACGAAGAAGAGATGATTTAGCTGCTGCTAGAGCAGTCTTAAAGAAGAACAGTATGATGTTATTAACTACATCTAAGGTCATTATTAAATTCATATGGATTCAATTACAATCTGTCTTACAGTGGGAACAGATGTTCATCTATATTTAGGGAGAATTTTTAACAGTAGAGCTACAGTGCAACAGAAACTACCTTAATTTGAGGTGCTTTGAACAACATGTTGTAAATTCAACCATATGCACAAAACAAAAGTTTCTATTTTTATCATGCTACCAGCAGGCAGAAGAGAGTAGGCTATATTAGCTAATGGTCCACTATCTTTACAGATATATGAATTATCGTGTTCTATGTTGTAGGCATATGTGCGTCATCCTGAACTAGCTGCTGCTCGTAATAACAGAGATTATGCTTATAAACAAGTTTGTGATGCTGTAGAGAAAATATCTAACATCACTCAAGCTACAGGTCATTCTGAAGCTCATCCATTTGAAGGTCCTGGTGAATTGGCTGCTGCTTTAGATGAACTTGATGTATGTATTGTAATGTATTTGTAGCTCTTATCATTGAATGACAACTGAATCTGTCCATGGAGTATAACGTCTACTTCAATTGAAACAGTGAATGTACTCACAAGTGTTGTCTTCATTAAAATTTACTTCAACTCTTTACTAAGCTTTCATTTTACCATTGCATGTTTGTCTAAAAGAGCTTTGCTGGATTTTATTAGGCGATTTAACTCAAAAAAGATTTAAAAATCTAAATTAATACTGCCATTTGGCTTGGTACTTTTTGCAAATATTTTGTCAAATGTGTAGATAGCAAAGCTGGCTGGCCACTGATAGCCTCAGTTTCAAATTGATTGTTTGCAATGGAAATTTTCTATTTCATCTGGTGTTTTTCAGCAAAAGATAATTATGGATCCATTGAATTATAATGAAGTGAGGAGTAGAACTGCGTTAGAAGAAAGATTAGAGAGTATTATTAGTGGAGCAGCATTAATGGCTGACTCATCATGTACAAGAGATGAGAGACGTGGTCGAATTGTACAAGAATGTAATGCTGTTAGACAGGCTCTACAAGATTTGCTGACTGAATATATGAGTAATGTAAGTAATGTAATGTAAACTTTTAGTTTGAATTCAGCCGTTCTAAAATTTGAAAGGATTTTTTTTTATCACAGTTACATGTACATGTATGATAAACTTGTCCTTGTTTTTTTATGATTTGGGAAATTTGAATAAAATACAGGTTTGGATACTTCATTTGTTGTTGTATTTTTCTAGGAGTGACTCTATTCTCCATTCATGATCTGACTGAATTGTTTGCTCACCTTTGAACATGTTTTTGATTGGTTAGCTTAAGGACTCAAAGAAGAATTTCTTCAGATCTTGAATGGAAAGTATTGTAACCCAGAGAAAACAAAACATTTTGATATTTATTTTAACTTGTAAGATTGTGTATGGAGATACCATTGATTAAACCTCCCACTTCATTCACGCTCTCTGTATTCTAGATTTAGTAGCTTTTCCTTCCAAAGCTTCTGTTATATTTCTGTACAAATCTGTTCACTTTTGCAAATTGTCTGAATTCAACTTATATCTTTTGTTTCCATGACAACAGTGTAAGAAACCAGCAGCAAAGAAGAAACAGGTACAACTTGTCATGATAGAAATAGTTTGCATCAAACATTCTTTTCAATCAAATTTTTGTCATGTTTGTTGCATGGTTGAGTTTCATCTCGGTTCTAACAAAACATTATTTTGTAAAAAAAAAAACCTATTTCATGGTGTGTTCAAACCCCAAAAATTAACAAAATATTTCAAAATCGATAGCAGCATGACCTGAAATCATTCATAAGGTTTTTGTCATTGTTTCATTATCCTTTCTTTCAATTTGTCCCTGAATGAATATCCCTCACTTGATTTTGTTTTTAAATATCTTTAGCTATTTTCTCAAGTTTTTGTGTGATATTTATTTTTGTCAATGTCTCTTGATGTTTAAAAATTATTGTTGTTTCAAAAAAGTGAATGTTCTTCAATTTTTCTGCATTCTTCTTCTTGTTCCATCAATTCAGTTTATGCCGAAATGAAATCATTTGCTCAAAGCTTAATGGCATAAAGAATGAATTTCAGCTTTGTGGGACAGGTGTTAGAGAAGAAAAAATTCTGACTTCTGGTTATTAAATTCTCATACTTTCCAATGCAGATCTAAAAGCAGAAATTACGCATATTGGAACATCATTAGTAATGACTACATGTGAAATATTAAGAGGCTCGTGAAGTAGCAATGAAGATAAATTTTTCATACATTTTTGCTTCATTGTACAAAAACAGTTTAGTTTATAATTGTCATAAGCAAACAGAATAGCAGATAAGCAGTAAACCTGCAACAAAACTCCATATTGATATAGAAATATTAAATCATAACCTGAAGCATGTTGCAATCTTCAGATTATTGATAGATTCTATTTTTTTTCTTTAATATTAATGATACAATATTGGATGTCTTGATGAAATGTACTATTGGTATATTTTGTAGGCTGGAAGAAAGGAACCATTAGAATCACTAGATACAGCTATAGATAATATGTGTAAAAAAACACGAGATCTACGTAGACAGGTCAGTTGGTTATATTTTACATTCAGATACAGAAATTCATGACACACGTTTGGTGAAATACTGACAGGGCTAACAAAGAAAGATACATGTGAACCTGTTTTTCTTTGATAATATTTTGAATTTTTGTGAAATCGTTTGTGCCCCTACATCTGCTATCCAGAAAATTACCCTAGGGTTGGGACTATACAAGAAGATATTGTATAACTATACAAGACAGATATAAGTATTAAAATTGCTTGCCTTTTAAATCCCAAAATACTGTACTCAGTCTCAGTCCATTTTTGACAAATTGCAATTGGAAGATGTATCAATGTATACTTTCCTTGTGGCATATTATCTATGATTGGTGCTGCATTTCGATGTACCAGGAATGTCATTTGATGGTTATTCTTGAAAGAAATGATAGCCTTGTAGCGTTGTATCTATTACAACTTTTTCAGCGACTCTCTCTATAAAGAAATTTATTTGTATATTTACAGTTACGTAAAGCGGTAGTAGATCATGTATCAGACACGTTTCTAGAGACTAATGTACCGTTATTAGTACTAATAGAAGCTGCTAAAGCAGGTGATGAGAAAGGTGTAGAAGAATATGCTCAAGTATTTGCTGAACATGCTAATAAACTAGTTGAGGTAAGTCAGAGATGTAAGAAACCTTTTTTCGGTTACAGAGATAATACTGTGACTTCTATTTAAAAGCACAGAAAATGGCTAATTTCTCTATAAGTCACCATTTGGTACCATTTTTGAAGTTTTTTTGTTCATTTCCAACAGGTTGCTAATTTAGCTTGTTCTATGTCTAACAATGAAGAAGGAGTTAAAATGGTGAGAATGGCTGCTGGTGAAATAGATTCATTGTGTCCACAGGTTAGTACATGTTCAATTTAAAGGAGCACCTTTTCTTTCCCTTTTTGACCAGTCATACCTTAGTTTCAGATACAGGAATTATTTTAGCTTACATAATCAGTATAAAAGTGTTCACAGCTCATCATTGAAATTTGAGCCTTCAAATCCATGTGTATCCATAATTATTCACGTTTGAAAGTTAAAAATTTGACTCGAGACTATGCCATATATAGAAAACACATATACAGGAATAGACAGTGAAATTTCTAGTTTGAGGTATATTTGAAGGGATTATGCTTTTTTCATGCGTTTTAGTTTTTCTTAAGACTATTATAGCACAATAAAGACCCAAAGCAATCCCCGAAAATGCCGACTGTTCCCCTTTGAGTCTGATTAAAATAAAATGCCAACATCATATACCCTGAACTCCAAGTGATAAGACTAAAATTGTATACTATTCTGTCAAAAAGAAATATTAAACACTGATTAATGGTAATATCAATAAAAAAAGTTCTTGGAGTAAAAAGCTTGAAATCATGTTAACAGTTACAATCTGTTCAGCAATAGGACATTGAACTGGAGATAAATTGCCTCTTTCTATCCTGTACCATGATTATTTTTTTTTCTGTTAACCAGGTGATCAATGCAGCTAGAGTTTTAGCAGCCAGACCAAGATCTAAACCAGCACAAGAGAATATGGAGATATTTAAAGAGACATGGGAAAAACAAGTCAGATTATTAACAGAAGCTGTAGATGATATAACAACTATACATGATTTCTTAGCTGTCTCAGGTAGGATAGTTTTAACAATCGGTATCACTTTCCAGAATGAAAACCTGACATCTTGTTCATCTTCAATTCAATTCACATGAGTGTTAATAACCTCATGTACCACTATTATTGTAAGAGTCTCTAGGACATTTAGATGAAGTGCGTGAAACTTTACATGACATCATTTGCTTGGTTACATGTTAGAAATTGTGGTCGTGGGTTCTTAACATGGGTCTTTGAATAAGTCATCTTTCCTCATTATTCCAGTTGACCCAGCTGTAAATGAGTATGGGAAAGACAATCTTGATATTATAGTTAATTTCTGTCTTCAAAGTTCTTTAGTTGATTTAATCAATGTTATAATATTCTTGTTTCAAATGCCCAAATTTTCAAAATATCCTCATAAAAGTGTTCATTATCTAACTTTGTAACATCTGAAGTCATCACTCATTGGCATATTTGTACCTTTCAGAGAATCATATCCTAGAAGATGTCAATAGATGTGTTATAGCTTTACAAGAAGCTGATGCTGATACTCTTGATAGAACAGCTGGAGCTATACGAGGACGTTCAGCTAGAGTTGATAATGTTGTCTCTGCTGAAATGGATAATTATGAACCTGGTTTATATACAGAACGTGTCATGGAGGCCGTCACCATGTTAAGAGAACAAAGTAAGTAGTTATTTAAGTCTTGAATAATGAACTATTATGGTGATATCAATAAACTGGTGCCAAGGTGGTACAAGGTGCCCAACAAGGTGCTACCTGAAAAAGCAGCTCAGCCAATGTTTCCATATAAATGTAACTGCATATGGCGTATTATCTATTTCCTATGTTTCTGCTTGTTATTTCTTATCAAAAAAAATGAAAATTTAACAAAATAAAAAAAAATTCATGGGATACACTTTTGGTACAGAATAAACAAAAATGGCTACTACAGTGTTGGCAATGTTCCAAATAACTTGTCAACTGAATGACTATACATAACATGTAATTAAATGATGTTAATTTCTTCAGCAATATCTGAACATTGGCATCTCTTCTACTTGGACATCATCAACTTTTTTTCCCCAAGATACAATTTGACTAAAATCGATTCACAAACTTATTTCTATCTGATTCTAGTTATGCCTAATTTTGCCGAGAAGGTCGAAAATGCTGTAGATTCATTAGCTAGTAATAAACAGAAAGATATAGATGAGAATGAGTTTATAGAAGCTAGTAGATTAGTCTATGATGGTGTTCGAGACATCAGACAAGCTGTATTGATGAACAGAGTAAGTTATTTATATTGTTATCTTTATGATATGAGTGCTAACAGGACAGGGTTAAATTTAGATTGAAATATTTGATTAGCAATTCATCACACTAAATTTCAGTTGTGGCTAATGGAGTTAAATTTTGATTCAAAAATTTGATTTAATTTAAAACTTTCCAGTTAAGACTTCATATCGATCTGGCCAATGATGTTAGTTTCTTATCTTAAGGTAATAGAGAGTTGCCGCTTATTTCTAGACTTAGCAGAAGATTTTTAAGAAAAATATATTGACAGCCCCGTCACCAGAAATGAATTGGTGCTGGGGTTCTGATTTTGTACTCAGATGATTGGAAGAATTAAAGACCCAGAGGACTCATTTCTGACAATTTTAGGGTGCCAAGACACTGTAAATGAATCAATCTCTGCTGAACTGAGTCTAATTTTCACTTGCTGGGGCCCAGCCTCCACGGACCCCACCCTAACGACGAGATTGTATATTGATTTGAGTTGCAGATTGTTCTGATAAATTTTTTGATTAATTATAAGAAATATTGGATCATAAACTGTGACGTCTTGAAAAATCTTGTTTGGTACCTGGATTTTCCTTGATAAATATCTCTATTTGTTTTTTGCTAATGTGGCTTTTTTCATGGCTATCTGTTGTATATTTGTAGAGTGCAGCAGAATATGATTCTGATAGTGAAATAGAATATGAGGAAGATTATGAAGGATATTGTAAGTCTTTAGATAAAAATTTTGTTGAAAATTTGATCCCGTCTTTCAGAATTCGAAATTGAATCGAAAAATTTTAAATTGAAAAAAGAAGCCTCATGAAAAGCAACGTCAATGTTTATTAATATTTCAGCAAGTGTAGCTGACTTCGATAATGAAAAGAGTGACAGAGCTTTTATGAGACAGCTACCAGAAGAAGAAAAATTGAAGATTCAAGAAGAAGTTGAAGAGTTCCGATTAGAAAAGCAGAAGTTAGATTTTGAAGTGGCTAAATGGGATGACAGTGGTAATGATATCATTGTATTGGCTAAACAGATGTGTATGATAATGATGGAGATGACAGACTTTACAAGGTTAGTGAGGACCACTTCGTTGTTTGTCTGGAGGTCAAATTAGAAGCTAAACCCTGTAATAGACTTCTTTCAAGATACCTGCTATAAAATCATTGGGGAACTGGTCTGCTTTCAAATGATATCACTCTGATTGCTTATTGGATGGTATTCTCCATTTTCTTTAGAAAAACTCAAGAATGGTCACTGTAGCCATGGTTACCATCTTTGAAGACTCTTAGTACCTCTTTTCTATGTGTGGATGTCATTGCTACCTTGTTTCGAGCTCCAAATATGTCAGACTTTTGGATTATGCATTAATGCCTGCTTTTGTGAATATTTAACATATTCTTGATGAAAGAAACCATCAATGTTGCACTAGAAATTTAAAGTTTTTGTAAATCAGTCAGAAAGGCCTTTCTCTTTATGCTATTGTAAAATCTTTATTTTGTCACTAATGTTGGTATATTACTAATGCAGAGGTAGAGGGCCATTAAAAAGCACCATGGATGTTATTAATGCTGCTAAGAAGATTTCGGAAGCTGGATCTAAATTAGATAAATTAGCTCAAGAAGTTTCTAGCAAGGTATTATTTCTCAGTAATATTTTCTCAAAAAGTTCCTTGAACCAAAATATTATTTTCTTTAATAATTTTGCTTTTGTCATCTCAAAACTCAAATTTTGAGTTTCAACAGTTTTATTTGTTTAATATTTCAGTGTCCAGATTCACAGTCTAAGAAAGATTTAGAGTCGTATATGCAACGTATAGCTTTATATTGTCATCAGTTGAATATTACTAGTAAAGTTAAAGCTGATGTACAGAGTGCTAGTGGTGAACTCATTGTTTCTGGGGTAAGTGACAATTTATTATTGACTGTATTATGTCATGTTCAAATTGTGGCTCATTCAGACTTTCATAAACTGTTCACATTTTCTCATTGGTTGGTGTAAATTAGATCATAATGTACCAAACATTACTACCTATAATATAGACATGCCAAGTTCACAAAAGAAATGAACTGGAGGTGCAAGAATATTTGGAAAATGAGCATGTCCCACATTGAACTCAAGTTCAATTGAGTTATGTTGATGTGAACTCATTTGATGAGTTAAAAAATGACAAATTGGTCTATTAATGATAAATAACGGTTCAAATTTGAGTATTTTCATATAGCCCATTTAAATAATATACTTGAAATAATATGCATCCAAAGTTTTCAATTCACTTGAAATTTGGCCTGAAATGTTGGGGTAAAGTCGTTCTATAAAAACTATTTGTTTGTTATTTCAGTTGGATAGTGCTACATCATTGATTCATGCTGCTAAGAATTTAATGAATGCTGTAGTATATACAGTAAAAGCTTGTTATGTTGCTTCCACTAAGGTATGTATCAATATATAACATTGCTATTTTAATCAAAACTGTTTTATGCACGTTTTTCTTTAAATCTTTTTAATGAAGGATGGTTAGAAATAAATTCATACTATTGTCCTAAAAATCCTAATCTTCACTAATTTTCTTTTCAGTATCCCAAATCAGGAGTGAAACATGTAAGTAATTTTTTTTTCAATGGTTCAGTTGAACTGTTAGCAACTTGTCTCTCAATGGTTTAGATGAACTATTAGCAATTTGTCTTTCTTTCAATGGTTCAGATGAACTATTAGCAATTTGTCTTTCTTTCAATGGTTCAGATGAACTATTAGCAATTTGTCTTTCTTTCAATGGTTCAGATGAACTATTAGCAATTTGTCTTTCTTTCAATGGTTCAGTTGAACTGTTAACAATTTGTCTATGTAAAAATATTACAAGAAATAGATACACACACACTGCACCTTGATGATTATACACAGCAATTATTAGTGGTCTGAATCTATATGCTGAATAATCTGTAAGAGAAAATATAACAGTCATTTCATGGGATGACAACACAAGCCAATTTCCCAGAATAAAGGTTCTAGAATTCCTTTCAAATCGGTTGTAGAACAGGACATTTGATTGGTTGATTACTTTAATGACCTAGAACAGCAAGGTGAAAATTATTGACTGTTTTTCAGACACCAGTGGTATTATGGAAGATGAAAGCTCCTGCTAAGAAACCCCTAGTTAGAAGAGAAGATCCTAATGAGTTAACAGCTAAAGTAAGAAAAGGTGCTGCTAAAGAAAGAATTGAACCCATTAAAGCTCTGAGTGAATTCCAAGAAATAAATTCTGATAGTTTCTGTTAAGGAATGACTGTAGGCCAAGGTAGAGGACCAAGATCTGATCAAGTTGAAGTCATTTGTTATTATTGTATTATTATATATCAAAATCATTTGACTGTTTCTAAGAAATAGTGCAATTTGTATCCTTATTTGTGCTTTTGTTTACCCAAGCGAATTTTAATATTTCTATTTTCAATCTTGGTTGTTAACCTTTTGAATTCAAGGTGTCAGAATATATAATGGTATCTCTTTATTTTTGGTTGTAATTTTAACCTTTTGAACTCTGGGTTCATACCCATACCATGAACTCAAAGTTATATAATAGTCTTTGTGTATGATATTGCACTTGTAAACTTATAAATTATTTAATTTAGGTGTGTTCAAAGGGTTAATGAAATAATTGAGTTATTTTTTTTTTTAAGTTTCAAATAATAGATGGAGATAATGAAATGAACAATACATCCATATATATATATCAGCTTTCATAGTAAACATATATTGTTATCATTGTAGTTGATCAAATCAAATTATCATTTATCTTGACTTTCTTCCAAATATTAGAAATGAATAAGATTTCTATTAATGTAATTTTAAAGAGGTTGACAACGTCACTAATCGAGAAGGAATGCCATCAAACACTTAGTTTAAGTGGAATAAGAGGAACCACGGACATCTGTTTGAAAATTGGAATCGTGGAAATCAATGCTATCAGGGTCCCAGATACACAATTAAATTATTGTTAGAAAACTTTAGGACTTTGTTATTCGTTTCTTTCTATTTGGGGCTTCTAAGCTCTAAATTTTTTTTATTCTAGAGTAAAAATTTGAAATCATTTGTGCTAGTAATCAATTTGTGTTCATATCAATGCTTTTTGTAGGTTGTGTCTAAGAAATATTTGTGTAGCATGTTATTTTTTTGTAATTTTCTATGTGAATACTAGAATAGATGAGATATATTTATAATATTTAACAAGAGAATGTATATATAGCATTGTACATATCAAATATACATTTTATTTAGATAACTATATATGACATCTTACTTTTTGAAGGTAGCTTCAGTCTTCTAATTCTCACCTTTGATGCAATAAGCTGACACTGCATTCTATAAAACAAATTGGATACATCAACTTAGTACTATCGATCCAAACCACAAAACGAAATCCAAAATCTAAAACAAAATATCGGCGAAACATTTGTAGCAGCTAATGAACTTTTCACATGAGGAAGTATATCAATTTAAGCAGTTGTCTGAAGATCGCATAGCGTGAAACTCTGAGTAACAACATGATTCAAGTTCTGTTTTAATAATTCTAATTAAAGTTCATCTGAACCTCATTATGAAGACTTAACTAGTATTTTTGAGCTTGTGAGATCAAAGGTTGGAAATAAAAAACTCATACTACCTTTCATATTAAGCAAGATAACTATATTATAGAGACTTTTAATTGTACATCCAAACACATTTTTAAACATATTTAGCTCTGTTTATATAGATATAGGTTCATTTAGCACAGCTGGCAGTTTTTTACAATATAGGTTTAATTTAAAATATTTTTAGTTCTTGAGGGAGCAAAAAGGTGTATGTGAACAAGGCTTTAAGGCTTAAAACATCTTATTTTCAAAACCTTGTCTTGTTCACAACATTGAAGCAGTTAAAAAATATGCCTTTTTGGAGACAATGCACATAAACAGCCTGTAACAATGCCTTAGGCTCTATTTTGATGCTGCAAAATCGTAGAGTGTTCAAATATTCAACAAAAATGTGCACACTATTTTGTTAGTGAATTTTAGAATTGGTTGTGAAGTAATTACAATGGCATTAAAGTTGGTTGTTGTTATAAAAAAAGCATATGATTTGGTTGTAAGTCAATAATTTACATTTATAATTTTATTTACATTATACAAGATCATTATCAATTGACATTTCAATTCATGCTTCATCTATTTCTGTCTGTATAATAAAGTATTATACAAGCATGATTGTATTTTGTGTATATTTTTATAAGAAAGATGATGGGGGATGCCAAAAGGATTTGAGCAATAGATGAGAATTTGCAGTAGAAATATAAATTACTATTTATTCATTAAAGCTAGACTGACATCTAAAATAAATTATCAACAATTGCTACACTTAAAATGTCTGTTCAAAAGAGAAGCATTTCACACTTTCAAAAATCCAAGACATCAATACTTTTAAATTAACTTAAATGCGAGTTTCAGAGAATCTCTTAAAGCTATCCTGAAATAGTGAAAAGATTTTTAAATAATTTTTGACCAATTGTAAGTTTACTAATCTTGAACATGATTAAGAATTCTGAGCGTTTTTTTACTTCATTTATATTGGCGAACTGGCGATATCATAATATTCTTATGTTGATTTTCAAGTAACTAGCATGAGGTACAATTTTTTTCAACGCCATGACAGCTTTAAGAGATTCAAAGGAGCAACCTTTCTGTTATGAATTGTGTAAAAGGTAGTTATTAAAAGTCTTGCAATTCACCAGATATTGAAAGGCATTCTGAACTTCATTAGGCACTTCTTGGTATATCTGATAACCTTTCTGGGGATAGGTTAGAATTCTTTGTAAACACCCTAACATGACTGTAATGATATCCTCTAATGTTCCTATATCTGAATTAGGATAATCTCTTAATCCGATTTCCGGTGACGTCACATACACATTAATGAGATCCGATCCTTTCCACTGTTTCTTGAAAGTTGCGTAAGACCTGCGTTCCATATATGGCGTTTGAACGAGGATAAAATTTTCGGCATGAATACCTAGTGATAAAAGTTTATTATATGAAAAACGTATATTTTCGCCAGTATTCGTGGCTTCTGATTCCAAAATAATTTTTCCCTCTGGTACACCTTGATTTAAAGCAACGTCCCGAAATATTTCTGCTTCGGGTTTATTCCATTTACCTGAAAATATTAAAGTTACATTAGTAACACTTTTTTTCCCAAAATACTCCGAGTGACAAAATATAAGTTCAAAGAGTTGATGTATCGTGGAAATGCAACATCTATAAAGTAAGCCTTAAAGGGATTGCAGAGAGGTTTTCTGAACTTTTTTTTATGTATATCGGGGACACTGATAGCATCAATTTACACCATTCCAATTTTCAGTCCGACGTTTGTGGTTCTTGCAATACCATTTTATATTATAATAAGTCCTTTTGAGATAGTGACGTCATAAAACGCTTAGTTTTTGTGGAATTGCAAGATAGGCCTATTTTGATACCAAGCTCTATTCTAGCTGTTATATTTTTTTTAGAATAAAGTGGTAAGCTTAAGTGAAACTCCGCATTCCATATGTTAACAATTCCGGAAGCCTATAGTAGGCCTAAGCTGAATGAATTAAGATGTATCCTTATTCTGATTGCTTAATGCTTAATGAGAAGTTACATCGTGTTGTTCTTACCTTTTGTAAGGGACCCAACTTTGCCAGAAAACATTAACCAATCACCTAATCCTTTGAGGTAAAGTTCTGATGCATATTCTGCTGTTCTTATGTCATGATTTCCCAAAACTAATATAACATCGCTCTGAAATTAATACAAGTGAATGCAGGATCTGGCTAGGAAATTAAATGAAATTACGTGTTAATTTTCTGCTCTTGAAAATGGGCAATGACATGCCATGAAATGTGCTTACTTCTTTGAGATTCCTATCTGTTGAGCGATCTTCACAACGACGTAAAAACGATGTGTGTCAAGTTGGCGACGAGTCATGTTTTTTTTTTTAAATCCAACACATCGATGCATACAAAAGAGTGACGTACGATCCCGCAAAACGAAACCCGAAATCTGAACAACATATTGACGAAATGTTGGTAGCAGCTAATGAACTTTTCACACGAGGAAGTATATCAATTATAAGTGAGTAAGTATTTCATAATGAAAAGTGGTATTTATATAACACAACCTTCTTTAAAAAGCATAACTATAATATGGAGAAAATATCTTGTAAATCTCTTTAAAATCATTATTAGCAGACGAATTAGATTACGAATATTTAGATAATTCACAGTATCATGATGTAAACAGGAATCAATAATATTATTGTTACTATGGTAATATAATTAACTTATTACGTTAGAATATCAACATGTAAGATAGGACCAATCTATGTAATGTTTATAGTTCAAATTGAACCTGATGGCATTCTGCGACTGGGTGTGTAAACCCGGCATCCATTTCTACATAGTCCACATTAGCTGATTACATCTTATGAATCTTTTATGGCTTCCATTTAAAATATTACAAACATCAAATCTAACTGGGATAGCCTTAAAAACAATTTCTTTCCGCTTAAAGTGATTGTAGAGAGGTTTTCTAAATATTTCATGTGTATCAGGGGCACTAATAGCACTAATAGCACCATTCCAATTTTTAATCAGACATCTGGGGTTCCAATGCCACAAAAAAATATGTGTTCCATGAAGTTTCTAATCCGAATAGACAAGTGCCTTAATGTGATAAAGCATTTTTTGCAGGAACCACAGACGTCGGACATATTGTATATTGATGCTCATACCCAATTATATATCAGTGCGCAAATCAAAAATTCTATTTTTTTTGGGGGGGAGTTCTTTTTTCATAACTCCAAAGAAGATTCAATTCAGTCAAAAGCACATTACAAAATATTAAAGAAACCTTGCCTCTTACGAATGGTTTACTTCGTTGATAATTTTTCCAACATTTAATCAGTAAATATCATCCATTTTCTCAGTTTTTAAACAAAGGAATTGCAATATTAAAATAAGTTCATAATGTTCTTCTTAGTTTGAAATTTTTCATTTACCTTTTTCAATTCATGACCCATTATCATGTAATTCCAAATAGTCTGTGCCGCATCCATCTGCATCTTAGATTTATCTGATAACGGAATGGTCAGTTTTCTCAAGGAATCCTCTTCACGACTGACCACGATCGAGTCTGATCCACAACACATTGTGTTAATTATAGCCTTGGCCTTTCTGGCTAAAATCGATACCATTATGAACCTTGCAGATCAGTTCATGCACACGAAAGCAAAACCAAAAGGTGTGAACAATTTATTGGAAGATGTGAAGATGAATGAGCCACACACGAAATGACAGCTTTGCGATTCTGACAACTTTTAAAAGACATGGGATACGTTTAAGGGGGTCGTTTTCGTGTTTTAAGTACGTTTTAATTCGTTCAACATTTCATTTTCATCAGCTGTCAAAAGCACGTGTCATTGTTATTGTTTGCTTCTAAAAATAACTTTCCATTCTAAAAATAGATTTAGTCACACGAGATCTCGTACATCGCGGGAATTTCGAATATTCCGCCATTTGCTCTTGTTGATGTTTTTACAACATCTATTTATTACTTTTACGACTTATCAGTATTGTATTGCATTGTAACTTGAACCAAAAAGATGGCAGGTACCTAAACAAAGTTTTATTTCTATTAGATGCTCAAACTTCATGTTGTTATAACCTTACAAGTGAAAATTTATTATAAAGTAGTGATGATCAATGTTTACTTTTTCAGTTGACTCAAACTTTGTTTTTGACGCTGTCACTCTCTATAATGTCAGTGTCATTGACAGTGTCATTGTGACAGACTCATGAGCATGTCATTCACTGAGTTCCATCATATTGTCACAAGTATGTAATAGCGAAAGTACAGCACTTGGCTTATGCTTAAAATCATAGCATATAAAATGAACATTTGGCTTAGGTAGAAGGGTACCCATACCCTACAGTTACACCTTATCCTACAGTTACACCTCACCGTGTCCTACTTTGATTTTAAATTAAAGCCAAGATAGGCAGGCCATTGTCATTTGAATATTTGATTTGTCAGATGATGGAGCTCACTTAAATTTAAAACAACTCTCACTGACACTTAAGTAGATTTTTTTTTATCAAGGTCTACCTTCTGTTCCATTTGACATGAAATTGAACATGAACCTCATGAAGTTTACCGAGATTATAGGCCTACTAGTTATGCTTATACTATACTTATGATATAAGTATTTAAGATAAGCTTTAATAGAACTATATGTTTCATAAAATTGTAATTATAATTATGTTTTAATTTTAGATGCAGCACCAGATAGTGGGTAAGTCAATTAATATTTAGATATTTATTCAAAATATTTAGTTTTATAACATGCTGTCTATATAGATAAGGCATACATGTACTAAAATCAGAATCTAATTTTGAAAGGTAAGCTAGAATTCCATAAATAATCTCTAAAGTACTACAGTGACATAGAAACCATTTCAGGAACCTATTAAAGAATGTTCTCCCATATATTTACAGCGAGGGAGATTCAATCAAAGTATTTGTTAGAGTACGACCACCAGATTCCAAAGATAATGAAGTGGGATCTAAAAGAGTTGTGGATGTTGATGAAGGAAGGAAAGCTATTATTATGCAGTCCAAACCTGAACCGAAAGTCTTTACTTTTGATCAGGTTGCTGATATTTATATAGCCCAGGTTTGTTTCTTTGCTTTGATTTTGATTCTGGGTTAAGATCTGATGTTAAGAGATCGAGTCTTTTTTTCGGCCATTGTTCAAAAAATATGATTGCTCTTTACCAGTGATTTTAGTTTTAGGATTGTGGCAAAGAAAACATCCACCAAATAGTAATACCTAGTTGAATAAAGTTTATGATAATTTATTTTAGGAATCAGTATTTACTGCAGTAGGTAAGAAGATAATAGAAGGTTGTGTAACAGGTTATAATGGAACTATATTTGCTTAGTAAGTATGGTTATTATTCTTTAGTTAAAGTTAAAACTTTAAACTTGCAAATGGTCTACTTTATCATCATGTTTACAGTGTCATTTCATTGTAGGCATTAGCCAATTTTTTTTTCAATGCTAAAATGCCCATCTTATAACACATGGGGCCTTGGTTTATTGTACCATCAGAATGAATATATTATGATCTTGCAGACTATTCTGTATTGAACAGGCTATGCTAGACATTTTATTACGTGTCAGAACTTAATTCCATTAACTAATTAATAAGCTTATCTATCATTTTTGCCATAGCTTAACTTGAATTGATTTCTTCTGAAAATTTGAGTTTATGAATGTCCAGGTATCTTTACCCACAATGGACATTAATATTTGAACTAACATTGAAATTTTTATTTTAGTGGCCAGACTGGATCTGGAAAGACTTTTACTATGTTAGGTAAGTAGAAACATTATTTAGTAGTTATTGTAAAATATCATAACTTACAAAAAGCTTTTTAGTATCAAAGTTCATTATACATTGTAATCTGTTTCCTCAATCCCCTTGTTCATCTGGTATATTTTTTGCTACAAATTTTGAGCTTCAGTTGTACAAGAAATGATGTAATCTGTTTGTAATTGTAGGACCGTCTGAAGATGCTGATAATTTTCAACATGAAATGAGAGGAGTTATACCTCGTAGTTTTGAATATTTATTTTCTTTAATCAATAGAGAACAGGAAGTGGTGAGTTTCATATTTCATCAGACATACATCACTAGCAGGGGAAACACTGGGTTGAGAAATTCAAGGGTATCACTTCCATCAATGCCAAAGCCAAATCCCAGACCTTCATTTTAGCATGCAGGCAAACCTCAAACCTTTCTGAAAGTATATCTAGATATAGTATATGAATAAAGAGGTGTTATTTGCTGATTAGTCCCTTTCAAGATTACAGAATATTCTTTAGTGCCTGAAGGTAGTTTGTTTTAACCCTTTGAACCTTGAGTGTAAATGAAATATAACGTCAAATACCCTGAACTCCAAGTAATAAAGAAAAAGCGTATGACATCACTTAGTTACGGCCAGTATACTGGCTGCTAGGGTGAATATTGTTTTAGTGTGTGTCAGTAAACATGTCGCTAGGGTTGAAAGGGTTAGAGTATCACATCACAATGACCAATGCTTTAGGAACTTAATCCTTGTATTTTTTGAAATTGTGATTATCATCTATTATAATTATAGCATGGTGATAGGAAACAGTTTTTATGTCGTTGTTCTTTCATTGAGATATATCAAGAACAAGTATTTGATCTATTAGATGCTGCCTCTCCCGGATTACATTTACGTGAAAATATAAAAACTGGAGTATATGTGGATGGTATTATTGAACAAACTGTAGCTAATGCCAGTGAAGCTTATCAGGTAATGAGAAAGCAACAACCTCATTGAAATTAACTTTTGTTTTTGAGGAATCTGTCTACCAGCTGGTCCTTTGGCAAAACTCCATTGATATTTCCTGGATTATCTGTATACTTAACAGCAATTGTGGGGAAAGATGACTCATCAAAGCCACCAGACTTTACCTTGCCAAAAAAATTCAAATTCATGGCTGGTGTGACAGCACATGAGAACTATTGACTGAAGCTGATAAGTTTCTATTTTGTCTGTTAAAGGTCCTGAATGCTGGGTGGATTAATAGAAGGGTAGCTGCTACATCTATGAATCGTGAAAGTTCTAGAAGTCATGCTGTATTTACTGTCTCTATAGAATCTAAGGTATGTATATTATGTTGTGAATATAATTCTATTGAGTCTAAAATTGATTTAATGTTTTTCTGCGTTTTTTTTGTGATTTATGGACTAACATTAGCCTAATTTTGATTCATATTTTGCTTTATTCTGAGATATTTGCGAAAATCTTTCGATCAGGTTCTTAGTGAAATAAAAACAGTACAAATATTGAAGAACTATATAAATGCTTGATTTATTCGTAGGAACAAAAAGGTGGTGTACAGAATTTAAAAACATCCCAGTTAAATCTAGTAGATTTAGCTGGTAGTGAAAGACAGAAGGATACACATGCTGTTGGAGCTAGGTTGAAGGTATATTAACTCTTCTACATCACATTCTTATCCTTATGGTTATTAATATTGAACTTTTGTTTAATGAAATACCATTTTCAAACCCCCCCAAACAACCCAAAACAAATGTATCTTTCCTTAGTAAAACAGAGTATGGATTGGCCATATAGCTGAATAACTAAAGATATAGGTCCAAAGAAGTTGGCGTGTCCACACTCGCTATAGAAGTTAACATCAATATCAAGAGGGATCTTCTTAGATAGATTGGAACATTTTCAAAATTTCTTTGATGCCAACATTAATATAGGCCTAGCTTCCAGATTAACAGTTTTAATTGGAAATGTAATGTTTGTTTTTATAGGAAGCTGGTAGTATCAACAAATCACTATCTGTACTAGGTAATGTTATCATGTCTTTAGGTGATATAGCTCATGGTAAAAGTAGACATGTTCCATACCGTGATTCTAAACTTACATTTTTATTGAGGGTAAGTTCATATCAATATACCCAACAAGTTATTATCTGTACCAGATTACAGAGCCCAATTGCAGCAATCTGTATCATTTTCAGAATGTTATTAAAAATGATGGGTCATCTACAATTAAGTAAAACTGTACTGATGCATAAGAGCTTAATTTTGTCACCAATGGTGACCTGGGCAAGAGCTATATTGAACCCCTAAGCTTGTTTGGCTACATTATGTCTAAAATACATGTGTAGACACAGAAATTCAAAAGATGACATAAAGGTATATGCTTATTAACACATTTTTCAACAAGAATGACAATATTGTAAATGTGACTTAAAATACAAAAAGAAATCATTTAAACTACAGACAAGCTAACCATCATCAATTGACACTTATTTTTACCTTTCATTTATTTCAGGATTCTTTAGGTGGTAATGCAAAAACTCATATTGTAGCTTGTGTTCATCCGGGATCAAGGTGAGAGTCACTTTTACAGCTGGTCGTAATTTTGAGTTGTTTATGGTATTAATTACAATTTAATTATGAGTGATGCAGGTCAGAGGGGCTGAAAAATATCCAGTTGTTCAGATGAGAGACTTAACTGAGGCAAAAAAATTTGAGAGAATAGTACAAATCTTTTCATGAACTGAACCAACTTTTATGTTTTATAATTCAGATGTTTTGGAGAAACTTTATCAACGTTGATGTTTGCCAGAAGAGCTAAAATGATTAAAAACAAGGTAAGAATTATGGTGCAGTGGTGTCAATTATTATGTTGCTTTACAAGATATTTATACTTATCCTTGGATAACCACTCAGAACATAAACTTCTAAGGCTTGATATATATAATTATAGAACTTGTCTTATAAAAATTGCTATGCAATAAATAATTCATTTCAAATCTTTGATATTTCAGGCTGTATTAAATGAAGATACACAAGGAAATTTAATGCATTTACAAGCTGAAATTCGTAGATTAAAAGAAATGTTAGCTCAGTATATGGATGGTAATATTCCTAAATCAATAACACCAACAGGTTTGTACTGTTATTCTTTTACTGTTCTCTCAAACCTGGCACTCTGAAACTTGGCATGGGTCTCTTGGTTGAAGCAAATTTGATAGAAGTATGATATTTGCAATAGAACTTCACAGAACTCTTTATAATATTAATCTGGCATCCAGTTTGTCTTCAATTCAATAAAAATGTATTATAGAAATTGAGATTAATGGAAGGCAAATAATTTTGAAAGGAAAGGGGATGTGTGAAATTAAATTTTTTTACCCAAATGATGTCCTAGGGTTTTAACTTTTTACACTGTTTTCAGAATATCTTTGGGTTATGGTGGTTTAGAGAATACATGGCTATTGTACAAGTAGATAGCTATTTCTTATATGAACAAAAAATAGTTTTTGACGTTTTTTTTTTCAATAGATTCAACTCAACCTGTGTCTTCAACATCAGATCAGTCAGAATGGAAGAACTATTTTCTAGAAGCAATGTATTTCAGAGAAAAATCAGAACTGGAAAAGAAGGTTTGTTGTTTTCCAGGATTATTTGACTTTGTGTATGGATGATACAAGACTTAAAGTTGCCTGTTCACTATCCTTGTAATTGTACCTTAGTCTCAGAAACGGATATTTTTTAGCGAAGCTATTCACAAAAAGTATTCACTGTCAAAATATTATCCTTCTGAACCATTTTTTTTTCCATGATTATCTACTTTTAAAAATTATGTTGTCATTTGTTTGCCATATTGAATCCAATTTTAGCAGACAGTTCTACTTAATAATTTTAACTTGTTTGTTCTTGTGTCATATTTGCAGAATTTATTACAAGATTTAGGGAAACTGGAAGAATTATGTATGAAGAAAGAGAAATTTATACAGTCAACTAAAATGATTATCAAATTTAGAGAGAATCATATAGCTAGATTAGAGAAAACTATTAAAAGTAAATCTAATGTTGTAGAGGATTCAGAAAAAGATGTTGAAATAGTGAGTATTGCTACTGAACCTTAATCTCATACTTGAAAAACTCAACATTTTCCATATATATTCAATGAATGGTTCAAAATCATTATAGAGATCAAATTTGAATTTAAATTCTTTCTGATTATTAACCTTTTGATATCACTCATTGAAATTGAAATAGCTTATTTCAATATATTTCAAACTTGTTATTTGGTGATAAAAAAAAAATGTGCCTTACTTTTGTGCTGAGTTTTCATGAAATTTCTGTTTACCACCTGCATACTTTAGTGAAATTATATATCTTTGGAGTAGTAGTATCTGCACTTAGTAGATTTACTATCTGAATATCCTTTATCTTACAAGTTTGAACACCAATAGCTATACCTTAAAATGATATCCCTTGTTGTTATAGATGGAATTAAAGAATGAAATTGTAAATATCAGGAATCAATTAGAACATCATCCAGAATTTGCTAAATATGCCATGGAAGTACAACATTTACAATCAGAATTAAAACATGCTAAACATCAGAGTGTACAATCAACTTTATCTGATAAACAACATTTAGACCAACTTGAAACAACATTTAGAGATTTATATGCAGTCAAACAACAATCTTCAGGTTTGGATAATTCTTTATAAATTAGTTTTTGGTTTAAATTATAAGATATTCTGTGAAATATAAAAATGTTTATTTAATTGTACTTCCCAGCTGTGTCTTTCAAAACCTTTCCCGTCTTCATTAGACCACATAGTGCAGAAAAGTAGGACATATAACTCCATTCATTTCATTTCAATAAGTAACAGGATTTAAGTTGAAAAACAGATGAATTGCACAAAGACATTCTGTGTAGTTGTTCGGATGGGACAATAAACCTAGGCCCTGTGTGCTACAGGCTGTGCATGTTAAAGATCCCTCGACAGTTGGAAATCGAAAAAGAGCAGGCTAATGCCACTGTCCTGGCAAAATTTCCCTCATTGCACCCTGCATGGCGTTGCCCGTCTTCATTAGCCCACATGGTGCAGAAAAGTAGGATGTATAACTCCATTCATTTCATTTCTGTGTAAAACATGTTTAATTAATGTAGTGCTGGATATACCAGTAACATGATAAATACCAGTATATGAATTTATATCATTAGTAATATCACTGATAACAAAATTACCAAAATATTACCATATCATGAAATCCACTTGAACCAATATCCAATGGTAATGTAATATGTATTTCAGATTTAGAGAGATCTATATTGAGTCCTACTACTACACCACAACAAACTGATTCTGTTTCTACAGCTACTATAGAGAGATATAAATCACAGATAAAACAACTACAAACTGATTTAGATCAGGTAAACCATATACTCTATACATTCTTAAAGGCACAGATTGGCCATTTTCATGCTTGATTTGGTCTTGAATATATGTAATAGCCTTCAGAAGTACTAGAAATGGATAAAAATCACCTAATTCCATCATTTTTTTTTGTTTCAAATTTTTTTCAAAAGGTGAAGAAACAAGCTGCAGAAGATAAGGAGTCCATGGAGAAAAAAAGAGTTGAACTTGAGGCTGAACTAAAATCAACAAAGAAAATGAATTCAGAGTTAGAACAAGTACTAGAGGCTCATAAACTCAAAAGTAAAATTGAAAGAGAAACACTGAGTGATTTACATGCTCAAACCATCAAGGTAAGTTATACTTAAGAAGTAGATTGTGGAGGAAAGGTCAGGAAGGGAACTCTCCTGTTTAGGAGATTGTGGTTCAATCCTGGCATGAGGTCAATACAGTTCCTTTTTATTGGTTTACCCAAACTTTTGACACTATTTAAATTGTGTGTCCCTTTTGTCTGTACTTATTTGTTTGATTATAGGTGATGACAACACCTACAAGAGCTAAATATCATCTACGTAATCGTACAATTGTAAGTAAATTTTCTGGTGATAGACCAGCTGTCACCTCACCATTAGATGATAGTATAGAGGAAGAGGCAGGTTCTATATTGAATGAAACACAACCAGCTTTAATGATGGAACTAGCTAATGAAGCTTTAACAGATGAAGTCAAACAGCTACAGGTGTGTTAGGATTGCGACATTATGAAGAGGGAGCCTCTGGTGACTTAGTGAATCAGATGCTGCTTCTAATGTCCATGGTTTGGGCCTTTCGGATACCTGTCAGTGATGCAGGTCAGGGGGGAAATTACATGTAAAAAGCATCATGATTTTTATTTTCAAGGCTGCTTTCCTAGTAAAATTGTCCATATTGCATAGCATCGCCTGTCCTCATTAGCCTAAACAGGTCCAGAAAAGTAATACGTAAAAAATGATCTTTTCTTTTATCTAGTATCAGTGATACAGGTCAGATGGGCTGACATGTTGATTGGATATGACAAAAAAATGCAGAATTCAGTCAGTTATTTATGTGTATAAGATAATGTTATTTGAATATTTCAGACAACTAACAACAGACTATCACAGAGAATAGAAGAATTTGAAGCTGATCAGATAAGATTAAGACAACAGATGACTAAGATTGAGAGTCAGTCAGAACAGTTGAATGAGGTAATACCTTTGAATTTTTCAACCAAGTTTCCCCTCTTCAGTGGATGCAGGTCGGTGAAACTACAAGAAATCGTTCTAGTAGTTCAAATGGGACTAAATAAGAGGTCCTTGTGCTACAGCCTGTACACATTAATGATCTCTCAACAGATGGAAATCATAAAAGGGTAGGCTAATGCAGCTATCCCCCTTTGCTTATTCTATATTTCTAAGATGTGTATCGAATATGTACCAAGATGTAATAACAAATACCCAGAGATAACGAATACAACATGTATTATGTATTATCTAATAACAAATACCCAGAGATAACGAATACAACATGTATTATGTATTACCTAATAACAAATACCCAGAGATAACGAATACAACATGTATTATGTATTATGTAATAACAAATACCCAGAGATAACGAATACAACATGTATTATGTATTATCTAATAACAAATACCCAGAGATTACGAATACAACATGTATTATGTATTATCTAATAACAAATACCCAGAGATAACGAATACAACATGTATTATATATTATCTAATAACAAATACCCAGAGATAACGAATATAACATGTATTATGTATTATCTAATAACAAATACCCAGAGATAACGAATACAACATGTATTATGTATTATCTGATAACACATACCCAGAGATAACGAATACAACATGTATTATGTATTATCTAATAACACATACCCAGAGATAACGAATACAACGTGTATTATGTATTATTTATTTCTAGATACTAAGAAATGAAAGAAGTAGTTGGAGTGAAAAAGAAGATAATTTATCCAGTAAAAATAAACAGTTGAAGAAAGATTATGATGAAGCAGAAAGCAATTCTTGTAGTAAGTTTCAACAACCTTTAAACACGTCAGGGTTGCTTACACCAATCAAATGGATTGTAAATTTATCATTTTCAGGCCGTTAACCTTTTCTAATCTAAAAAGTGTGAAAAATATATCACTGTGAAATTATCATTCATGGATGAAGTGCAATAGCCAGTTTATGAGTTCATTACAGGGTTAAGAAAACACAATTTTTTTTTGCTTTTCACCGAGAATTGTATTGCCGAATGGGCTGTGTTTATACTGAGTTAATCTGGCTCTCCACTGTTACTGAATCATAATGGTTCGACAATTTGCCCTAGCTTAAAGCTAGCTTTTCCCTCAATTTGATTAATAAAATGCATTTGTAACAGTGAAATTTCTGTTTTGATCATAGCTTGTTGTAGTATTGTAATGCTAGATGTATTATTATTATTTTCAGTGTATAAACTAGAAGTAAGAGATTTGAAGATATTATTATCAGGAGCTGATAGAGAATTAAGAGAATATAAACAGAAAACTAAACTAGCTGACTGTGAGAAAGATAAAGTCATACAAACTTTAGAAACAAAGGTATATAATGTCAAAGTTCTAAATTGTAACTCAATAACGTCTAAATCAAAGCAAAGTCATTTGAAGCTGATATTTTCCAATTCACTTAAATGTGATGTAAATTAAGATTTTCTCATAATTGTCTGACGGTAATTTGTCAAGAATCTCCTAGATATGTCAATTTATAACAATCAATACTGTTTGTATTTTATAGATATTACAAGTTGATATGGAAGTTGATAAATTAAGTAAAGAATTAGATTCTGTTATAAAAGAAAGAGATATGCTACAGGTAAAGATTAGTTTTATATAATAGTTTCTAACTATCTACCAGATTGCTACATGAGAACAGTGAAACACCATTGAACTAAATTGTATTGATATACCACTGATTTTGATGTTTTTGCATACAAAAACTCTACAAAGTGCACACATTTACTTGTTTACTGTGTGTTAATATTTTTCTCAATCAAAATAAACAGATTACATATGTCAAATAATATTGAATCACTAGATAGGCTAATAACTAAACTTGCAGCTATCCAACTCTCTTTTGAAAATGAATTCTTGCTAATGGTTGATCTACAATTAAAAAAAAAATGTTTGAAAGGAAGTGACAATAGTCTAAATATTGATGAAGTATGAATCAGTTATAGATGTTTAGAGGTGATTGTTTTATTGTAGGAACAAGTAGAAACTACACAAGAAACACTGAGTTTTAATGAAGATTGTATCTCTGATCTCACTGATAAATTAAAGGAAGAAAAAGTATTGAAAACAAAACTAGAGGCTGAGTTACAGGTAAGCGAAGCGAAAGGCTTTACTTTATTGAAATTGCTTATGGCTCTTTATACGATTGACTGGAGCTCATCTCTTAATGATGACACATGTATCGAATGCACCATCCTCATCAGCACAGCTTGTTTTGTAAATAGGATTAACTTCCAATTATTAGGAATAAAGTTGCACTAAACGGATTTCAATGACTTGAATATGCAGCAGAAATCTCAAAACATTTTCCATTAATTTTCTTGTGGATATTGACACTTTTGAACTGCAAGAACATCCAAGTTATAGCCATCATTGTATCTTTTATTTTATTCTTATAGTCTGTGGTAACCACATTACATCAAGAACAATCTAAATTAGAACAATTAAAGGAACAAATGTCTCAAGAAGGCCAAGATAAGGTGAGTAAATATTTCATTATTTCTTGTAATTTCCTGACAGCAAAATTGATGCAAAAATCTTGATGTTTTGTTTCGTGTTTTTCATGTAGTAGACTCCATTTGCCATCCTTGGTCTCACAAAATTGTTCTTCAGCACATGTTCTAGGTCATTAAAAAAATTCAATAAAGCTATTCATTTTCGCTTAGCTAAGTGAGCAATAGTGCTTTTAGTGATTAGCATAAATCATGTGAAAATAAAAGTTTCATTTCCCAGTGGCAAAATTGGATAATTGTTCAGTTATGACATAACACCATGGAAACCATTTCCTAGAAGTTACTAATTCTGTCTATGATTTAGGAGAAACAGTTAGTTAACGTAATGGCTGAAGTGAGTGGTTTACAGACACAGAACTCTACACTACAGAATTTCTGTGATGTTCAAACACAGAATACAGTATTATTAAGAAAGGAACTAGATCATGCTCTCAGTACTATTACTGCTCAAGAAAAACAACTTGCAGAGGAAAAGGTAAGGGCAGAAAAATGAAGGCCTAAAGTCACACAGCTAAACAATAGTTTTGGTTATATACATGAGAATTTATGAATGGAAAGTGCTAAGATAGAATGATACAAATACTATAATGGCTGTCCAAACGATTAGCCTCAAAAGACCAGAAGGCACTGCCAGTCAAGATGGCTGTCAATTGCATATTTGAAAGCTTAAAACTGATGGCAAAAGCACATATATTAAGTTGTTTCTTTTTCAAGCCATCCTAGAAACAATTTTCCTGCTTTATATATTCCAGGCTGCAATGACTAGTTTAGTATCGAAAGTACAAGAATTAAAATGTAGTTTAAATGCTAGTGAAGAACAAAACCTGTCTTTGAAGTCTGCTTATCAAACATCAGAACAGAATTGTAGTGAGTTAACATTACAATGTGAAGACCAGCGTGTTAAACTACAGGCTCTACGTGATCAACTCAATGAGATGGGAGCTGTGTTAGATAGACAGAAAAACTCCAGTGGAGTAGAGGTAATAATATTATTCAAATATAAAATGTAGTCTTTTTGTTTTTTTAAAACATGCTCCTCACAACTCAAGGCCATTTATTATTGACTTATCCTTGTCTGATATTCAAGTTATTTCAATTCAGTTTTCTACCTTTTGATTATTTCAGTTAAGTTTGATATATATCGTTATTTTCCAGTTATCATTGTCATACTTATTATCAGTTTAAAGTATGATATTTTAACTTATTTCAGTATTACAATACTTGTTTCAGTTAAAATGCTTAAGTATTATCATACATCATACTTAAGTATTATCATACTTATTTCAGTTAAGTATGATATTCTGCTTATTTTAGTTAAGTATGATACATATTTTATATAAGTATGATATATACTTATTTCAATTAGATATTGTCATACATATTATCAGTTAAGTATGATATTTTACTTTACTTATTTTATATAAGTATGATACTTATTTTATATAAGTATGATATATACTTATTTCAATTAGATATTGTCATACTTATTATCAGTTAAGTATGATATTTTAACTTATTTTAGTTAAGTATTATCATACTCTGTAAAGTATACTTATTACATTTAAGTATTTTATTCTATCTATTTCAGTTAGTATGATATTCTATCTGTTTCAGTTAGTATGATATTTTATCTATTTCAGTTAAGTATGATGAAAGATGATTATGATTGTATGACTGAAGCCTATGATAAAATCAACAATGAATTAGAATTTTCACAGAAATCATTAGAAGCATCACAGGTATTTCTAGTAAATCTCTACTCAATTGATAAACATACTTGGGTCTACTCTCTCTTTCAAATTGTTTTGATCATTTAGCAAAATACATGCCAACACGTGTGCCTTTAAGGATGTAATCACAATTTGTTTATATGCATGTTGACTGGAAATTACGTGAAAGATTACAAGACTGATACATGAAGGTATCAAAATATATATCCTTATGTTTTGGTGGCCATTGATCCTGCCTTTTCCAAACATAATGATCTTTCTCCTTGTGTTTTGGTAGCCATTGATCCTGCCTTTTCCAAATATAATGATCATTCTTGGATCAATTGAGTTATGGTTTACCTGTAAATTATTGCTCTGGTAGTTTTTGACTGTATTAAAATTATTTTTTTCAAGATAATCATCCTCTAGAACAAATTTTCAAGTACTATTGCTATATATATATATATGAGTACCATTAGCATATCTGCATGGGGTGAACTTTTCTTTATAGTTTTGTGTTGAATCAGATTGTCAATAATATGAATTATTTTTGTTGTATTTCTTTAGGAAGAGACTGAAAGATTGAATAATGAAAATGAATTATTAAGGAAAGAGGTAAGAAAGAAGCTATTCAGTTTTAATCTCAAATGACAATGGTCATCATGGGTTCTACTACTTGGTAATTTTATTAAAGGATTTTTAACATACACAGGCTGTGACACACAGGATCATTTGTTTTCTGTCCTATGCTATTTGATAAACTGCATGATTTTTTCTTGAGCTGCATCACTAACAAGTAGAACCATGATGAAACATCTTGAGATACTTTCTTGATCCTGAGATTGATTTTAAAG